CATTAACCAATTCAAAAAAGGTTGTCCTTTGCAAACCTTAAACTCTAAGCGCGCAAAGCTTAATGGGAGCACAAGTTTCAAGCTTAGTAGTTGAATATTGCAGCTATTTGTGAATGAATTGTTCTCGTAAGGAGATATTTGCCATGTTTCTAAGAAATGGGCCCCATATATGATTGCTAAAATGATTAACTGACGCTCCCATTATGCTTTGCACACTTAGAGTTTAAGGTTTAAGGTTTAGAGTTTAAGGTTTACAAAGGACAACGTACCTTTTTTGAATTAGCTGTATATTGACATGTCAAGCACGTTAAAACTCAAGAGGAACTTTCAGAGTAATTGATTACATATACATATACGTTACAAAATAACACGATTGTCTGCATTATATGGAGATAAAACTTTGTGTACGATTTGTTTGTTCGCTTTATACAGTTTGGCAAACTACAGCGGCAACGAGAACGTGTTCATCAACAATATATATAGTATCTTTACTAAGGCGACTGTAACTTCGTTGAAACTGCTACGTTATTTACATCATTTTCACGGCTCATGCATGACCATGCCAATAAGGTAAAACATTCAAGTCGTTTGGGGTGTTTTATAAATATGTGAATTCACTTACTATTGCTATTTCAGGGAATTTCAGGATTGTTGAAAACAAAGATAAGTGCTTTTAAAAGTTTAGTAATGTATGTTTTGGCTCGAATACAAAAGTATAAGTAATTTTGTTTTCTGCCGGTACAGTGATAATGCTTACATCACTGCACACGTTGGGAAAACTACACAACAGCAACATTCGATAAGATCTTTGCAATTCCCTCCATTAATTGTCGCCATTTTGACGAAAGTCACATGAAGAAACCATGGGTTCTCATTGGCCACACACGTAAAAATCTCACTACTTGTCAACAAGATGTGTTCGCAACAGGCTTGTAGCAAGCTTTTCAACAAGTTGTAACAATGCTGTTATTTTATCAAGTTGCTACAACTTGTCACTCAAAACTTGTTGACAAATTGTTGAAGTCAACAACCTTGTAGCAAGTTGTCAACAAGCCGCTGACAACTTGTCAACAACTTGTCAACAAGCTGGGAACAAGCAGTGCGAACACATCCTGTTGACAAGTTGTTGGAACAGCATTGCTACAAGTCTGCTGCAGGTTTGTTACAACTTGTGCGTTTTTACGTGTGTAGTCAATTCAAGCAACTCAGCACTACGCTCGCAACATCCGCATGCAGACGTTGAGATTTTTTCCTCGCGATTTTCTGCATGTCTATAGTTTTTTACAATACATAACAAAAAATGTTTTCCTATATTTTGGGAGCCTCCAAATATACAAAAATGGGTTCGATGCCATGTTTATGAAGAAGAAAATATCCGCTGTATAAAACAATACTGCAACACTTGTAGAGAGCGTCCTCTCTCCTAACATGTCCTTCAAATGGGAGCCAATTACTGATGGTATTATCCCGAACATAAGAATAATGTTTACAATAAGCACTGTAGTTAGAAAACGGTTTTGATTTCTTAAACGTAATTTAATCATCCGTTTACTAGTTTCTGATTTTGAAATGTCAGTTTCGAGAGATAAATGCTGTTTACGGATTGAGAGAAAAGCCAGCAAATATACAATGACTGTAGTTAAGTAAAATACACTGGGATATCCAGTTATAAACGATACGTTGAAAGTTATCCCGGTGTAGTATCCAGTTATCCCGGTGTAGACGCAGTTAAATAACCATAACACAACTATCCAAGTGCAACAAAGCTTGACTTGATGCCATAACGGGTGAGCTATAGACACATATCTCTCCAGAGCCAGGACTGTGACCGAAGGGAAAGTTAAAAAATAAATAAAACCTCCAAATATTGCATGAAAATTTCCCCAAGCGCCCGGCAAACAGAAAGTACTCTTGTACGTAGTCTGTGATACCAATAGTTCTTCGAAGTGGAACAACGAGTTTAACAAATCAGCAATGCTTAAATTTGCGATGAAATAGGCAGATGGATTGCGTAAACATTTTAAAGGATCTTTATAGATAGCAAACAAGAGTAGGACATTAGCTATTGTTGCAATGACGATGATAGATAAGTAAACTGTAAGACTCCATGGCACGATATCTCCTAAAAGAATTTCACAGTATTTAAAATCGCCGGTAAAGTTAAATGAACCATTATTACCAATGTTCCAGTAACCGCCATCCATTTTAAGCGAAATAACTTCTTCTGAACAAAAAAACCCCACTGTATACTATGATATCTACACTGTCTCGTATACTTTATAGTGAACTATATGTCTACTGCAGAATAAAACGAATAACTTTTGTATACCGAGAAAATATCATACGGAAGAAATATCATACGGGGGTGTATTATAAGTATTATCTATTAATAATAAACGAGGGAACTCTTTATCCTATAATTGGTTAAAGGAGTCATTAGAGTGTAATTATTAGACGAAAGATAGACAAACTATGTTGAATAGTTTAAACTCTTTGTTTCCGGAGGGATCCCGGAAACACAACAATTATATTCAAGGTACGGTCGGACTACTGTCAAAACATCACGCAAACAAAAATATCGAACATTGACCCCAAAACTTTGCCTGGATTCGTCTAATTCAAGTTGGAATATCCCGAATATTTCAAAAAGTTTATAAAATTTCCTCTACATCAATATAACAAAATTAATTAATGTAGCTGATATTCAAGCGCTGTTATGTGGAAAATTTGGTTACGTGCGCTTCATTGACCATATTTGGCATATCAGGTTTATAATCTTCAAATCTTGAACAGTCTATCCAGTGTAGGTAGTGCCAATAATACGACAGCTTCGGATTGAGAGGGATACATCTGCCTGAAAGATACAAGGAGAACTTCGACAGGACTTCATGAGATATATAGTGAACAGGCCCGTCGTAGGTCTTAATCTTGATATGTTTCTTGCGACTCCTCTGTGTATCATATCCTCCAATCTGCTTGTGATTCGCGTGCTTTGGATTTTTAGCAAGTCTCTTTTACATTGACATTGACATACCCATTGCTGCTTTTTTATTGTCATGTAGCTCCTCTCGTTTGTTATCCATGGGTATTCTGCAATCCATAATTTGTCTTCTTCGTTGAATACTAGCTTCTGCTCAATTAGTTTTAGTTCTCTTTCTTCCCTTAGGGGGTAGTCATTGCTTCCAATTGGACACTTTCCACATCTCTACATCAACAACTTCGCATACTTGCAACAATGTCAGATGTGATTCTATCTATACCATAAGCTACAATGAACACAGTTTTACGATACTGATTAATCAGAGGGACCCAGTACCTGTGGAACATAAGCTTCTCGTGGATTCTCCCAAGTAATTGTCAGCTGTACTGATGTTCCTGAATCTCTGACATTCTCGTCTTTTGCCTTGTGGTAAATGACAAAACAGGGAGATGCTGCTGCATCTCCCACAACACATTTTCCCATACTTTACCTATTTTGATCCACTGGATTTGAAGAAGACAGCTACTGTTATTGGTTACATTATCACATGCTGAGCATGGCACTAATCTTTCTTTCGGTATGGATCGTTCCGTGGTGCACCCCCTTACACCCATTCTCACCACAGATTCTCTTTCGTCTTGTACAATCGGGCAGCCGATGATCAATTCGTAAACATTACGAACATGCTGCCTTTTCTGTGAACAGGTTAAACTTCTCTTCCGCCGACTTTGATAAGTAAAGGCTGCAGGTATCTACCCAATTGTAATATTATTATAGTATGATAATACGAGGCACGCTCTTTGAGTGGTTATAATAATACTGAATTTAATATGAATGGAATGGTGTTGGATTATTGATCTGCTCGTCGTCAAAAGGGTCTGCTACATGATCTTGTTGGTGTGTGCATGCATGGTGATGGTGATTTTCTTGAACTGCAAGCTGTTTCTTGTTATGTAGCTGGTTGCGTTTCTTGCCGTTATCATACTACCTTTGATCTTGAAGATAGTGTGTTTGTTGTACGGTGAGAATAGTTCATTGACGCGTTTTTGACGAACGAGAACAGTGTCATCAACTTGAAAGGTGTGTGTCTTCGCTTTGGCTGCGGTATTAGCATACTCTTTCATCTTTTCCTTCTTTTTGAGATTGATATCAGCGAATTGGGATCGTGATGTGATGTGGGGACTACTTCAGGTAACTTGACCGTCATTTTTCGTCCAAAGAGGAGCTCGGCAGGGGAAACTCCTGTGGTGGAATGTGGTGTCGCACGGTAGTTTCGGAGGAAAAGAAACAGTTCTTGCTTCCAATTCTTGTTTTCGAGGTGTGCAGCGCGGAGTGTTTACTGAATGGACAACTTGCATGTTAGATTAAATTTTAATCTAAGTAAAGAGAAGGGAATCAAACACCACAGCTAAAAAGAACATAATAAAATTAGTAAAATTGCACAATTTGGTTGCGAAATGTTATAAAGCTTGCAAAATATAGCCTTGCAAAGTTTCCAAATTTTGTATATGTTTCTATTACGTGCGGAAATTGTTACCATTTTCGGCCTCAAAAACGGTAGCAATTTCTGCACGTAATACTAACATATACCAAACCAAATATGCAAATTTCGCAAGGCTATATTTTCCTTATTTTACAACATTTCGTAACCAAAATTTGTAATTTTACTAATTTTAATAAGTTCTTTACGGGAATTTACTTTTTTTGCCTAGATTAAAAATTAGTCTAACCTGCAAGTTGTCTATTCTTCCCATGAAACGTTCAGACTCAGAAGACTCGTTCAGACTCAGACCCACTCCACCCACTCCGGAGTGATCGTTCGGTGGTGGAAATCCATGTACTGCGCAAACTGGGCGAAAGAGTGACTTTGAAATGGAGGTCCGTTGTCAAACTTGATTTCTGCAGGAATATGCGTGGATAAAATGCCGTCAAGTTTTGGGATGACGGTATTTGCAGAGGTGGAGCAAACTATCTCAACCTCGGGCTAGCGCGAATATTCGTCGATCATCATGAATTGAAGAGCATATCGCCGATGGGAAGAAGTCACAGAAATCGACAGAGTTGTTGCCAAGGGGCTTGTGGTAACTCGGTCATGCGAACTGTTTGGTTTTGGTAAGGCCTTGATGACCTTCATGGGCGATGTGGAGAGCACATTGACGAAGGGCATGTGGGAGGATAAGACGGTGAAAGCGAAGAAGGAGATCATGATCATCAGAAACACTCAGTTCGTCGCAGATATTGTAGAGAGCGTGGAAGTCCTAGGAGTCGACAAGGGGACTGGGTGTCTCAAGAGTGGAGTACCGGCAGGTGTTGTTACGGAGGGCTTCGATGACGGCTTGCAGAGTGGGGTTGGCACGGGTGAATTGTTGCACTTCAGAAACGGTCATGGCTTTTGGGGTGGTATGATCTGCTAAGAACGCGATATATTCTTTAGCCTGGTCGTATGCAGTGGAAGGATGGATTGTAGCTAGAGGGTGACGGGACAGATAATCAGCGGGTTTGGTTTTGCCAGGAGAGTAGGAAATGGCGAAGTGGTATGGTTGAAGCTCGAGGGCCTAGCGTCTAATCGGGCATTAGTACGAGCAGCGGGATTGGTAAAAATGCGGTCAGAGACAATTTCGCGTCATGGATGTAAAGATGAAAATGTTCACACGCAAACAGTACACCGAGGGCATCTCGTTCTGTTTGGAAATACCGTTGTTCTACGGGAGTGAGAGAACGACTCGCATAGGCAACAACATGATTGTCGTGGCAAAGAATAGCACCAAGACCAACAGGGCTGGCATCGACAATTATGGTGGTCGTTTTGTGGGGGTTGTTGAAATACGAGAGAACGGTGTCGCTGGTGAGATGCTTCAGCTGATCAAAAGCGTGTTGATGCTGGGATGTCCATGTCCAGGGCTGATTGGATTGGGTAAGCGCACGGAGAGGTTCGGTTAAGGTGAAATAGATGGGGATAAATTGGGAACAGTAGTTGGTCATACCGAAGAAACTGCGAACTTCATGAGCGGTGCATGGTAGGGGGACTGGTATTGTTGATGGCAGAGCCTTTTTTGTGTCTGGGGAGAAGTCATTTCTGGAGAATATATACCCAAAGACATCCTCGTACCCAGAGCACGAGAGAAAATAGCCTGGGTACGAGGTTGACCCATTGAACTATAAATAAACTGGAAGGCTAACTTCAATGGGTTGACCCAAACAATACTTTTTGGCATTCAATGTAAGGTTCTTAGAGCGTAAACGTTCAAAAACGGCATGAAGCGCTTTGTTATGTGCCGCTTGGTCTGTACCAAAAATGATGATGTTATCGCTAACATTACGAGCACCTTCGATACCACTGAGAACTTGTTGGATGGAATCTTGAAAGACTTCTGCGGCGGATGACGTACCAAAATTTAAGTGGGTGTAGCGGCGAAGTCCTCTGTGCGTGGAAAACGTTGTTGATATAGCGGCTTTCGGGTGCGAGTTAGATCATGAATTAGGTCATCAATAGCCGGTGTAATATGACGTTCACGAAGGGTTCTATAAAACCTTGGCGTTCAAGTTTCTCAAGTTCAGTATCGATCTTTTTGCGAAGGTGGAACGGCATTCGCCAATGAGGTTGCGTCACGGGGGGTACGGAGGGTTCGATATGTGGATGAACTGTTATTATTATTATTATTATTACCACTCCTTTCGGATGGTAATTTGTTCTCTAATTAATATTGACAGAACTAGTTGTGGTTATTTCTTTCTCAAGGCCAAGCCTTGGAAGATCTTGATGATCATCCTCAACAATATTGACAAACTCTAGAAATTTCTAATGTTCCTCTTCCTTCATCACCTTCCACTGCTTTGATGCTAACAATCACTACATCTACAATCTTTGCAGCGTCCACATACTTCTCATCTAACTTAAGTTAATTAATTTAATTTAATCAAATTTGAAATTAACATTATAATATTTACAAATTATGAATGTCAGTTATGGTCGGTTTAAAACAGAATTCAAGATTCCATATTGCTTAAACCGCCAATGGTCGATAAGTTAAATACTAAATGAATTACAAATCTAGGCGCATTAACATTTTGTTTATGTGATATCTACACTTCTAACAACAATGAGCAGCTCTTTACCTACCTAACCTTTCCATCGTAGCTGTGCTGTCAGAGACGCCCCTAAAAAGCCGGAACTCGATCACGTTAAGCTGTGTCCTTCGCAATTCAGCTTAGCTCACCCCCCGAATGTGGGTGCATGGAACCTGAGATAAGGCGAAGCAAAGTTTCCCGATCCCGGAAAGTCATAACGTCCGGAGATAAAGAGTTAATACTACCTCCCGTGACGTCAAGCAGCCAAGCAGGGTTGTATTGGTTCTATAATCTACAGGTAGATCAGAGGTTCCAATCATACGATTCCTATAATTATATCATGCATGTGTCGAACCTATAATAAATGTATTATTAATGATCCAATATAAACTCGATATTTCAGCTCATTTGAACTAAGTCTTATCTTTTAAACCCTGCACATTTTCCGAATCTACTTTAGTGCACAGGAAACAATATCTTGACAATGTGTTCCTATATTTTATAACATGCAGTTAAGATATTGCCAGACAAAGCGCCCTTGTATGTCATAGTTTCGTGTGAAGTATTTTCTGAGTAATAAAGCTTGCGAACTTTTACTCATCAAGACATGATTAGACACAACCTCGCAAGCCAGGCTCTCTACTTCCGCTTCCCTCCCTAACACGCTGGAATACCAAGCTTACAAACCTACTAGACTATAAACGTTTACTCATTAACATCACGTATAGTATTATGCACTAGTCAATCGAAAGCCCGGCCCCCCGACCCCCGGGACTAAGCGGGGATTTTAACATTTCACGGTTGTTAAAATCCCGGCTAAAAAATCTTGTTCAATTGTTAAAATCCCCGGGTTACTGGGCCTAAACATTTGGGTGTTTTTTTTTTCAAATTTCCGCAGTTTGATAAAAAACCTAACATTAATATTTCCATTAAAACTCCGCCAAAGTTATAGAGAATAATACATGGGTGCTTGGAAATGACCAGATTTATTTCTCGTGTTGAACCGGATATCTCACGAGTGAGGGCAGCGAACGAGTGAGATATCATGTTCAACACGAGAAATAAATCTGGTATTTCCAAGCACCCATGTATTTTTCTGTTTATTACATAAACAAAATTCAGTGAAAAACAATAAACGTCCGTGGCAATGCGTTTTACAACAAATGATATTTTCACACGTAAAAATATCGTATTTTTACGTGTGTTTAAATACGATTTTTCTCAGTGGCCAAAAACTGTATATAACACTTATGTTTATATAATAAAATAATTTACCTGGTTCGTTCTTTAAAAATTTTGTATGCATATTATAAAATTAATACAGGAAAATGGTTCAACTGAAGCCAATGGTTGTCAGATGCTTTGCTCCTTTGTAAAATAATACTGTTTTTAATTATTAAAGTACGCATAAGCCAGGTTATATATACCGGTATGTTAATAGAGTAAAATACAAATTCACGGTATAAACCAGGTAATACATCACTCAAATCATGCAAACAACAAGAGTAGCGCTTATTATCTTAATATAATAATTTCCCAAATAAATATATACAAAGTACAAACAAATCTAAGACTGTGCACACCATCACTTTCCCGAGCATAACATCATTACTCGAACCAGATCACATAAATTACAAAACCTCTCGCTGAGTTCTCGGTGGCGCAGTTGCATGGTGCCATGGTTAGCGGCTTAGCTAATCATGGCACCGCTTAGCTAGAAACTAAGAGGTCGCGGGTTCGACCATAGATATCTTATATCTATGGTTCGATCACAGGCGGCCCAGACGTGGTAGAGTCGTATCAGTAGTAAATATATAATTATACAATATACTATACAATAAAATTTGTAATGAATTTTATATTTTAAATTAAAATTATATTTACTTGCCTAATTTGATTGTATGTGATCGTCTTTTATTCCTGCATGGGCGACTTCGCTGCTTTGCTAGTTCGCTTAATTTAATGTGCGCTCGCTGCGGTAGCGATTATGCATACATGCTTGCGCCGTATTGACAAGTTAAGTACGTCAAACGTACGCAAAACAGGTACTTTTAGGATAATTTATTACATACTATACATCACAAAATTATAACACGACTTCCTGCATGTCTATTTTTTACAACAATACATAACAAAAAAGGTTTTTCTATACTTTGGTAGCCTCCAAAGATACAAAAATGGGTTCGATGCCATGTTTATGAAAAAGAAAATATCCGCTGTATAAAACAATACTGCAACACTTGTAGAGACTGTCACCTCTCCTAACATGTCCTTCAAAGGCGAGCCAATTAATGATGGTATTATCCCGAATATAAGAACAATGTTTACTATAAGTACTGTAGTTAGAAAACGGTTTTGAGTTCTTAAACGTAGTTTAATCATCCGTCTAATAGTTTCTGATTTTGAAATATCAGTTTCGAGAGATAAATGCTTTCTGCGGATTGAGACAAAAGCCAGCAAATATACGAGGACTGTAGTTAAGTAACATACACTGGGATATGTAACTAGTATCAATACGTTGAAAAAGTATGCAGTTATCCCAGCGAAGACGCAGTTAAATAACCATAACACAACTATCCAAGCGCAACAAAACCAAGATGTAACCTTGACTTGATGCCATAAAGGGTGAGCTACAGACACATATCTCTCCAGAGCCAGGACTGTCACCGAAGGGAAAGTTAAAAAATAAACAAAACCTCCAAATATTGCATGAAATGTTCCCCAAGCGCCCGGCAGACAGAAAGTACTCTTGTACGTAGTCTGTGATACCAATAGTTCCTCGAAGTGGAACAACGAGTTTAACAAATCAGCAATGCTTAAATTTGCGATGAAATAGGTAGTTGGATTGCGTAAACATTTTAAAGGATCTTTATAGATGGCAAACAAGAGTAGGATATTAGCCATTGTTGCAATGACGATGATAGATAAGTGAACTGTAAGACTCCATGGGACGATATCTGCTAAAAGTATTTCACAGTATTCAAAACCGCTGGTAAAAGTAAATGAGCCATTACCAATGTTCCAGTAACCGCCATCCATTTTCAGCAAAATAATTTCTTCTGAATGCCTCGTATTGTTTATAGTGAACTATGTATACTGCAGAATAAAACGAATAACTTTTATGTGTTATCTATCAATAAATTACAGGTGTCATAGTGCAAATGCGCAATTATTTAAAGTTAGGTATTTACGTCAACTATACAGTATGTCTATGAATAATTTAGATGACAGATAGATAAACTATATTTTAACTACATAAGGTACGTACATAATACATACATACGTATTCACTGTATTGCATTTAAGTATTCAAAACAAAGGGGATATTTTTACAGCAACTTGCAATACAACATCTGGCGCAGAGTCACGCTATCTAAAACTTATTCATTATAAATATCTTTCAATATATATCGTTGCTTTCTGCAAAGATGGCCCATTTATTGGGACATCCTGTTAAGTGAGATCTCCCCCGTGGTGAAGCGGGGAGAACGCCTGACATTTCAGGCTAAGATCTCGCCATGTAGTTATTTTTATAGTAAAAACAAACTTACTTTTACCAGAATTAAATGACTTATTGAGACTATTGAGAACAGACACTTAAAAACAGACACATTAATCATTATCCATTTATGGCGTTTTAACTAAAAAGATGGATATTTTGATTTTCAGCATAAAACCATGCGGAACACATGTAATAAAAGTTTATCTACAAATCATATTTGGTGTCAGTAAACGTGCAGTAAATTCAGCTTTTGATATCCAACTTGGAGGACAACATTTTGCCTTCCTGTTGTAAGTGGTTTTGGTCTTGTTGGTCGGGTATGGGGTTTCGATGGCGCAATAGATTTGTGGTTTTGTTGGATATGGGGCTTCGGTGGCGCAATCGTCAGAGCACGCGCCTTTCACCTCTTATACCTCCGACATCGTGGGTTCCATTCCCGTTGTGGACGTTATGATATCCATGTGAAAAGAGTCAGTCAACGCTCTGCCGAAAGTCGTGGGTTTTCTTCGGGAACTCCGGTTTCCTCCCACAGGGAATGTTGACAGAGTTGGTTGGGATTAGCCCTAACCTAACCCTTCCATTGTAGCTGTGCCCCGGCCCCTAGCAGTCACCTTATGACTCATGTCTGATCGAGGCGCCCCTAGAAAGCCTTCCACTCGATCACGTTGAGCTGTGTCCTTCGCAATTCAGCTTAGCTCTCAGCTGCAAGTAAGGACAATAAGCAGGTTCCATGCACCCACATTCGGGGGAGGGGGGAGGTGAGATAAGGCGCAGCAAAGTTTCCCGATCCGGGAAAGTCATAACGTCCAGAGATACTACTGTACTTCCCGTGACGTCAAGCAGGGTTGTATTGGTTCTAATCTACAGTAGATCAGTGGTTCTAATCATACGATTCCTATAAGTATATTGTATTCATGAATACTAATGAGGTTAAGAAAAACTAGAAAAATTTTGGCAAACGTGATCAGTATATATTATATGTATTATTAAGCCAGGGTCAAGAAGTGGCAAAACAGGTCAAAGGAAAGCTTATCAAGAAATCACATGAAATACACGACATAATCAGCAACCGTGACGGGCCAAAATTTCCATATGCTAAGCATCGTAAACATCTAAATCCAGTAAAGGGACGAAATCTAGCGAGTTTAAAGTTTATAAAACATGGTCAAATCGTAGATAGCTACAGATGTAGCTCAGAAGTTGCTGGCATAATCCTGTCTATCGTCATGTCAGTGGCGCCCAGCGCCCAAAATCGATGAACATATCATTTGTTTTGTCCCCAACAACGACAGACATTTGCATAACAGAAACCTGGACCTTCCATGCTGGGTTTTCAATCGCCCGGAAAGATAGGAAAGTATCCGCATATGGCGGGGTTTGTTGTTACGTGAAAGATAACATCGACTCGAATAGATTATGGGATCTTGAAAGTCTTGATCACGACGTATTATGAATCCGAATTAAGCCTAAATGCCTACCGAGATCTAGAAATGAAATTATATGCGGAATTCTGTATCATCCTCCTTCCACTGTAGCCGAAAGTATGCGAAATTACCTCTTCCAATCATTACAATCTTATCTATTGAATCTAACCACCCGAACTGTGGCATAATTATTGCTGGCGACTTCAACCGTTTGAATATCGATTCCTTTTGTTGTCATTTCCGCTTGAAACAAATTGTAAAATTTCCAACTTGTCAAAATGCAACTTTGGATTTAATTATTACTAATATGGGAGAATACTATTCCAAACAGAACGTTGCTCTTCCTTTGGACTTTCAGATTATTTAACGGTATCATTAGCTGCAAAACGAAGAAGCCGACAGCAAGATAACACAAAATTTATTACCATCCAAGACAAGCGTCCATCGGCCAAGGCATCTCTTGGCCGGTATTTAAATAGCATACATTGGTCCATCCTGACAGAACTAGCAACGTGTGAAGAGAAATTGTTACATTTCTTAGACCTTTTGAGTAATGGCATTAATATTATGCTTCCTACGAAGACTATAAAAATAAATAGCAACGAACCGCCCTGGATTACTACGAAATTTAAACGTCTGATCAAGAAACGGCAAGAAGCTTTGGCTAATGATAACATAGTAACCTTCAATTACTATCGCAACCTTGTGAATCGCCAACGCAAGAAATGTCGAGCCAAATTCTACGCCAGCAAAGTTAAAGATCAAATGAATCCAATCCCAGAGACTATACCCCCTAGTTCCCATGTCTTTAGCACAAATGGAGAGCCAGCCGAGTTTCCTCACTATAACAGAATCTTTTATCCTTATGAAATTAAAATCACTAAACCCTCGGAAGGCATCAGGTGCTGATGGTATTCCCAGTTGGATACTGAAGGACTATGCTGAAATCCTAGCCTCCCGTTTATGCAGTGTCATCAATTCGTCATACCTAGAACAAAAATTGCCCACTTCTTGGAAAAGTGCTGACTTGTTCCAATACCGCAGATCAAACCGATTAAGGATATTTGTAAACACATTAGACCTATTTCACTGACCCCTGTCATATCCAAAATAGCTGAAGAATTCGTAGTTGAGGAATTCGTCCAGCCTGCCATCCTTAAAGTTCTGGACCCAAATCAGTTTGGTGTGATACCAGGTTCTTCCACAGCGTTTGTTTTAATCGGCATGATCGACCGTTGGTCCAAAGCCACTGATGGCACTGGCAGGACTGTGTTGTATGATTTCAAAAAGGCGTTTGATCTGATTGATCGTAACGTACTTATCAACAAGCTCTATCAACTTAATTTAGACAACCGAGTAGTTAATTGGTTGCGCGACCTCTTAACCGATAGAAATCAACGTATTAAATTGGCGACTGATTGTTATTCCGAATGGAGAGCTGTTCCTAGCGGAGTTCCCCAAGGTTCCAAGCTCGGACCCTGCCTCTTCCTCCTATTGATGATTAACGACCTCACAGCTTCAGGAGTAGATCTATGGAAATATGTTGACGACACCACTGAATCAGAAATTATACCAAGTAACCAAGAGGGTGTGCCAGTCAAATTCAAGTTGCAGTAAACCAAATGGCTAGCTGGTCTACTACCAATAAACTTCAACTGAATTAAGACAAATGTAAGGAAATGCAAATTTCGTTTTGTCGAAATCAACACCTCACCATCAGCCTCTTCCACTCAATGGTCACCAAGTTGATGTGGTGACTGAATGCAAACTACTTGGATTAACAATCACTAATGACTAAATAAACAATTGAAACATGTTGGATTGAGATTATACGACCTCGTACGAAATCAATGTTTATTTGCTCGGCCCACAGACCGCCAGAACTTCCACTAAGTAAATTTATCGATGAACTAAACAAACAACGCTCAACGGATAGATCGCGCATGCAAACAATTGCGCAAGCTCACGCGATCGAACAAATCGTTACGTCACCAACAAGAATCAAGGAAAAAACGCAATCAATGATTGATTTGATTTTTGTGAACAATAATCCACGCGTTGTTTCTAGCGGAGTTTTTCCTTTGTCAATCAGCGATCATTTCCTTATATACTGCACAATTAAAGCTGGACTTCCTAAATCTGGCGGATGTTATAGAGACATTAATTATCGTTGCTACAAACGTTACAATGAAAGCAAATTTAAAGATGATCTAGGAAAATGAGATTGGACTTTCGTTGACTCGTTAAATGATATTAATGACATTACCAATAAGTTTCGCGAAACATTTTGTGAATCGGCCAATAAGCACGCCCCTATGAAAACCAAGAGAGCAAAATCTACCGTAAGAGCACCATGGATGACCTCTGAACTTCTTAACCTCATGCGAGAATGCGATTTCCATTTAAAACATGCCCAGAAGTATAATTCAGAATACCACTGGAATACCTACCGCGATCTTAAGAATTTCATAAACCAGCAAGTTAAGATGTGTAAATCCAACTACTATCAACATCTGATCAATGACAACAGAGATAAACCTGCCGAACTTTGGAAAACAATTGATGAAGTCACTTCTTGCAATCCAACTAGAACCACTCCTTCCTGTATTATCAGTGAAAACGTCCCGGTAAACGACCCACGTTCCATCGCAACAATCATGAACGACTATTTCTCATTTATAGAGATCCACGCTTGCGAACAAAATTAAAGATCTAATCAAACATAAATTGACTAAGACCACCGCTACATCACCCCATTTCTTTAATTTCAAAAAAGTTGATGAAATGTCTGTGTTGCAGGAACTGAGTAAATTAAGAACTAACAAAGCCACTGGTCTGGACGGAATTAGTGCTAAACTACTCAGAGATTCCGCCTATGTAATCGCACCATATTTGACCAAAATTTTCAACCTCTCCTTACGCTGTGGCTCATTTCCCGACATCTGCATGGAAGAAAGGTAGAGTAACTCCAATTTTCAAATCTGGAGACCCAAATTCATCCAACAACTACCGACCAATCACCATCCTACCAACCTTGAGTAAGTTACTAGAACGAATCGTCCACCATCAAGTTTACAATTACCTGCAAGAACACAAGTTACTAGCTTCCCAACAATTCGGGTTTCGCCCCAAACTGTCAACTACCATTGCCCTGGCACATTTTACTGAGCAGATACTGGATAATCTCGATCACAGAAAGATTACTGGTGCCGTCTCTATCGACCTAAGGAAAGCTTTTGATACCGTCGACCATACCATCTTATTGGAGAAATTGAAAACAATCGGTTTTACCTCGTCTGTTCTCGACTGGTTCTGCTCGTATCTATCAAACCGTACCCAAGTAACCATGATCAACAGTTCAATGTCCCAACCCAAGCCAGTAACTGTCGGAGTCCCTCAGGGAAGTATTCTTGGACCACTTCTCTTCTTTATTTATATTAATAATCTACCTGAATGCTTGACCCACTGCAAGTCGATACTTTATGCCGATGACACACTCCTTTATTACTCTGCAGAAAGTATTTCCAAACTACAGTCAAAACTCAACTCCGACCTACGATCCCTTTCCAGTTATCTTAACAACAACCTCCTTACACTCAATCATGACAAGACAAAGTTCATCATTTTCGCCGGTAGACAACGCCTAAGATCTATCTCCAACATCAACATCTCTATTTGCAATCGGACAATAAAACAAGAACAATCGTTGAAATATCTGGGCATCACAATTACCGAGAACCTTACCTGGCATGAACATATTGAGATATTAATGGGGAAAATCAACCAAAGATTGGGATTGCTGCGCCGTGTGAAATCTTTCTTACCGCTGGATGCAAGACAGATTTTCTATACCTCGACAATACTACCGCTATTTGACTATGCCGATGTAATTTGGGGCGATAAAAACAATTCAGAACTTATGAACTCCCTGCAAACCTTGGAAAATAAAGCAGCTAAATTAATACTAGATCTCCTCCTCTTTCGTCGGCAACCGAAGCTCTCGCTACATTACACTGGTCAACTCTCTCATCTCGCAGATACAAACATCGTTGTATCTTTATCTACAAATGCACTAATGGACTGATAGATTTCGACTTCAATCTGACAACTAACAGCAGAATCCATTCCCACAGCACAAGATCGTGTAACAACCTCCATCTCCCGAAAGTCAACACGAACTGGGGTAAACATAAACCAACCTACCTCGCTTCGAAAGACTTTAACAACTTGGACGTTTCCATCAGAAACACTGAATACAGATTCTCTGAGTCAATTTAAGTCTGGCCATTAAAGAGGGCCTGCTTTTAAAAATTCTGTGAGTAGCCATGTAAATGAGTATCAATATATTGGGATCCATGCCCGAGGGCCCTTTATAGCAATCCATGCCCGAGGGCCCTTTTCAACGTGGACTTTGTTGCCACCGCCCAACGACGTTTACGAAGGATTGGCAAGCACATCTGGCCTTTGTTCATGCAGTATGTCGGAGGAGATAATTGAAGTAAGTTGTCCCAGTAGAGCGGTTAATAGACATAATTTAATTGAAGTCCCTATACAATACAATAAAGCAAATTGTGGATATGGTGTTCAAAGAGCTCTGCTTAATGTATTGATTTCTAACATAAGATCTTTAGTTGGTAAAGTCGACGAACTCTGCGCCTTAGTAAGTGTAACTAAGTATCAACTGGTCCTTGTAACAGAGACATGGCTAAATGACAACATACCAGACGAAGTAGTACAAGTCCCGGGGATGACACTAATTAGGAAAGATAGGGCATTAAATAATGGAGTTCGAGGTGTTGCAGTGTTTGTTGATAATAATATTCATGTTAAACATCGAATGGACATCTCAACATCACCATTTGAATGTCTTTGGGTGATACTTAGGCCCCAGTGGCTACCACGCGCGATCTCGAGAATTGCAGTAGCAGTCGTTTACTTAGCACCTTCTATCATGTCCTCCGAGGATATTGATCGTTTTTATGACTACTTCTATGACTGCTATGATAAAATGATATCGGAAAGCTCTGACACGTCCTTTATAGTAGCCGGCGATTTTAATCCTACAAGTAACGGTTTCCAGATAAAATCCATCTCAAACATGTGCCATCTTAGGCAATTTGTCAAAAACCCAACCAGAGGAACGAATATGTTAGACCTTATTTTTACTAACTGTGGTGATTTTTTCAAGCCGCCGGAAATCCTCGCTCCAATCGCCAGCTCGGATCATGCGACCATTGTTTGGAAATCCACTCTCCAGGAACAAAAAAATGCGACGAAAAAAATTAGGGTCAGACCATTAAGACCCGCTGCTGTACATGCCTTTCGTGAATTTGTGACTAATTGCGACTGGTCTTTCACATTATCCACGAACGATGATAATGATAAAGTTAACGCGTTTTTAGAATTTACGCAAGTTTCAATTGGCTCCTTTTTCCAATTAAAACATTTAAGTTACACGAAGATGATAAACCATTTATAACTGGAAGATTAAAAAAGCTAATGGCAAAGCGTAACAAAGCTCATAAGTCGGATACTCGCCCTGCGCGCTCGTGGCTTTAAACCTAATAAAACACTCCTGCTCGTTTATTAAACAGTACGTAAAGATGTCAAAGATATCTAGATTATATTCAGTATATATATGGTTATAAATTATTGTGATTATAAAGTGTGCAAGAAGGTATATAGTAAATTATACTGTAGTTCCTGTTGGTAGCAGTTATATCATTATGCTGCTATACTGTATGCACCGCAGGAAAACGAATGAATCAAAAGTCACATGCAAGATTCCACACAAATGACAGATATGTCAACTGAATTTGCAGGTGGAGGTGGAGCTTCTATAGTAAATCCACTGATGAAGCGCATTTGCACAAAACGTCGTGGCTTTATTTAGTATTTTCTACTTGCATGATGATGCACGTCCAAGGCCAAAGACTGAATGAATTGTCTGTAACTCTGCACATGCGCTCCAACTGTGAACGTTCCATAACCGTTCACAAAGACTTTTACTGGCATTTTAATAGGTTTATTGTATCGTTGGGAAGAGTTTAGCAGGTGGCCAACAATGAATGTCAAGATGTACAAGTAAGATGTTTTGTAACCAGTTATAACTCTATATGCAACATGGCGGACGAATTGTCAACGAAAGATGTTTTAGAAAACGATCGCGAAGTGCAATCATGCAAAGAGAGTTCACCACAACAAATCAGTTTTTTAAAACAAATAAAAAACCTTCTGTCAAATATCTGCTACCCATACTCCAGAGATTATGATGGCTTAGATCAAAGTTTATATCTTACATTTTATCTCAATGCTATTGTTCTTATTTTCATAATATTATTTATCACAAAGGAATTGTCACTTGGGAAAGATAACGGAGTAACATCTCATTTTGTCCAGGAACGCTATGTTGATATCTTGCTGATCTCTTATATGACACCTGCAATTTTATGGACTGTCTGTCTTTTCCTGATCAAAAATGACAGTCATGTACTTGTGTTTGACAACAATTCAGTCTCGTACAAACGTCCTTTGTTCTACACTATCTATGTGCTTGGGGGTGGATTCTTCCTCACAGATATTTTGCAAGTTGCATTTCATTTGCGATGTGGTATAGCTGACAGTGTTCGTAGTTTATATTTATGTGTTGAAGCTATATTTGTTTTGACGCAGTTGTCGTTCCAGATTTTATTTCTAAGTGCGTCATTTCTTGCAAAAAGTTCTGCAAAGCTGGCTGTGATTCATATGATTGGGTCAAATATCTCTGTGTTTATTCATGGGATATTCAGAAAATCTTCACAGGAAATGGAAGGATTAAACCACACAATGAGCAACGATCACAGCATCCCAAGTTATTCAACTTATTGTGATCAAACACAAAATGCTTTGAGCAAAATTATGGATGTTTTTCAACCATTAAATTTAGAATTTATTGTGATAACTTCAATAACTCTTATTTACATTTTCAATAACATCAAGGAGTCGCAAAATGAAATACAACGTTATTCGCCAACTACAAAAATGTTACGCTGTAGACAAAATATAAGCACTGATACGACTCTTGATAAAAGTGGATCTGGGTGCAACAGTGGATCGTCAATATTACTGCGGAATAGAAACACTACTCCAAGCGTGGATGTTGGATTACTTGCTGGTCTGTTTCTAGCATTATTACTGTTGACTGTTGGCCAGTTGCGCACTAAGTCAGGGAACTTGTCTGAACTAATTACTGCGCACGATATTTGTCATGTGATCATAGTGTCTGTAATGCTGTGCTTCAATTGGTTGATAGCATGGGTGTTATATAATTATCATCCATATTATGATTGGACACCTTTCACACCAGTTGAATGGATATTGTTCGTCGCCACGATGGGTTTCTATGCTTGGAGCATCTTCAACATTGTGCTCGTACATTTGACTAACGGAGCATCGCTTTCGTTCATTCTTAAAAATATATTCAGATTATTACTTGGATTTATACAGACATTTGTTATCAGCAAGGCCATGGGATATTCACTATGCTGCCATGGCAACTATAGCTGGCGCAAGTACTTCGCTCAAGGTTTAACATTTTTAGTAGTATGCAATGCAGCTGTGGCTTTAAATGAGATATTCTTCACAACTACAAAAGGCACTGAATTTGAAACATTGTTCAGCAAACGTACATGGACGGTTCTGACTCTACTCACACACTCGCTTGAAGTTTTGTATTATTTTTATTCATCAATATGTTTTCTTGACATTTCCTTCAAGTATCAGCAAGAAACACTAGTCTAGCCAGCAGCCACTACACGCGTAAAAATCATCATGTTGATGCAAGTTGTTCAAAACAGGAGCGAACAATGTTGTGCTGCACCCCGTGAACAATATTGTTAACAAGTTGTTGAACCATCAACATTGTTGCAACTTGTTGACAATCATGTTAACAACTTGCAACAGTACTGATGGTTGAACAACTTGTTAACAATATTGTTCACGGGGTGCAGCACAACATTGTTCACTCCTGTTTGAACAACGCCGAACAACCTGATCAATTTTTACCCGTGTACTATACTGTATTGGTAACAATTGGTGTAAAATATTGTAAAATGAACTAAAAAACAATGTTTTTCATATTCCAGGCGTAAAAAAAACAAAACCTGTGGTTCCGGTTCCCGACCCACCCTATTTTTTTCTGCCGACCCTATTATTTTTTCAACGTGATTGACCATGCGACCCTATTTTCTCCAGGTGGTTGCGGACTGCTCTATCAGCGTGCCAAAATGGCGTCTGTTGTCACACTAATTATTTGAACCAAATTGCCTAAATTCGTCCATAGAAAATACGCATCTCTAGTTAATATTGATGTCGGGACTCTACTGCAAATCGCCCAAGCAAAAAACCGCCATAACCATGAAAAAAGTATTAAAAAAAAAAAATTATTTCCGACCTACCGACCCTAATTTTTTCACGATCTGAAACCGGAACCACAGGTACTTTTTTTTACGCCCCAGTCCCAGACCCTCCTCTGCAGAGGTTTGCTTAAGTGCACACGATTTGGGCTGCAGGAAATGCTTTACCAATAAATTAATAAAATAGGATCACATATCCAGACTTGACTTCAAGCTATTCTTTGCCATGCAAATGGTTGCATGTTGAGGTTAATGGTCAGGGTAATTTGTATGTGTGTTGATAACTAGAAATGATTTTTAACTGGGATTAAGTTTAGGAATGGCTAGGAGCATTTTATCCTAATTCTAATGATATATAAGAGACATGTATTGGTTTCAGGCCAGCCAATTTTTCCCTCAAATTCTACAATCCTGCTAGGATCGGCTTAATTACAAATACAAATATACCGAAAACTACAACAAATATAACAAATACAACAAATATATGAAACAAGTATGGAATAAGGTAAGAATTAAAAGTACTGTCAATGTCTGCTTTTGACAGGCAGACAGATAGAGTTAAACATAGTAAACATGTTCATTAGTACCATAGGGGAGGATAGTGTCTTGAAGTTTGAAATGAGGAGCATTTCATGTCTTTTACAGCTATTGTGTCCAGAAATGGGACAGAGGGCTCGAATTTGGAACACTGTGATTGCCACATTAAAATGTCTGGCAACAGGCCGGTTAGCATCATTGCCAATGACTGCATGTCGATGTTCACCAAACCTTGTCCTCGAAGATCTTCCAGTTTCCCGATTATAAAGCATGCCATATCTACTACATGGGATGCAGTAGATGAGATGGGAGGAGGTGCACATGAAATGGTGCTGTGACGATGAATCCTGTTGTAGGGAGCTACTGTATGAACTACAGAACTAGGGTTTCACAGATATTTTTGCTGTGTCGAAAAGAGACTAAGGGGTTATCAGAGAAAATAGAAGATATTTTACGGTTGTTTTTCAAAATGGAAATTCTTTCTAATGACATCTCTAACTTGGAAGGAAGAAATTGGAAGGATAAGTTAATATTAGGGGGATTTTGTTGTTACCTCTGACAGTGGCACAGAGTCCATAATGGTCCCAGATTGTGGAAGGCTAAGGCAGCCTGTAGGGAAAGCTAGGGAAGGCTAGGGAAAGCTAAGGTAGGATAAGGAAGGCTAATATATCCAATAATGGTTTGGGTATTTCGGTTGTTCATACATCGAGAAAGGGTAAGGAGACGTCCTTGTGAGGGACAGAGGATTGATTGTGAAAATGTGCTTTCAGTGGGATCAGAATTGAGAATTGTAAATACTAGAAAAACTTTATAAGTATGAAATTACTGTATTAAAATTGTGATTGACTGGTTGTTATAAACATGGAAGTTGAACCAGAATTCTTCATATTTACCAGAGGCAGGGGCGTAGGAAGCGGGGGGGCACGGGGGGCACGTGCCCCCAAATTTTTTTAAAGGACTGAAAGTGCCCTTTTTTGTGATAAAAAGTGCCCTTTTTGTGTTGAAAAGTGCCCTTTTTTGTGAGGAAAAGTGCCCCTTTTGTAGAAGCTAATGTCGCTGTAAATACTAAATTAAAACAATAGGTACCGTTTTTGTGTGGAAATTTACAAATTTTTTTTAAAAATTAGGTCACAAACATAAATTTCGGTATGATACGACGGAAAATTTTCCTCAGGAGAAATTTCTCCCCCCCCCCCTTTTTAGGTGCCCTTTCCGATAGTAATGTGCCCCTACAAGCCGGTGCCCCCCCAAACTCCAGGTGCTTCCTACGCCCCTGACCAGAGGCCCAGAGCTAGTTGTGATATGCATGTTGTTGTGGCCTGAGGCCTCTCTAGGTATCAGTCTGGAAAGTTTGTACTGCGTGCCTGAGATCTCGGTCTCGCAATTTTTTTAAAAATGTGCGCCCAGACACGCAACTTTCAAAAAATTAGCTGTCAGATGTGAGATTGTGCAATTTTTCAAGCGCGCTAAGAAATATCGTAATACACAGGAACCACCGAATTTTTCAGGCGCACACTCGCATGAATTTAAAATTGCAAAATTTTTCAAGCGCACGTGAGAACTATTGCGATACATGGGAACCACAATTAATTGCAAATTAATTGAAAAGAATTTTGAAGCCATCAGACATTCAGACCCATGTGGATTGTGGAATTGGCATGCTGAAAGTTCATTTCCGACAAGGCACGACATCAGCCATTGTGAAATTCGATCTTGGCCAGATTTCGCAAAATTGCGGTCTTTTGGTTTTGGCTTTTCAAGGCAAACATTAATCATCTGAATAGCTGTGAGCTGTTGTTCTGAGACTACCGTCTATCAAAAGACTTTCGTCACTTTCTGTCAGGTAAATGTATTGTTATAATTTGTTTCACGTTTTTGTTTCGCATTTTATGGAAATTCCAAATTTGTATTGACAGTATTAACTAGGCTTACCTGTATTTCTGTTAAATAGCGATTTCGATTTATAGAATTTATTCAATGCCACTACTATTAAAACGCTGTAGACCTTCCTCATTGATCCCGCCCAGGCTTTGTAAATTACTAAATTTTCCTCAACAAATTCTGGGCTCCGCACGTGTGGCCATCTTAACCAAATTTAAATAAATTACGCTTAAGTTACGAATAATTAAAGTATATATATTATAATAATTACGCTAGCATGAAGTCGAGGCTTCAACCATATATGGCTTTCAACCTCCTATATCTATGCTTTCAACAAAGAAAACCAGAGGAAAGAGCCTGGGAACGAGGTTGCAAAGAAAACATGGCTGTTCTTTTATAAGAGGAAACTATATATAAAAGCATTATAAAGAAGTGGGTTTTTTTACTATTTTTAAGGTTTGTAGAGAGTGTATTATAGAGCGTTAAGTAACAAGTGTTTGTATTCGAATATGTGTTGTGATAGAAGTCTCAAAAATGTGTTTAAATATGTAACATTTGTGCAGCAAAAAGTATCGCTGTATCGTACTATTCGTGTATTATAAATGTCATGATAATAAAAACTCTGTCTGAATTGTGACAGTTACATGGAAAGGTAGAAAAAAACAAGTTCTGCAAGCGACGTAGCAAATTGTTTTATACTTTTATTAAACACACAATAGTACTTGTATTGAAAATCAGGACATCCTCACATCCATACTCATCGTATTATTATAAGCAACACCATGTGTCCATGCATGCAGGATGTATGATGTATAAATAACTTAAAAGATCAACATGCCACATTGGATGAGATTTTAATAATTTAATAGTAAGTTCTGGTGTGTGGGTGACATTACATTCTAAATTGGGCTATTTTATTTAATCCCCCCCACCCCCCGTCGAGGATCCCTGGAATTCTTCAGGGGTAAAGGATTTTGAGCTTGAAATTCTTCAAGGGTAAAGGATTTTCAGCTTGGAATTCTTCAGGGGTAAAGGATTTTGAGCTTGGAATTCTTCAGGGGGTAAAGGGTTTTGAGCTTGGAATTCTTCAAGGGTAAAGGGTTTTCAGCTTGGAATTCTTCAAGGGTAAAGGGTTTTGAGCATCTACACAGCTGGATGTTTAGTATGGTTTGTACATTTCCGCTCACATCTATCTTAACACCATCTGTTTGTCTAACATCCATTGTTCTTTTGTCTAACATCTATTGTCTCTTCCTATTTTCCCTCTCATCATGCATTTCTTTAATAGTCTGTCCTTAATAGTCTGTCATTGTTGGTCTGCTTATTTATATATTAGTGTAAATAACGCATTGTATGATCCAATCAGCAATAATGAAACTAACTGCGAGGAGCTTACACAAAACTTAGCTTTTGTTTCTTGTAAAAATGACACAACGAGTAAATTTGTTTAGTTGACTTTTGTGCAATGATACAGTCAAATGGCATGGATTTTTGTCAAGAATAAAAGTCAAGGTAATAAGGTATAAGACAGGCAGCATTTTGATGGTGGTTAGTCCCCAAAAAAGTATTAAAAATGTTATTAATGAGAATTAATAACTCTGAATATGCTACAGGCAAGCAATTGCATTCGGTAATTTTGTTATGTAAGCACGGTTGGGTAGGTGTAGTTGTCATTAAAATACACGCAGTACATTATTATTGTCTTGGAAAAGCTTTCCATTTTGAGATACATTGTTTTAAGGTTATTCATCAGTTTTGCATTGTGCACTTTTACTGCACATAACTAATAACAAATTCTAGCTATTAGCTAATATATGTAGTCGAACTGCAATGTAAAGTGATAAAGAAAGAGTAAGGGCAAAGAGAAAAACAATCTGCATTGATTATGCACGCTTCAGGAAATATACCTTCAAAAATGACAGAACTCTGGCTTGGGCTCCTGTGCAACTAACACTAAACCACATCATGTTGCAGCATGACCCTACTTTTTTATTTTATATTCTTGTTCTTCTATACGTTTTACATGTCATAAAATAAGAGAAAAATAATTTCTACCACTTATAGTATTTCACATTTTTCATGCATGCTTCCCAAAATAACTTGTCTGAGAAGATGGGAAAAGACATCTTTGCACCACGACAATGGTTTTTGATTGGCTAAAATACCCTGTTTTGTTGTAGATAAATATGATCACTAGATAGACATTTTTAATAGAATCCTTGTTAAAAAATCCAATAACAGTTGAGCAATTGCGATTGTTCCTGTAACTCGTGAAAGGGTCAAGGACTCAAGATGGCGCCATATGGAGGGAAAGGTGGCATATTGCACTTGCCATATCTTTGAAACAAGTTATGGGAAGTTTCAGCAAGTTCTCATTTCCAGAACAATTATAGCCAGCGTGGCCGGCTCTTTTATAAGTAGAGCCTGCCCGAGAGCCCTAGTCAAATTGATGCCGCCCACTTAGTTAATATTCCATATTAACACCGCCCACTCAAAATAGTTTTGTATAAATTGATGACTTAAAATTTTAATTGTTGCATATTTACTATAGCCTGCGCTACATGCTTTCAATAAACTTTTTACAATAGATGGATAGCGATTCAACTGCCTGGAAATACAAGCAAAACGTCGGCATTTCGAGCGAAGGCCCTTAGTAGGCCCAGTAGTAGACGAAGACCGTTCAAAATTATATTAAGCTTTGCACGTGTATGGCTGTACTACAGTTATAAATATTGCAGTATTAAATATAATGACTTAGGAAAAGTTTAAATAGACGCCTTCCCGTGTCATACTCGTTGGCAGGCAAATGTACTGTATTTTAAAAGCTCCAAAGAGAGCTTCGTATTATTATGGTGTATTAAACACAATGAGGAATGTATTGTTTTATATAATCGTAATTTGCCAGCCAGCAAAATATAAACAAGGCAAGGACAGCCAAGGTTTTAAACTCTATATACTATAGTGACCATATGGTAAAATCATACGACATATGCAGTAATAGCAGTATGGCTTGCCGTATTCTGTTTAGATACAGGTATATGTTATACATTTTACACTTTGTCTTTTGAATTTTATATTTTAGCCGACAGGTTTACACTTTAATATAGCAATGCCGTTTGTTTTTACTGTATTTATTTTTAAATATTTGAATAAATTAGCGTAACATGTCAATCAAACTGTTGTCAACGTAAATTCAGCCAATCACAATTCTTGGCGGCTGGCTGCCGAGAGTCATCAATTTGACTAGGGCTTTCGGGCAGGCTCTCCTTCTATAGAGCCAGCCACGCTGGCTAGAACAATTACTGATGAATCACCTTAAATTTTCTTATTTAAGAGTAAGACACCAGATAAGACATACTAAGTGCAAATCGAAAAAGCTTGAATTGATAATCAGTTCACAATGCTTAAGCCTTATTCACAATATCAGTCAAAAGGGTGATGATTTATGGTATATGATTTATCATCTATAATGCAATTTTATAAATTACTTCAACTAGAAAATGGTGTGTGAATCAGTATTGAAACGCTGCTGTAAAATAAAACTCTTATCCCCTGCAGTTGTTTCAAAAAGATTATAACATAAATCTTAAAAAAATTTGTTTCGACTGACCCTGAATTATTTTGCGCCTACATGTGCAAGATTTCTGACTTGTCATGCTTGGTCAGATATTTCGCAGATGTGCATGTCAAGCAAAATTCTGAATGAATTTATTTGATTGAGACTCCAGAAAAACGTGATGAGTACCGGTGAAAACGTCAGTACATGTTTCAGTAAAGAAATTTAGAACACTAATACCCTTTAACCTTTTGGGTAAATTTGACCCAAGAATGACTCTTTTGGGGGTCATTCTGACTCTTCTGAAATTACAGTGTGAGAAATTAATTATTTTGTTTTGGCGAACTTTCTTGCCTAATTTCTTTGTTAATCTTCACCAAAATATTACATCAGTATTATTTTTGTATTCTTAGCAAAAAACCCCAAATACTTCAAGATGATGCCATCAGGCGATCCAGGTTTGCAAAGAGTGCCACAGTTCTCGTACACTCCGGAGAACATGCAACTTCTTGGCAAGGTAAGCCATAAGAGAAGATATTATTCTGGTGAAATTATGTACTATATTTGGTGTTTTACATTTGACATGCATGGTTGATTGCCTAACCACCCTTAAATTATTCCAGGTGTCCAAAACATTTTGCGAACAATGCTTACCTCTATTTGTTATTAGTAAATGTCATAATCAAAATGCAGTAATTTTGAAAGGATGAAAAGCAGACTCCGCACCCCACTCTAAATTACCAAAGTTATGTACTATATACAATGTTGAAATTATATAAAATTTGTCTACCCTTACATACTAAGCCCATATCACATCTGCATTGCAATTTAGTCCATCCATTAATTAACTTATTGGTTTTTATTTGTTTCTTTTTCATTCATTTTTTCCTTCCCTCCTTCCTTCCTTCCTTCCTTCCTTCCTACCTTCCTTCCTTTTCTTTCATTCTTTCTCATTCATTTCCTTTCTTTCTTTCTCATTCATTTCCTTTCTTTCTCATTCATTTCCTTTCTTTCTCATTCATTTCCTTTCTTTCTTTCCTTTCTTTCTTTATGAGTGAGAAAGAAAGAAAGACTTTCTTTATCATTTCTTTCTTTTTCATTTCTTTCTTTCATTTCTTTCTTTCATTCCTTTCTTTCATTCCTTTCTTTCATTTCTTTCTTTCATTTCTTTCTTTCATTTCTTTCTTTCATTTCTTTCTTTCACTTCTTTCTTTCATTTCTTTCTTTCATTTCTTTCTTTCATTTCTTTCTTTCATTTCTTTCTTTCTTAATGGAATCAAAAAATTTGATTCAAATAATTCCATTGTCCAATACTTTTTCCACCCCTTAAGTGAACGTTTGATCCTAATTTGCAGGCCATTCAATCAATGCAAGAGAAAGGCTTGGAATCAGATCCTCGTTACAGTACGTTGTTATCGTTTGCTCGCAATGCACAACAAATGCAACAGATGCCAGGATTTTCAAACAATGCTAATACTAACCTTATGGGGAACATGGTGCCAACACCTGGACAGCAAGCATTGAATTCTGGCAATGAAGGATTCAGTAATGAGGAGCATTCTGCCATGCAAGGGAATCCAGGAAAGAATGCAGGTTTTTCTGGCGATCAAATAAATCAATTACGAAGTCAAATTATGGCATATAAATTGCTGTCACGTAATCAGCCACTCACAGAGCAAATTAAAATGACAATCCAAAGTAAAGGGGCCACTTCTCGAATGCCAAATATACATCCTTCAACAGCAGATCGTACAGGTACAGTACATGTTATAATTCATCTATTACTTATTACAATTATTAGTATAGGTAATTAATAGTATGGTTTTTAGTGCAATTTGGAAGAAACCTGCACGAGTGAGATTTCCAAAGACGATCAAAATTTGCACGAGTCTGAAGGATGAGTACAATTTGAAGTCTTTGAAAAACTCACGAGTGTATGTTTTTCCGGCATGTTGATTTGTCCGCCTTGTTTCCAGGCTCTGCTCTTGTTCAGTTGTTAATCGCACTGCAGTAATTAGCCATTTCCCAAAGTCCTGGGTCTAGTCGTGCAAATCCCATGTTGGAGGGACAAGAAATATGGCAGCACACATTTAAATTAAATGTTTAATTAATGTAAAAAAAGAGATATTTCATTTTTGGTCAAATCCTTAAAAATCGATGGTTTATCGCACACCGCACGTACAAAACAATTATGTAATAATGCATGTAAACAATTATAAAATATTTCAAACAAGCTTTTTTTGTGTCACACAAAAACTGTGCGTTTTATACCACATCTTTCTTGTTCTTTAGGCAAGGATGATCATAATCTCCTACTTTTACTCTCTATCCAAAATTTTCTCTAAGGCCCTAGTTAACGATACCGGATTCGCATCGGAGCGACATTAAATCAGTTTAAGTTTTACATTTTCAAGGGGAGTTTAGCACTCAAAATTATGATAGTATAACAGAATTAGTCAAAAACGTCAAATATGAAAAGTTTTAAGGCCGAAAAGCGTCTTACAGTAGTTGATGTTGCTCGACTCACTCCGATGCGAATCCGGTATTGTGTAACTGGGCCAAAGTCTCTAAAGGGCATGTTCATATGAGCCCAGTTTGCCAGGAAGCTAAAACCTGAGTGGGATGAATTATATCTGTGTTCACATGACTGTTTTTATTCCATCTACAACAGTAATTAAATATTCTGCCTTGGTGCGACGACACTACAGTGAATGTAAACATGGTCATGGCGTCTTCAAAATATTTTTTGTTGTTATTCAACATACTGCATCTTGTGTTAGGACGTATAATTAGGTCTCTTGATGTTCATTTTTTTGTTTCTATTTTTCAACTATGCTGTTAACTAAATGCTATATTATAGGTCAAAATCGCCAAAAAATGTCCACCTTGGTCAGGTGGGATAAAGCCTTCGTATGGAAGATTTTATCCTACTTGATTGAGATTCCACCTCGCTAGCAAGGTGAAATCCCACCTAGCCAGATTGGCTCTTCAACACAAATTGAATTTTATATGCATTTGTTAACGGTGCACAGATCTCACTCATATGAGTTTCCGGGTTAGCTGGCAGGGGTGGAAAAAATAGGCGAGCACTGCTCGCAGGAAATGTTAAACAGTGAATGTAGATTTACTGTCGAAAATTTGAAGGAAAACTATAACACCCATGTCCCACTATGGGCGCAACATCATATGGTTGACAGACATTCTATGAATTTAAAACCATGGTCAGCTAGAACACTGTATGTTTATGCACATGCAGGTTTAGCATAAAAATACTCCGTTGGTCTGCAGGAAATGTTTGTCTCCAGGTTGTTCTCCCAGGAAGAAAATTATTTTTTCCTGCTCTGTTAGCTGGGCCCAATCAACAGGCCCTAAGTTTCCAAATCAAAAGGTCAATGACTGACCGACTGATTACTGGCTAGCCTGCATAGCAGCCGGGGGTTTTTTTTGGGAGGGGGGGACTGTGGGCGGCAAAAATCATGCTGCTACGCAGGCTACTGACTGGCTGGCCAACTGACCGACCGACAGACTAAATATTCGTATGTTATTCACGTTAACTGTGAGGCAACGTGAGAAAAGCAGACCTTCAAATGTCTACTATCAGTCCCAACTACAAAACTCTGAAATATAGTGTTTTATCTTTGCAGCGCTACAGGCTCCTCCAGATAACGCAGCTAATGAATCCAGTAACTGGAGTGCTCCAGCAACAAGCACAGCCACACAACCAACGCAAGAGAAAGGCAAAGAGGAGGAACAAAAACCCCAGGCTGCACAAGCAAATCAAAACACACGTCCAGCCCCACCAAGACCTGCTACAGCCTCTCAGATCTTGGCCTCGATACAAAATCCTGCTCGGTCTAGATTGGCTCCTGTTGCAAAACCTGCAGGATTAGATCCTGTTGCAATACTGCGCGAGAGAGAAAGCAGGTAATGTTGAAACGGCTTTGATCAGTCTTTATTTTTCGGTTTATGCATATTGTAGACATCTTTACGCAAGATGCTCTAACGCCTGTATTTTAAAAGCTCACTCACACTTACACTCAAAGAGTGGAGACACATAGTAAGGTACGAGACTAACCCTCCAGGGGCCGGTTGTTCAAAGCACGATTAGCGCTAATCCTGGGTTAAATTTTAACCTGCTGTTTTAGTTAATGTATTTCTGGAAATCTATTTGTTTCGATACTTCAGAGAAGAAAGCTCTCATTGGTCAAGACAAGATTTCTGAAGAATATTTCCAAGTTTATAACCAAGCTGTCGGGAAGTTTGCTTTCAATTTTAGGTGTAGGGTTAAGCTAGTCGTCTTTTGAACAACCGGCCCCAGCTATTCAAAAACAGCACAGACACTCGAGGTAAGCTCAGATTGAACCTCCACTCTTTGAGTGTGAGTGAACTTTTAAAATATAGGCGTACTCTAATTGGTCTTTGATACAGTTGTGAAACTTCAATATACAAGGAGAAAATTGTGGAATTGTTATTTTAAGATTGCTTATTACGAAAGTCACCGAACTGTGGAATCGCATCAAAAATTCGTATCACCGTCACTCCCACAAACGTCTACGACCGCACCTACATATTTTTGAATGTTTACAATTCTAATTTTAAAGATCCAATCCGGTTCTTGATAGCAATTACAATTAAACGCCGATTGGGCCGGATTGATTCTGTTTAAAATTAGAATTGTAAACATGCAAAAATATGTAGGTGCGGTCGTAGACGTTTGTAGGAGTGGCAACAATACGAATTTTTTATGCGATTCCGATATGAACTTAAATAATTTCAGTATGTTCTGTCCTTTGCATTGCTATATTGTACTTTGTCCTAGGCGTGGTTAGAAAGTGGTTTTGAGAGTTAAAGTGCTTATAAACCCAAAATGGGTTCTTGGTGCTTCGAATAGGGCATAAAAAATTAGTTAATGGTGGCTCAACTTTTTTATCTGTTATACAATATCTCTGAAAGTAAAGTCTCGATAGGAAACGGAGATATAAGAATCACCAAAACCCCATTTTTGGCTATAAGCACTCTAAGTTTCTTGGATTCATCTCCGAATATGGAATCAGACAGGGTATATCAACGTACAGGGTATCTCAAATCAAAGTAATTCTGTGTAATTCTGACAGTCTGTCACTGTATAACGCGCTGTTGTACGTTGTTCCGAATTGCAGTCGAAACCGAGTTACTGTCTGTTAGACAGTTAGCTGTGCAAATCCGATCCGACTGGATTCGTTCGGATTTCGGAACAAAAATATACATATCGGATCGGGTTGATAAAGTTGTTTCGTAGTCGGATCGGATCTGATTGGACTTCGATATTCGAAATAAAATGAATTAATTATCCACGCATTATCGCAAGAATTAATTATCCATGCATTTATTAAAGCATTATCGCGGTTGTCGCTGCATTATTGTTTGATACTTCAATTGGACGTCACTTTGTCAGCTTCTTGACATGTATTTCTTGCTTTTATATTTATTTGGTTAAATATTTCAACTTGAATGAGAAATTTATTTTATTAAAGGATTCTTCGGATCGGATCGGAATTCTTTATCAAAGCTCGGATCGGATTCGGATTAGACAATATCGGATCGGATTTTAAACATTAGCCAATTGTCGGATTATAAACGTCCGATCCGATGCACGCCTCTACTGTCTGTACTTATTATATCGTATATTTTGTAGAATTCAGGCTCGTATAACATTACGTGTTCACGAATTGGAAGGACTTCCCTTGAAATCTTTGGCAGATGATCTTCGACTACAAGCTACTATTGAACTAAAAGCATTGAGACTTCTAAACTTTCAGAAACAGGTAATTTAGAATTTTGAGGGACTTATTATTCTTTAGGGTCGTTTTCCACTTTACGGTCGCTTTGTCCCCGTGGGACAAGCAAAACAGTTTGATAAATCTAACCACAGGCAGCCCAAAAATGCGTGTAGAATACACTAAATGTCAATTTATAAGAAACCTCGCCCCATTCCTCTGACATTTGTCGCGTGTCGCAAGCACTCGATTAAAATCATAAACGCTTGGGGCAAGCTTGTTTATATATTGACATTTGGTGCATTCTACGTTCATTTTTGGGCTGTCTATGATCTAAAGCGATCGTAGTGGGCCTTTTATCATTGTTTTTATACAGTAGTTGTATTAATGAGCACAATAAGGAAGGCTGACTGGCTATTACGCGTTAGTTTAAACCATGATATTTATGTTTTAGTTGCGTGCTAATGTGGTGTCATCAACACGTCAAGACACGACGTTGGAAACGGCGCTCAACTCTAAAGCGTACAAACGAAACAAGAAGCAATCCTTACGAGAGGCCAGGTAAATAATGACAAAATGATACATACACAATAATCAAATCTCTTTCTGCCTTTTCACTGGCTGTTGGCAATGATGATATATTTTGCGCGCATGCGTCATTCCATTCAAACTTGAAATAAGATCACTTCAAATGTCATAGCAACACTTTTCGTGACCTCCACGACGTTCGTGAGAGTTAACTTTTTATTCGTCCGTCTACAGTTTCCCCTAAACCAAGACTAGGTTTTAATAACCTATGTATTTATATACATACAAACTCATTACGTCTTCTGACTCAGTCAGCTTCCAAAAATGGAAGTGGTTCTGCGGCTCGCAATGTGAAAAGAGTTGCATCTGATAGTTCGTTAGTAATTGATTCTTTCTATGTACGTATATAGTGTATTTGTCTAACATTTAGGGATCGCAGTAATTGGCGCAAGCTGTTGCGATTGCCCTGCCAGTTTTTTGTGTTAACGTTGTTTAAATCTGGCAAAGTTAATAAATTAAATTAATTACGAAGCCCTTTATTATCGTAGTTCTAAAACATCTCAAAATATTTTGAAAATTGGCTAGCGTCGTCTTTCGTTACATTTTTCAGGTTTTCAAATCATTAATCGTCTTCCATTCAACTGTTGCAAGTGACGTCACAAAAAATGCGACGTAACAGACATTTCTTATGACGTCAACTGCGCAAAACCAATTTAGCATTGTCCCATAGGTCAATGCAAATCGTTGGCGAGCCAATAAATTTCATAAAAACATCACTTGTCCCTTGGGGCATCGCATTAAAGGGGCAGTGTCACGGCGCTGATTGGCTAAAATAAACGGCGAAAAGAAACGGTTAAAATTAATGCTACATTGTTGGAAAAGATGCAGCAGCCTTCAATTTTTAAAACAAAGCAAGGATGTCCTGCATAACGAAGGGATTATAAATAGTATATCGTATTTCGCTCCTAACTTGATTAATTGTTGGCAGACAGTTATTCAAGTTCGCGCATATTTTGGATGCGCAGTAGAACCGTGACACTGCCCCTTTAAGTGTTTTTTTCCGCGTTTGACGTCATTATAAGAAAGGTCTATTGTGTGACTTTTACCGTTTTCGGAATTTGGAGGCAAATGTTTAAAGTACATCAATGCGATACCTGAATAGATCTTACATGGTATTTATACTGTATCAAAACGAGTCAAACAGATTTAATGGCGATGATTTGGACATGAGGAAATAACTGTTACAACAAACATGGCAGCTTAACCGTATAGTACTTTTACAACAAACATGACAGCTTAACTACAGTATATAGATAGTACTTGTATCCCTATATCAATCCAAAGATTCCTACTGTATTAATATACTGGACGTTTGTTATATCGTAGGATTACAGAAAAACTAGAGAAACAACAGAAGATAGAGCAAGAACGTAAACGAAGAGTAAAACATCAAGATTATTTGACTTCTATTATTGCACATGGTCGAGAGTTTCGAGAATTTCACCGTGGCAATTATTCCAAGATTAGTAAACTGAACAAAGCTGTGTTAAGTTATCATGCTAACAGTGATAGAGAGAGGAAGAAAGAAGAAGAGAGATTGGAGAAAGAAAGAATGAGGAGACTTATGGTAAGAAATTATGGGAACCACTCAGTATATCTTTAAAACAAAAAACATAACTAAAACATAACAAAAAACATAATTAACTAGTGGCGAAGCCAGCCCGATAATTTGGTCATGCTATGCAAATATTTCCGTGTTCATAGACCGTGAAAACAATCAATTTCTAAAGAAATGAATAACGATTTTCACTTAAAATTTGTATAGCACGACCAAATTGTCGGGCTGGCTCCGCCACTGTAATTAACTATCGTTACCGAGTTGCCATTGTTAACGCCATACATTACAATTCAATTTTTATTACAATTCAATATCATTTTACATGTCAATTTCAGAATTTTGTATTCAGGTTGTTGGCTAGAGTGCCTTCATGTCCTCTCTCTATATATACAGTAGATTTAGTAAACAGCTGTGGTCGTGTGGTTGTTAAAAAAGTGGAATGATACAACTGTGGAAGTTGTTTTACTCAAGATACGTCCTTCGAGTTAGAATTTTATTTTCGTAGAACATTCGTTATGATTTTGCTAAGTATGTATGTCAACTACTCCGGGAAGCGTAAGTAAACGGCTTGGATGAACATGAGCGTGTTTTTGGAGCTTGGAGGTGACTGTAATTAGCAACAGGAAAATCATGTAATATGATGATATTTGGACGAAAATGAAAACTTTCAAGTAAAATCGAAACGGGTGTCATGATACACATACAAACGGGAAATTGATGCCCCAAAGGGTATTGGGCTGTCAATTTCCCCCGCGTAATGCAAAATGACTGAAAAACGGCAAACTTCGCAAGGCTATATTATCCGCATTTTACAACATTTCGCAACGAAACTTTGGAATATTACTAATTTTGTGATGCTCTTTCAAGCTGTGATGAAATTGTTGTCTAGACTTGTTTAGATCAAAATTTAGTCTATAATGCAATTGTGCGTGGAAGTTAAAATGCGAACGGGCCTCGTCTGTTCTCTTGTTTGCCTTGAACACTATTTGTGCTGATCACACAAGTCATTTCATTGTAGGAAGAAGATGAGGAAGGTTATCGTAAACTTATTGATCAAAAGAAAGATAAACGTTTGGCTTATCTCCTTGGACAAACAGATGAATACATCAGTAACTTGACACAACTTGTGAAGAAACATAGAATGGATATCAAGAGAAAGAAGAGGGAACATCGTAAAAAACGCCGAGAACTTGAGGGTGAATTAGGAGATATGATTGATAAGATGGATCCTGAGGAACATGTGGCTGTGGTCAATACGGAGACTGGTGAAATGTTGACTGGAAGTGATGCACCAACTGCAAGTCAAGTTGAAGAATGGTTGGCTCAAAATCTCAAGTATGTTCGATCTAGTGTATTGTCATAAATATACTTTTCGAGTTTTTAATAGCATAATCATCATTTGATAAGATTGTTTGCAAGCATATTTGCCTAAAGATGGTCGTGAGAACTACTCAGAAGAGGAGAATGTTGTCGAGTTCATTTTATTAAATGTTCATATTTAATACTGACACGTAAGGGAAAATCGTCCCGAGCAGGATTTGCATTACTCATTGAGTTATCAAGATTAAATATATTTAATGTTTACAGACGTCTCAACCAAAATTTAAACATGCTATCCATATTATTTTATTTCTAAGTTATCAAGTACAGCTCCACTACTGTATATATTTGCTGAAGAAGCTACCCTTATTTATCTCTAAGTTATCAAGTAGCTCCACTACTATATATATTTACTGAAGAAGCTACCCTTATTTATCTCTAAGTTACCAAGTAGCTCCCCGTCAAGAAGACTCTGACAATGAAGATGATGTTGATGAAGATGAAGAGGATGATGAAGAAGAAGACGAGGCACAGAAGAAAGGTCATCAAGATAAAACTGAAGAAGAAAGAAGAAAGGAAGAATATGGCGCTGAAGATGATATCGAGTATGTTCTTTTAGATTGACTTTTCTTAGCTCCGTCTGAATGAGATCAGGACAGAGTAAGAGCAGGACGACGAAAGTCAAAATCGTAACGCTTTTTTACATGAAATCAGGTCGCGAATCATGTAGTTTCTTTTTCGTACTTTGGAAATGCAATCCACAAATAATGTTGTTGATTTTTACTACAGTTTGATCAGCGTTGTTTAGGTCTAAGAATATTTTGTGTTTACATTCCTCCCGCTAATGTTCACGTAAATACATGTAGCAACTAGGGACATTACTATAACCAAACAAATCGTCCCTTTCTGACATTCTCCCGATCATGTGTAAACGTGCTGTGTGAAACATGCGTAGCAATGCGTCGGTGCTATATATTGTACTTTACTTGTGCTATAGTGTTATTTATCTTCTATGATGTATAGGAGTACGACAAGTAAAGAAATTGAAAGTAGGAATTATTATAACATCGCTCATGAGTTGAAAGAAGATGTTAAACAACAGCCAAATATTCTGGTTGGAGGGACATTGAAAGAATATCAGGTACGTATGGATTCATAGGTGAAGCTCATCTGATTGTCGGGCGTAGATTTTTTCAGGAGGAACACTTCCAAAGGTCGTAGGTTCGATTCCCACCGTGGCCAGGCATATGTTTCAAGCCTGCCCGGTGTGGATATACACTCAGAGTAACATCACACAAGCATCTTATTCACCTGAGTACATTACACCAACACAGCAAAATATCACTTTATATTCCATTACACAACAATCCAGAAATCATGTAAAATGTCATCATGCTAATTTTTTATGAGGCTGGGACAGACCTTTACAAACTTTTGTTTGTTTCTCCTCTCTCATACAGGTCAGTGGCTTGGAGTGGCTGGTATCCTTACACAACAATAACTTGAACGGAATCCTTGCAGACGAGATGGGTCTTGGAAAAACTATACAAACAATTGCCTTGTTATCGTATTTGATTGAGAAAAAGAAGATTATGGGTCCATTCTTAGTTATTGTACCTTTATCGTAAGTATCTATTTTGTATTAACAAGATTATAAAAGGCATAATTATCAAGATTATAAATAGTGCAGATTATAAATAGTGTTTATTTATTTGTTTAGCTCCGCCTATAATTACACAATCAAACAACACGTACACCCAACCATTTCTGTCCGACCCTGGAACGCGAAAACTTCAGCGCAACGTACATGATTGCGAAATTAAACCTAGGATGGTTTAATTTTAGAATCATACACATTCATTTAATATACTTGAATTTTATGAGCCCAACATTGGAAAATATGGAAATTGCTTAAAAACTTGGCATAGACCTAGACAAAACTTATCGAAACGCAGAAAATACGCCGGGCCTCCCACGTTTCAAGGTTGGACAAAAAGGTGACATGCAACAACATAAAGTTGACAACAACAAAAAGGCGGGGACACCACAACAGCTTAGAACCAATTACTGTGGGCCCTTGGATACAGAAAACACATAACTATAAGTGACTTACCGTGTCACTGCCCCGAAATGACATCACAAGGTAAAACTGAAGAATAAATCAGGTTCGTAATCAATCTAAAAAGTAAACGTTTCGTTATTTTTCACTTTCCAGGACATTATCTAATTGGACTTTAGAGTTTGAAAAGTGGTGTCCTTCAATTATTTCTATATGTTACAAGGTAAGCTCTAACGAAATGAATATATGAAATTATGATTGTCTGTTTATAGTCATTATGAATGTAGAATAAGTACATGCAGTTTGTTTACTGACATTTTAGTGGTAGCATCAACTGACTACAAATATCACTGTTAGTAGTACCCACTTCCCCCTGAAAATGTTTTTTTGCTTTTGTTTTATGTCTTAAGCCATTCCCAACATTGCAACGTCACTCTTGTAACATTTCAAATCCGACTATGAGGACTGGACTAGATTCCAAGTCCGCGCAATTTGATCCTTGAAATCTAGTCCAGTGCTCACAGTCGGAACTACTTAAAATGAGGTGAATTAATTTTCATCCAATCCAAGGACTGAATTGATTAATATACTTCACCAGGTATCCAGTGTTGTCATGTGAGAAAAATAAAGCAGTATGGTTGGCTAATTTACTCATGAATTATTATTGAGATGCAGCACACAGATCGGATATTGATATACTGTAGGTGGAATGAAGAGAGTTTAATTTGTTGTTTTCAGGGCTCACCAAACTGTCGAAGATCTCTGGCGAATCAGATCAGGACTGGAAAGTTTAATGTTGTTATGACAACTTATGAATACGTCATGAAAGACAAAGCTGTGTTAGCCAAGGTACTTAAAATGTGATGTTCATTTTACAGTATTTAAACTACTTTGAAAGTAGAGTTCCAGTTTGGGTAGTGTTGAAAAAGTGACAAATTTCGACGTTTCGAGTGAAGGCCCTCTTCTGGAATTTAGTAGTTAAATTATCAGTCAGTTAGATCCTTCAACCAATGAACATAATCAATGAACAACCAACGACTAACTCTCTGACGAATGCCTATCGCTCGAAGCTTCAGAATTCTATACACCTGCCTATTTCAGGCTAACGAGAAACGATATTAGAACACAAAGTGGTTCGGATTCTTAGACCAAAGATTGATCAAAGTTCTTGAAAGAGCTTTTTTACCGGCAAACGTGCTCTTTAATTAGGCTGAAAACCTTGATTTTTTAAACCTTTACTTGCATAAGGCTAAATATGAAGCCCATCACTTTATTTGGCGACGCGGAATTGTCATAACTATAATAATAAAGCACGTTCGAGGCTAGGGTCTGCAGGCCTGTGCACTCAATACTCAATGTAAATGACGTTACCAACCGTCAGTAAAAGTGTTTCATTTTATTAACACGAGGTAAACGGTTTAACATATTGCAATTATTGTGTTAATACTGAGACACAGCACATAAAGCGATCTCGATACTTGATAGAAATACATTGCTTTGAGATTTCCGAAATTTTCAGATTGTCAACCCATGTTTCAACTGACTCGTCTTTACAATATTTCTCAGTATATACAACGTTGCTCTACTATACATGAGTAAGCGAAATTAGCAAACAGAAAACTAATAGCATAACAAAAAATTTACTGCTTTTACATATTGCTGAGTGCAGAGTTATATACTTTTATTTAATTAACTGATATGTAAATTATTGTAGGTGCGGTGGAAGTACATGATTATAGATGAAGGTCATCGAATGAAAAATCATCATTGTAAATTAACTCAAGTTTTGAATACATATTATTCAGCTCCACATCGTTTACTTCTCACTGGTACTCCTTTACAGGTAACATTTTGGAATAAATACATCACAATTTTATCAGAGAGCTTAATCTGCTGCTACTGTAGGCACGTTTTTATACACGAACGCCAACCGGAAGTCAATCGAGCCGGAACTAAATCAACGAACGTGAAACTACATTGGCTGCCGTTCTTGATTTAATGCAAGAACAACATACGTCAAACATATAAGGCTCCGTCGGTTGCTTGAGCTCTCTATTTTCTTTGGTGGAATATTTTTTATAAATCATAGATGACGTCATTAATTACGTTGGGAAAATAAGCCAAAATATGCAAAATGCGATCACGAGTTTATGTCATCTTGTATTCCACACCATGCGGAAGAAATACATTAAATTTGTACCTTCTCTTTACAGAATCGTCTTCCTGAGATGTGGGCTTTACTGAATTTCTTATTACCATCTATCTTCAAATCTTGCAATACATTTGATCAGTGGTTTAATGCTCCTTTTGCCATGACTGGAGAAAAGGTAGGATAGTATCATAGTCATAGTGTTTTTATATCACTGTGGGGTCCATATCTGTAGTTCCACAGCTTTTCAGAATTTTGACAAAAGTTGAGAAAGTGACCTTCCAGTCTTTGTACAACCGCCCCTTCTTGTTGTGCTGTGCTGTACTGTATATCTAATTTTTCTACTAATGCTACTAAGGAATTCACCACAAGTCAAAATTACATATGTCAAGATTTAAAATAAATCTTGTATGTTTAAAATAAATTGTCCTTGATTCTAAATTTCAATAAAGGTGGAGCTGAACGAAGAAGAAACGTTGTTGATCATCCGACGTTTGCACAAAGTAAGTTCAATATGAACGATCAATTTCTATCGTTCAATTTCTATCATTGCTGAGTATATTTAACAAAATTGTTAATGAAGACGAAATGTTATTAATCAGATACACAGACATTGATAAATTGATAGTTATTTGTTGAATTAAAATCTCTTATTTAGGTGTTACGTCCATTTTTGTTACGGCGTTTGAAAAAAGAAGTAGAATCTCAGCTACCAGAAAAGGTGACGAAACATATGACTTTCTTTTTTTTTGAAAATTAGATAATTTAATATTGAATGACGTTTATAATGGGTTTATATTTAACAAATATAAAACATTTTCCGTGTTGATATACAGTTATATCAACACGAGTGGAAATTGGGAAAACGAGAAATTGTGTGGTGTTTTCACACAATTTCGATTTTCGAGTTTTCCCAATTTCCACGAGTGTTGATATAACTGTATATCAATACGGAAAAAAGTGTTATATTTGTTTTATAATACAGCACCAAGAACTATAAAGAAAGAAATTTTCCAACGTTTCCGTGTTGACATTGAGTTATATCAACACGGCTCTTAGCCAGTCAGCGTTCAGAATTTACAAATGCTATATTATAATTTAAAATCTTTCTAGACTGAGTACGTGATCAAATGTGATATGTCAGACTTACAGAAACTGCTGTATCAACATATGTACAAAAAAGGAGTGTTATTGACTGATGGTTCTGAGAAAGATAAAAAGGTAATTTAATTAAATGCTCAAAATTTTCGCCATTTCGCTCGATAGAAAAAGGTTAAAGATTTTTCGTGGATGGAAATTTCGAGTGAAAAACGGAGCAGTTGCAATGGGGCATGCGCCACGAAAAGAAACCACCTTTGATACAATTACAACAAGTCAGCTGACGTTTTCATTTGAAACCTAAAGTTTTATGTCTACAGCAAAACATGTCAACCAATCACCGAGGTTTTATGCAGTAGTTTCAGTGAAATTAGTGTGCTTAAGGCCCATCTACACGGCATATGCACTCGAATAAATAGAGATGTCACATTTTTAATTTCGCCGTAAACTGATGAACAAGAATAGTGGCGTCAGCAGTCGTTTTCGTACGCCAGAATGACGATCGTTTACGACTAGTCATATCGTGTAAATGAGCCTTTAAGCAAGCGACATTTTTGACAACATGGACGTCACGCGTATATAATTTAACCGGCAGTTCGTGCTTGAAATCAAGAAGGCAGTCAATGCAGTTCCAAACAAGGACGGCTGACGCCATCTATAACGGCTCGATTTACTTCCGGTCGGCGTTTGTGAATCAAAATGTCGCCATCTGAAACGTCGCTTGCTTAAGTTCTCTATTGTTGGAACGTCACAAAAGCCCATAGTAAATGTTGGTTAACACTATCAATACTAAAGCATGCTTTGGTGGAAGAATGTTATACCAGTGTTTCAACTTTACTTCAATCAAAAGTTTTGTCATTAATATTTGATTACGTCAGACACACCTACTTTTGATCAAGCAATCAACCTCCAATTGTCATGTTACCGGACATGAAATGCCGAACACGTGCAGATCTTATACCGTATTTTCCCTTTCAGGGTCGCGGTGGAGCCAAAACATTGATGAATACAATCATGCAGTTAAGAAAAATTTGTAACCATCCATTTGTATATCAGCATATCGAGGTCAGTGTAATACGTCAATAAATTACTGTAGATACTGTACATAAAAATACTGTATATAAAGATACTGTATATATATAATATAAGAAGCTCCCAATGAAGAATATTGCTGATGTAATTAAGGTCACCACTCACCTCTGAGTCAGATATCGATTTCTCCTATTTGGTGCATTTCTGTACATGGTACATATAAATACAGTTGGTTGCTATACAAAATCTCGATTGTTTGTTGTCCCATGCAGTTTGTGTGCAGTACCATACAAATGGCATGTGAATAAACATTTCAAATTATACTTGTTCTCTATGGTTAAATATTAAATAGTTGTTCTTTATGGGGTTTTTCAGGCTCGGTGATTATCGGGGAATATTCACCTCGACTTCGTCTCGGCGAATATTCCCCGATAATCACCTCGCCTTCGGCGAATAATTGTTAAATGTACATTCACGATAGGAATCAATTGCCGAACATCTTGGTTTTGCTGGAGGCCTGGTACAGGGGTATGTATCACATGCTTCATTAACGCTTTTAGTGTTAATTTTAATGTAAGTGAAGTCATTAAGCCTAAATATTACATTACATTTATTGATTGATTTTTTTAGACCACAGCTAGTTCGATGTGCAGGAAAATTTGAACTTCTTGATCGTATCATGATGAAACTGATCAGCACAGGCCATAGGTATGTTAAAGTTATAAAGTACATATAATATGTAACGTGAAGCTTGTCACATTGAGGTGATCACAACTTGTTGCTCTGCTTGTTGTGTTAAGTACCCTTTTGAAAATTTATTTTAATCTCTCTGCTTTAGCTTGGAGATTAGAAAATTGTGATTTGCCCAGGACCGCACAGAATATTTAAGGACGGACCATTAGAAAAGTGAAGGCTGAGGGGAACGGGAAAAAATCCGTAGAGGCAAAAAAAAGCCAGAAGGTGGCAGAAAAATTATGTCACAAGACCGGGAAAACCCAAAAAAAAACATGTACACTAAGTCGACCGTAAAAATGCATGCATGGCAGAAACTCCTCCTTTACTTGTCTAATAGCCCGTCGCTAAGGTTGTTGCGTGTTCATGTTTCGGGCGTTGTTCCGTATGAGCATCACTTCATATACACCTCTTTAGTGCTTACACTGTTAACATTGTCGTTCTGCATTATAGAAATGTTATATATGCATCCAATTTGTTTCTTGGTAATTTGTTTTGTATTGTTTTGTTGCTGTTTGTCGAAGTCCGAAATTTTCACAGCACCCTATCAATTTACACGAAACATGCACATATCAATAGCCATAGCGTATTTACTCGTTTAAGCGCCGCAGCACTCTTTAAATTTTGGTGTTATGGATCCGGCGCTTATTTGAGGGCGGCGCCTGTTCGAGGGCGGTGCTTCTTATAAAATATATTATTTGTAAGCGATAATATAATACAGTACACTATATCATAAAAAAAAAACAATGAAATGCTGGAGAAAAACGTTCCAAGTCTTGAGATTGCAGCTTCGTACCAAAGATGTTTTCTTTCTGCGGTTGGGCATCGCAAACAATTTTTCAAACGGTGCTTCGATTAAGCGCCGCGTTGTTGTGAATAAGTGCGGCGCTTAATCGGGTGGCGCTCAGTCGTGGGCGGCGCTTAAACGAATATTGTTATAATCTTGTTATAGAATTTTGTTGTTTTGTCAAATGACGTCGCTGATGACAGTTATGGAGGATTATTTCAATTATAAAGGTACACCTCGATTTTTCATCAGTGTACGAATGTACGATCACGACTCACAGTAGTTTGCGAATTTCCCCACTTTGTTTTATCCATCGCCATATTCTTGATTCATTCCTGCCTTCCTTGGACGTTCACCTGTCGTATATTTCCTGTATGTTCCAGGTATAAGATATCTGCGTCTGGATGGAACAACCAAAGCTGAGGATCGTGGCCATCTCTTGCAACTGTTTAACGCACCTAATTCAATATATTCCGTCTTTTTGTTGAGTACCAGAGCAGGAGGCCTGGGATTGAATCTCCAAGTTGCCGATACAGTTGTTATATTTGATAGTGACTGGAATCCTCACCAGGTAATAATTTTGTGGTCTTAAAATACTATGATGAAACAGGGTCAATCTACGCCGAATAACTGTTAAAAAATGACAAATTTCAGATACCCTAGAAACTTTACCAGGACCTTGACAAGTAACCCTATTTGCAAATTCAGCAAATTTGTAAAATGTTTGACCATAGTGCCTTGAAATTTGGTGCAATTTAAACGTAATGACTCGCAATGTTCCCGTATTGACCTTTTCTGGAACGAGAATTGTAGGGAGCGACGTTTAATGGTCTGTCTTGAACACTATTTATTTTTGCAGTACATACAATGTATCCAGCTTTTTGTGTATCCTAAACCTAACAGATCTCTCCAAATTACTGCGCAGTATTACTTACAATATATACGCAATAAAACCAAATCGGTGGAGGCAACCAAAGCCCCAATGCTCAAATCTTCGGCTAAACTCTGTTTTTCAAATCTTTTGCAAAAAATCATAAGATTTATCCAAATGAAAATCTGTGCTGTAAAATGTTTGTGAAAGAAACAATATAAAACATTATTTGGAAATTGTTAGATGGTGTTGGGCCAAAAAGGTTGGGTGCGTTTGAGCAAAATTTCGCCTATCGTTGGTATACTGATTTAACAGAATAACGAGAACATTGTTATCACAGTCATTAAGGCGTGTCAGTAGTGAGGTTCAGTTTTGACGTCCGCTACCATTAAGAGACCATTAACCAATCAGATTCGTTTGATATATCCGATCAACCAATCAGATGTGTACTATACCAGTGAGAGGTAGCTGTAGCTGTAGTCAAATTTGAACCTCTCTAATTATACTTCTGCGACCGTAATTGTTCAATTCCTACAATAATTAGTTGGCTGGCTTTAATTTCTCCTCAGTCGCATGTCCTATTTCGACTCACGTACCCTGGTGTTCTCCACGTACTGTACTTTGACGACCTCTCGTAGTAAACTAGTAACACTGGACCAGTATGCAATGGCGGCGATGATCTTAACTGAACTGATCCTCTAGCGACAAGAGTCATGAATTCAATCTGGTATAGTTAGATCACTATATATTTAACTGTGTAACTTATTTATTTATTATGCTTTGCCAATTTCACACAATCATATCTGCACAAATACAAACACAAGAATATACAAACTATCAACCAATCAATGGCAGGGTATACGCCACAGCTTTACGCCAATTACAGCAGCCCTTACAGAACGAACATGACACATTCTACATTAGATCTTTAGTAATATAAAAAGGCCGGTTTGCACCCAGGAAAACCCTCCGCAGGATAGGAACGGAAAGGAAAGTTACATAGTGCTAAAGTCGTTAGTTCCAACGCCGTCCGCTCCTGCGGAAAATTTTCCTGAGTGGAAATTAGCCGTCTTAGTGATCAGCAGGAATTTGTGTCGGATTGTTAAACATTTGTATTTATTGTTACTAGGATCTGCAAGCTCAAGATCGAGCACATCGTATTGGTCAAACCAATGAAGTTAGAGTTCTTCGTCTGGTCACTGTCAACAGTGTTGAAGAAACAATTATAGCTGCTGCTCGATATAAACTTAATATTGATGAAAAGGTATTGTATGCTGGCTTTTGTTGAAACAAAAGTGTTATTCATTGAATTATATTACTTTTGTCGGCGCAATGTGGGTCAGATCCACGACTGCTATTACAGAACCCTAAAATTGGGGCGAACACGAAATATTGGGGTGCCAACATATTCCCACAATTTCTTTCCTTGCAGATTTCATTCGTTAAACTCGTATGGCCATATTTTAGTGCACATTTGCTTTATCAGTCTTCATTGTTGTGCTAACATTGTCCAAGCTTCTTAGTGACTCTGTTGATCAACTAGTCAATGTTAAGGGACGCGGTCGTCCCACTTTGCCTCATATCATTTCTCAGCAGCTGATGAAACAAAAGTTTGACGTGCAAAATTATACGTTAATTCATGCGTCTTTGTATAGGTTATTCAAGCTGGTATGTTTAATCAGAACTCAACTTCAGGTGAACGTAGAGCTTTTCTTGAAGCCTTGCTTGAAAATGACAAGGATGACGAGGAAGTAAGTTATTGAGCCTACATTACTGTTTATTGCACAAAAACCCTGATACCTTGTTTCCATGCATTTTTTAACCATGGCAAGCGCACATACATGAAGGTTATATCCCGCGATGTTTTCTCCATGAATATGTTTCACTTCAATCTTGATTCCGTTAAATCGTATAACGAAACTTACCTTGTTGTGTTTATAATCACAACAGGAGGAAAATGAAATCCCTGATGACGAGACTGTGAATCAAATGATTGCAAGAAGTATAGAGGAATTCGAAATATTTCAGGTAATGATTTCATTTTACAGCAATTCTTGATTATCATTCCCACCATCATTGCTTTGACAAATCTGTTTCCATTTTTTTGTCGATTGTTGGTTAAATGCATGATAAGTAATGAGCAAAGAAATAAACGAGGCTAGAGAACTGATCGTTTCTCGTTGTATACAACGCCTGAACATTTTTTGCTGACTAAGAACATAACGTTCGCATCTGGCTTTAACCTCCTTACAGTTGTGCTAGCCTTACTAAAATTGTGGGTTTTTTATGTTTTAGAAAATGGACTACGACAGGAAAATTCAGGTAAATTTCCGGCTCTGTTCTCGAAGATGGGGAAGAATGGGGAAGATGATAAATCTAATTTCAGTCGTTGATATTTCATCCAATGTGTAATTCTGTTGTTGTTAATATTAGTAAATTACTAAAGCTTTTTCTTTATGAACGTGTTCTAGGAACAAAAAAATGGTGGTAAGCCACGCTTGATGCGAAGTAATGAACTGCCAAGTTGGATCATTAAAGATGATGCCGAGGTCAGAGAATGTAGATAATTGCTACAGAATATGGAGCTCTTGAAATAAAGAGGGAGGGGATCCGTATGACCCGTTTTCAATGATCCCTTGCTTTGAGTTATTGACCTTGCTTTCAGTGGTTTCAATGTGTGCAAATTTTGTATATAATTCTTTAAATAATGCATATTTGGTCATGCTGACCCCTCTTTCCAACGTTATTTTGAGCGCTGTATTCATAACTAATACGTGACTTCTGCTTTAGGTGCCAACATTGGCTAACAGTTCTGTGTAATAATATATACAAATTTGTTTTTAAGTCTATATTGAACGTATCCGCGAATGAAAGGTTATTTTAATATGTACCTTCCACGAGTTTGAACAACAAAGTTCCTTGGCGCCATGTCCAAAACGTTTTTGAAATTAAACTCAAAGTTCTTTCAACGTACTAACCTTGACTCAAATGGTTGACCGTGTTAATATTTTTAAGAATGAATCTTAGTCTCTGTATCTGCCATGTCACTGCGCAGGTTGAAAGATTAACAAATGAAGATGAAGAGGAGAAATTATTTGGTCGTGGCAGTCGACAGAAAAAGACAGTTGATTATAGTGAACCATTAACAGAAAGACAATGGCTAAAGGTACACCACATTTTTACCGTTTACTCTCGTTGTAACAATACATGTTTAACGTGTTTATCCCCTTCAGACGAAGCTTTGCACACGAGGTCAACACGTTCACAACAACCTCGTAAAAAGTGATGAAGAACTCCAAAGTAGTTACAATATTTGAAGATATAATACAAAACACTAGCGATTCGAAACTGAACTGATTTTAGTAAACTCCAGTATAGCGTAAAAGGTATATTAAGCACTATTTAAAACACGAGAAAGAGTGTTTTATCATATTTAAAACGCGAGGCGCAGCCGAGCGTTTTAGATATGATAAAACGCGAGTTCGAGTGTTTTGAATAGCTTAAAATACGACTACAAAAGAATACTAATTAGGATGAACAATTATAGATAATCATACTAATTAGGATGAATAATTATATAAAGAATACTAATGAAAATGAGTTTATCAGATATAAAGTCACTCCACGTGACATATTATGGCTGACTTGATTTGCCACAAGGTTTATGAATTTTTAATGAGTATTTTAATTAAAGTTGACAAAACTACAAGAAAGTCAATTGGCCTGCATTAGCTGAATTGAGCTAACTTTATGTACTAGATAGCTTTATTTTAAAATTCTAAACTGTATGCCGTATAGGTACAGTAAAGGCCGTTCCTTATTTCTTCAGTGTTAATACAGGCACCTAGCTGGAATCCTGCCATGTTTGATATCGGGCACTCCTTATTCCATCATTCTTATGATATCCTACTAAGGCGTAATTATAATGGAAAACACCAACACCCGTTCTTGACTGTCGTACCCTTGTGTTTATAACGTTAGCTTAACTGTGTTTACTCTTGCAGACTGTTTATAACTTTAAGTTTGTTTTTTGCTGTAGGCGATAGAAGACGGGTGTCTTGATGAGATGGAGGAGAGACAGAAAAGTAAGAAAGCAAGAAAACGGAAACGACACGATGACGATGGTGAAACATCCAGCCAGAAAGTAAGACAATTTGATAATCACACTGTTACTGAGCCCCAGGGGTGGTCCTTTGGTAAGGCCTAGCACTCGGTAGCCCTAGTTATACCAGGGTTATACGGGTACGGTGAAGACATCTGGATGCAGGATGGTGTATGAAGTTTGCGATAGTAATAGTTTTTGGTTCATATAACCAGGGCGAGGTGAATCAAGAAGTCAATTTTTTTTGGTCTCGGCAAAACTGCTTGTAAAATTAATGCTTGTCTACTTATGTGGAGTCACTACAGCAATAAAATCCACCTTGACAAAATCCCCGCCGACAAAATTCCCAGCGACCAAACATCCGACAACAATATCCCCATATAATACAGAATTAATAGCACCATTTACTCGGATTTTCTGCCCCAAACGTAACATATTGATTCACTAAAGCATTCCCCGCATGCCTATACAGTTTAAGTGTTCTTCAGAGGCGGGCGATGCTGCGCGGTCTCGGTCAAATTACTTTTCCTCTTAATTTGGTGATGGTAATGGTTTATTAATCACATTTCAATAGCAAAGTACAGTATATAGCTAAATTATTATGTGTTTACAGGATTATGAAGAGTAAAATACAAAACTCTTAAAATCCTCCAAATACAAAACTCTTTCCACGTTTTTATATACAAATTCTATTATATACATCTGGCTTAAAGCCATCATTCAAGAAATCAAGCCAATGACAATTATCGTCCCGTGATAAGGTGTAGACGTTTATGATCAGATATATTTTCTAAATCATTCTCGCTGTACACATTTGCACCTTACCATACAGACGAATACGTTACGACAGATCAATCTAAACCTTTCTTACCAGTGAACGTACTATACGACTTACGCCAGCCTGATTACGTTGCTGCTACGAAAATTGCACTCCTGTCTACATAATTAGGATAGTACAAGTTACAATATTTTATTGTATAGTACAAGTTACAACATTTTATGTTTTATTACAGTCGTCAAAGAAGAAACGTGGTCGCCCGACAGTAGACAAAGGTATTTTGCAAGTCGTAGAACTTGTATATGTCACGCCAAAACCATTTCCGTCATTTCGTGCAAAATAAATTACACTTAGGCAGTTACACGATACTGGATTCGTATCTGAGCGACATCAATTTAAGGTGTTTTCCAATCTTATCTGCTCTTACAACTTTTCATATTTGAAGACTTTGTTTAATTATGTTATATTATCATAATTTTAAGTGCCAAATTCACCTCGAAGCAGTAAAATTTGATGTTGCTCCGATGCGAATCCGGTATCGTGCAACAGGGGGCCATAGGCAGATTATTTAGCCATTCCGAAGTTGATGAGTGGACTGGGGACGAGTGTTAAAAAGTGCCCAAATTAAGAAATGAACCAAATCACTAAAAAGACCACCTCAACATTAGTAAGTATACGAAGTTTGAAGACGTTTACATCAATATCCATCGAATAATAAGCTTTCGAAAAGCGTGGTATTTACTATGAAATGTATTGTAATTTTTGTTTTGGGGACGCGCGTCCCAAAAACAATCTTTTAATCAGTAATTTCACGATTTTCGAAAGCTTATTATTCAAAGGGTATTCATGTAAACGTCTTCAAACTTTGTATACTTACTAATTTTGAGGTGGTCTTTTTAGTTATTTGGTTCATTTCTTAATTTGGGCACTTTTTAAGACTCGTCACCAGTCCTCTCATCAACTTCGGAATGGCTAATTAGGGACCGTTGGAGAATCTGTCTCATTCACTTGGGAATTCACATCGTTAGCTTTGCTTGTCATGGGTCCAGTCTGAACGCGAATGTGGAAATCGTGCAAATTTGGGCACGGTTCATGAAGAACAATAAATATCGACATTTTGACAGGAACAAGACACTGCTTTCAGTACTGTAGTAAAATGTACAGTAAGTAAGGTTCATATGTTAATTTGGGCTTTTTTTTCTTTCAGTAAAATTGTCACCAATTGCTGCAGAGTTGAAGAAAAAGATGAAGAAAATTATGAAATATATTATTCATTACAGAGACGAGTAAGATTTCATATTTCCTTGTCAATCACGTAGTTTAGAGAATATAATAATTTATTTAATAAATCACGATATACCAACTTAGTAGTTGTCAACATTCCCTGTGAACCTGGAATACCCAAGGAAACACATCATTTCAGCAGGACTAGGCTAACTCTTTCCACTTGAATGTTTTTGTCAGGAGTGCATGAGAATCGATTCCAGGACTTCAGGATGAACTTTTAAACAAACATTGTTTGTGCCATTGAAAATTGAAGTATAAATTGATTGAAATCTATATCTTTTCGCTGTCATATAAAATGTAATACTCTTCTATTTCTTCACTAGCGATGACCGTCCATTAGCAGATATCTTCACCGTGTTACCATCAAAGAAGGATTTGCCAGACTACTATCAAATCATCAAACAGCCAGTTGATATTAAAAAGATTAAAGTAAGCGCATGCGATAAATAAACAAATATTTTAATGGGGTAGTCAGTGTGATGATGATCAGATATCAGCGTGCGTGTTTAAATAAAGTTTTTACCTACCTACCTACCTACCAGCCGTGGTGTAGATATTGAATACGGTTGGGTTTTGTAGATGGAAATTTCGAGTGTTGCGACAAATGCAACTATAGGCCCTCTGTCAGGAATCGAACTTGCGCTCTGCGATTCCCATGCAGCGCTCTAACCAAGTGAGCTATTTGAGAAAAATTTTGATAAATTTACGAAAATATTACTGAAAAATTATACAAATTTCGGTAAGTTAGTGAAAAATGGTATGTCCGAAAATCCCGAAAATATTAATTATTAGCGCCTGAAAAGTCCGTCGGTCGGGTAAAACAAGCTCACCCCCCCCCCAGCCGTAATACCCAAGTTATGACCCTGCCAACTGTTACGTTTTCACCTAAGTGTTTTTCGAATTTGTTTATACTCATGGCGTAAGAGTAGTATACAGCTATTTCAATTAAGATTGTCCCCGGAGCAAAGCGGAAAAGTCGAATACGAGCGCGAAAGGCTGCTGAGAATCGCTAATAAATTCATTCATTTATTTGCGATTCCCAGCAGCCTTTCGCGCTCGTATTCGACTTTTCCGCTTTGCTCGGGGGACAACCTTAATTGAAATAGCTGTATACTGTATATAATCTAGGCGTAATGTTGTGTTGGGAATCCCTAATATGAATGTTCCTTTACAAATATATATTGACATGATTCTATTTGCATGCTTTATGAAGGAGAGAATTAACGGTCATCGTTATCGTGCTATGGACGATCTTCAAACTGATTTTATGTTGATGTGTAGAAATGCTCAGACGTACAACATTGAAGGCTCAATTGTGAGTTTGTGATTTAAAGCATAGTAATATAATGTGATGTAGTGTAATGTTACATATATAAGCATTAGATTTAATTTATGGATATAATATATTTTGTAATATTGAAATACAACATAAATAATATATTCACATTATTTCCCCCACCCGGCCTATTAAGATTACAGTGTGAACATTTCCTACATATGTATTTCACATAAATAATAGCGAGGTTCAGTTTTGACTTCCACTACCGCTACCATAAACTAATCAGATGCGGTCAATCTACCCGATTCACCAATCAGATGTCAGTAGCGGTGACAGAAGTCAAATCCGAAGCTGTCTCTTACCAACCAAGCAGGAGATTTAATGTTAATCACGTGAACTCAAATCGCGTTTAAAACGTTTCATTTTTTGTGCCAACAATTTTTGATGTGGTTGCAAAACTAAAATCCCTTTCTCCTAAAAAAGTAATGTGCTGAATAAATTAGAAGGCACTTAATTAATGTGATGAGGCTAATATGCTTTTATGCAATTTGTTTAGATTTACGACGATTCGATAGCCTTACAGGTAAATGAGAATTAACGAGCCGTATTTATACAGTGATATAGATGTTAATTGACGGCCATTTTGTATTTCGTAGTCACTCTTCTTTCACGTCCGCGAGAAAGTTGAAGCAGGTGAAGAACTGGTGACGAATAAATCAACAAACAGTGACAAGGAAGACGAAGACGACGATGAGGAGGTATGTTTTAATACTTGGTAAAATGTTTATAGACATAACCTTCTCTTGTTTTGCGAAGTTTCATGAAAACGTTTCAATATTGTGATGAGTTGTAAAAATTCAAACGAGCCACTCGCAAACTTTACAGTTTCATATACACGGGCTTAAACTTCCGTGATATAAAAACCCAGAGCCAAGAGAAAAACAAATTAAAGACATTGGCGATTTTTTGCCGTTCCGGTCTGGATTAAGCATTTTTAATAAAATCGTCAATTTTCTGAAGGTATTCGCGACGAATGTGGAGGAATTTTTAGCTTTGATGAAATTTTAGAGACTAGTCGCTGCAGACGTGATAGCAGATACAAATAAGGGACTGACCATTAGAAAAGTGATGGGGAGGGGAGGGGGGATTTTCTAAGAGGCAATATATTTTTTTGTACACCTACTGTATAGAAGAATTTTTTTTTTCTCACTTGATGGCTGGAAATTTTTTTTAAGTGAAATTTATAGGCCTATCTTCCAAGCTAGGAATTTTTTTTTGCACTATGCCTGGGAAGATTTATTTTTTCCTAATTTTTTTTCTGGGAATAATTTTTTTTTTTGGTTTTGCCAACATCACTCTTCTAATGGTCCGTCCCTAATGGTGCCAGGATGACAACGTTGGTTTGCCTTTTTAACCGACAATTATGAGAATTGTAAATAGAGAAAGAAGAAAAACGAAGACGCTTCATACAGTCGTTATTTTCCCTTTCTCGTTACGTTTTCGTCTTCGGTCTATTGAGCTAGGAAATGTCGACAGAGAAATACATGTAGATGGGTTTTGTAGATGGAAATTTCGAGTTGGAATTTTATATACCGGGTGGCGCAAAAAAAAGTATAACTGTTTGATTACATATAGCTCAAAGACCATAAGCAGTAGAACCCAAAATCGAGTTTCATTGCATCCAGCGATGTCTAACTTAAATTTTGGTATACTCGACAGGCATTTTCGTCCAAGATTGACTGAGATATGAGTGTTTAAACTTTTGTTAGCAAATTTGAAACGGTCACAAATTAGCTAAAAACGGCCTATTAAACTGATTTTTAGCTAATTTGTGACCGTTTCAAAATTGTTAACAAAAGTTTAAACTGTTATATCTCAGTTAATCTTGGACGAATATGCCTGTCAAATATACCAAAATTTAAGTTAGATATCGCTGGATGCAATTAAACTCGATTTATGGTTCTACTGCTTATTGTTTCTGAGTTACAAGTAATCAAACAGTTGTACTTTTTTTTGCGCCACCCGGTATTTATTAGACCTAACCATGCAGGAGCAGTTGCAGAAGGAGTCGAAGGGCCGCAAGTTCGATTCCTGTCAGAGGGCCTATAGTTGCATTTTTCGCAACTCCCCCTGGTTATATGTTTAATAAATCTATAAAATTCACACTGGACATTTCCATCTACAAAGCCATTCTGCAATTATATCGAGTGTAGATGCCCAAAATCCTGATAGAGACCTATTCCCACAGTAGACCGTACTGTTTCTTGTACTTGCCCCAATGGCCTCATTGTTATGTGTTTATTCCTCCTGTTTCGTGCACAGTAGGGCTCAAGATCAAAGAGAAACATATTCGTGCACGAAACATCGAGGAATAGCCTTCATGTGCGCCTGCCATGTTGAAACAGGCAAACATGGGAACGTGGTCATTGGGGCAAAAGTGCAATAATTATCATAAAGTCGATTCTTTGGAAGTAATGTTTATATAACTTTAATCCTGTTTATGAAGGTTGAAGAGCAAGCTGAAGAGGAAAGTGATGTGTCAGATGACGGTAAACATCTCTATTTTTTAATTTTAAGTTTTCGTTTGCTCTACTTCCTAAGTTATATATATATATATATATATAACTGTACATCGCACATTTATTTGGTAATATATTTTTGTACCTGACCTCCACAGGGTTTCTTGTAAGAATTTGTGAGTGGGGATGTCATTAAAAAAGTGACCTACCTGTAATTTGGAGATGGTGAACAGAGAAAGTTCGAACTCATATGGAGATCGGCAGCCCATAAAATGTTCATAATTTTGAACCTTTGGATCATTTAAACTTCCGCTCTATGTCAATACGTACGCTGTCATAAGATTATCGAGCCTTAGAAAGACATTTTCTGAGAATCCTTAAATACTCCTCTTTTTCTGTTCTTGCCTTTCTTTTTACTTACATTTTATTAAATAAAAAGGACTCATCGTTTAGCAGATGGTGTTTGACTCCTAGCTTATATGGTAAGAGGCATTGCGAGTCCGAAGCAAAAAAGTACTAGAGAATAATAGAATATGGAATGATTAAAATAGGGTACAAAATGGAGTAGATAGATGATAGATCAGGATGCAATATGATAGAATAAAGTAGGATAGGATAGGATAGAGCAAAGTAGGGTATAATTGATTATAGTTGATTACAATGTTTTAAACAGTATTGGGTAGAATATGGATCAGCTAGGATGTCAGAAAGGTATATTTACATATGAGAATACTAGCTGCAAAGATATAAAGTATAGCATACAATAAAATATATAAAGAACCGTGTCTTAATTAAAGAGTTCTAATTCAAATAAGAACTTTTAAACAATCAAAAGATCGATTTTACATTAATAATTGCCATTAACGTAGTTCTCCAATTAAAAATTACTTGTAAACAACTGTATGGTTTAAACGTTAAAGTTGTAATCTTTTGTTTGTTCATTTATAGCTCATCAATCAACGTCACAAGACGAAAGTCAGTTAGTCAATTTAGAACAAACAGTAAATTGATATATTCATAACTCCATTTAAAAACACACTTAACGTTAGGCGTAGTAATAAAACACTGAATATATGTGGTGAATAAAACAACTGTAATTCACTGTGGTGAATAGAACACTGTAATATATATATAACTCTGCATGATTTTATTTAAACTGTATTAAAACGTATTTAATCCGTGTGTTAAATGGTGCTCTTAATCATTAGAGTGTAAGTAGAAAAAATTCATTCTTTCTGTTTTTGGAAAACACCACGTACATGTATTTATCAAAAACGTGAATTAACATAAATGGGCTATTGAATCAAACCTAAGCTAAATTATTTAAATTAATGTGATATTTTCCAAAACAGAATTATAAATAGATTAACAGCCTTGTGTAAAAATACAAAGAACCAGTAAAAACTTATTTAATGTTTAATAAACCAGAATCAGTGTTTGTAAGCTTTCTTGGTGTTACAGTTCTCTCGTCCAGTCGACTTATCGAGCGAATAACATTATTTGAACAGGCTCACTCTGGCAACGTTGTTAATAACATGGTTCTCTTCAATCTTGTTATTCAATGGACCATTTGCATTATAGACTAAATTTTGATCTAGACAAAAATTTCATCACAGAAAATTTCATCACTTGAAAGAGCATCACAAAATTAGTAATATTCCAAAGTTTCGTTGCGAAATGTTGTAAAATGCGGATAATATACCTTGCGAAGTTTGCCGTTTTTCAGTCATTTTGTATTACGCACGGGAAATTGACAGCCCAATCGGGTGTTGGGGCATCAATTTCCCGTTTGTAATACAAAATGACTGAAAACTGCAAATTTCGCAAGGCTATATTATCCGCATTTTACAACATTTCGCAACGAAACTTTGGAATATTACTAATTTTGTGATACTCGTTCAAGCTGTGATGAAATTTTTGTCTGGACTTGTTTAGATCAAAATTTAGTCTATAATGCAAATGGGCCATTGGTACAGTGATTGTTTTTACAATACCCCCTTCCGGAAAGTACATACGTCACTTTGTCCTCAGAGCCTCGTTTTCGTTAAAGTCCAACGTCCCAATCACGTAAACGAGGCCGGCTATAGCCAAACCGACGTACTTCCGGAAGCGTGTATTCTGCCAAAAACAATGGACAACTTGCATGTTAGGCTAAATTTTAATCTAAGTAACGAGAAGGGAATCAAACACCACAGTTAAAAAGAACATAATGAAATTAGTAAAATTGCATAATTTGGTTGCGAAATGTTGTAAAATACGGAAAATATAGCCTTGCGAAGTTTGGACATTTTCAGTATATTTGTATTACGTACAGAAATTGTTACCATTTTCGGCTCAAAAATGGTAACAATTTCCGCACGTAATACAAACATACTGAAAAAACTTCAAACTTCGCAAGGCTATATTTTCTGTATTTTACAACATTTCATAACCAAATTTTGCAATTTTACTGATTTTAATAAGTTCTTTACGAGAATTTACTTTTTTGCCTAAATCAAAAATTAGTCTAACTTGCAAGTTGCCTATTCATACATATATATCTTTGTTATATGCTTTAAGGCTGCATTCCAGTTACGCGTTTTTCATACGTGCGTACACGCACCGTACACGCACGTAAAAGTTGAAATCGCTTTACATCCTACTTATGAAATAACTAAATTTATAAAAGGACAGCATTCAGTTTTGTGTATGATTTAATGTGTATTTGTTAAGGTTATTTGCACTTATATGAAATTTTAAGCGAATTCGACTTTTACGTGCGTATGAAAAACGCGTAACTGGAATGCAGCCTTTACTGTCAGCTACAAACACCCATATTGGGTGGAACGATTTATTAACACGAAGTGATGAACAGCTTGCTAAGAAAATTATAAAATTAAAAGAAAATTTAGGTTTAATAGCAGTAATTAAATACATGCATGCATGTAAGTATATATAGTTTTAACACACGACCCTTTGAAAAACAAAAGTTACTTTAGTTGAATAGTCTATACCGTGTATATAAATATCTATAAATAATAATAATAATTAGGGTTTACGGAAATCGTACAGTACTTTTCTTGTAAAGTATATTTCTCGTGATATTAAAAATCTGTATGTGATTGCATTATGATAAACTTAAAATTTAATATAAATGATTTTTAGACACCACTTTATCGTCTCTGAAAATGCGAATTAAGATCAGCAAAGAAGAAAAGGTAAGTAAAGGTTTTCTGAGTGCATGTTGTTTTACAAAGTTGTGCATGCTTTGCAATGTGCATGCTATTTGTGAAGTTTCTTCCAAACTTTTGCAAGGATCTGTATTTATATGGTTTGTGAACTACCTAGAATGGGAATACTGAACTCGAAAACCTGATTTCAGCTCGATACACCCTTCCGGAGAGTATACGTCATTTTAGCTATAGAGCCTCGTTTTCGTGATTGAGCTGTAATGTCACATACTCGAAAACGAGGCTCTATAAGCAAAGTGACGTACTTTCCGGAAGGGTGCATTGCATTGAAGAGCAAAAGAATGATTATACATATATATTATGAATTACTCATGATATGTTATATATAGCTCTGAATTTCAACATAGCGTTTGGGATATTCTTCGTAAACATTATCATTGATACATTTAGGGTTTTTGACATAGCGTTTGGGATATTCTTCGTAAACATTATCATTGGTACATTTAGGGTTTTTGACAAAGCGTTTGGGATATTATCATTGGTACATTTAGGGTCCAACATTAGTTTGAGGACAGCACACTGTCTCCTGTTCCCCTTTATCTATGGCTTTGCCATTTCCTGGGAATATGTTCCCTTCGGCTGTTGTGAGATGGTCGACCTGAACCAGGCCTTAAAATATCTTTTACAAGGCCGTCTGACAAAATGTCCGGTGACGTTGAGTTTGGGTCGGACATATGTCCGATGACCTTCGGTTCAGTTTTTGCTCGGAAATAAGTCTGAATGACACAATGAATAAACGGTAAATGTTGTAAAGATATTAAATAATTTGTTTCTTTCATATTTATTTCCAAGCCAAAATTAGCTTGCTTGCCAGAACAGCAGTGTTAAAAAAGACTTCGACAACTTAAGCCCGTTTTCCACTTCACCATTTCGCTCGCCGCCCCGCGCTCGACTATGTTAAAACAACATTTCCAGTTCACCTTTTATACAATAGTACTTTGATTTTCCATTTAACATTTTGATTTACGTCGGACAAAGCTACAGTTCGGTCGGACACCAATTCACTTGGGTCGGACAAACAATAAACCTCAGTTTCACTTTGGTCGGACAGAATGTCCGGTGGTTTCCTCTCTACGTCGGACAATTTCACGAATGGGTCGGACAATGTCCGTGACCGACCGATATTTTAAGGCCTGTGAACATTCTATATCGTTCCTATTTGAAATGTTATAAACTTTATGGTCAAACTGAATAGTGAGCAACTCATTAACTAATTTAATACTATAATTACAGGCAAAGAAACACCAAAGCCAAATGAAAAAAGTTGGCGAAAGCAGTTCACGACAAGAAGAAAATTCTGAAGAGGTATGAATATTTGAATAATGCTGCAGTGATCTTTAAAAATCGTTATGAATTAAAAATCTGTATTTTCGAGTAGCCTGATCCGGGTTGCAAGGTGCGGCAATCATAAGTATATAAGACATGTATTTGATATTCAAAACTTTCGAGTGGTCGCACTCAGACAAATTTTGCTTGCATGACAATTAGATGTAAATGGAGTATTTCATATCTCATGTCATAACAGATTCTTCGTTCGCTACTATCTAACCAAAGAATTAGTTATGACACGTGATCTGAAATGGCGAAATTGCACAGTATTTGGCACAGGGAGAACACTGCCCTGCCAAATGTTATACAAGCCGCCGTTTTCCGTTTTTCTGCGGAGGAAGCTAACTCACTAAGTATTGAGGGTGCCAAGATGCATTCAGTAAAATTAGGTGGTTCTCATTTTCTTGGACTATGAGCATACAGGTCACGCAAATTGCACAATGGATATAAACATTAGAGAGATTCAGATTTGACTACCACTACGGCCAATTTTTAAAAGCTTAATACGAATTTGATTGGTTATTATTGGGTAGATTAAATGCATCTTATTGATTAATGTTAACGGTAGCCGTAAGTAGTAAAGGGAAGAGGTAAAGTAAAAAGTCAGTAAAGGCAAAACGAAACCGTCCGCGATAAATTTGGTCAGCGACAGTTTTCGATAGTTTTCCCACCTGTTGTCGATGAGGGGTTGATGAGAAGTCGATGTGGGGCATTGGTATCTAGGCACAAAAGCCGTACCAAAAGTAACAGCGTCTTTAACTACCAAGCCCTATCTGGAATTCAACTTCCGCCATAAATTTTCTTTATTGGTCGTGAGTTATGATATTTATTTCGTGCGCACACCCCTAGTGCACCCCGATGATGTCATCATCTCAGATGATGGTTGAACACTATAAATTACTTTCACACTTTAGTGCGCACACCCCTTAGTGAGCACACCCCTTAGTGCGCACACCCCTTAGTGCACACGCCCCTTAGTGCGCACATCCCTTAGTGCGCACATCCCTTAGTGCGCACACCCCTTAGTGCGCACATCCCTTAGTGCGCACATCGCTTAGTGCGCACATCCCTTAGTGCGCACATCTCTTCTTGCGCACATCTCTTCTTGCGCACATCTCTTAGTGCGCACATCTCTTCTTGCGCACACCCCTTAGTGCGCACATCTCTTCTTGCGCACATCCCTTAGTGCGCACACCCTTAGTGCGCACACCCCTTAGTGCGCACACCCCTTAGTGCGCACACCCCTTAGTGCACACACCCCTTAGTGCGCACATCTCTTCTTGCGCACACCCCTTAGTGCGCACACCCCTTAGTGCGCACACCCCTTAGTGCGCACACCCCTTAGTGCGCACATCTCTTCTTGCGCACATCCCTTAGTGCGCACACCCCTTAGTGTGCACATCCCTTAGTGCGCACATCCCTTAGTGCGCACACCCCTTAATGCGCACACCCCTTAGTGCACACACCCCTTAGTACACACACCCCTTAGTGCACACACCCTTAGTGCGCACATCCCTTAGTGCGCACATCCCTTAGTTCGCACATCCCTTAGTGCGCACATCCCTTAGTGCGCACATCCCTTAGTTCGCATATCCCTTAGTGCGCACATCCTTAGTGCGCACATCCCTTAGTTCGCACATCCCTTAGTGCGCACATCCCTTAGTGCGCACATCCCTTCTTGCGCACATCCCTTCTTGAGCACATCCCTTAGTGCGCATACCCCTTAGTGCGCACATCTCTTCTTGCGCACATCCCTTAGTGCGCACACCCCTTAGTGTGCACACCCCTTAGTGCGCACACCCCTTAGTGCGCACACCCCTTAGTGCGCACACCCCTCGTGCGCATACCCTTGGTACAATGACGTCATATGGCGGGACAATACGGTATACAAAGGGTTGTATGTACGCTGATGACGTACAGAACCCCTCTTCCCTTTACTACTGCCGTAGTGGAAGTCGAAATCTGAACCTCGTTTCGTGCGTTTATGCTGTAATAATGCTCTCGGGGAATGTTGGGGGAATACTCGAGAAGCGTGTAAAACACTCGGCAACGCCTCGTGTTTTACACGCTTCTCTCGTATTCTCCCAACATTCCCCTCATGCATTATCACACCATAAATGCACGCGACTTGTTTTCTATTACTTAAATAAATCCTCTTAACGTCGCTTATATTATTCACGAGTATTGCCGCATTTTTTCTTGGACAACAATATCTTCAATTGTAGAAAGAATTTTAATACTGATAGCCTAAAGAGTTAACCCCAGCTCAGAGCCGAGCAAAGCAAGTGATGGGTTTGCCTAAACAACTAGAACTGCCTGTGCCAGTGTAGGTAGTCCCAATAATAAGAAAGCTGCGGATTGATATAGATATACAACTACCTGAAAATACAAGGAGAAGGTAGTTGTACCCTATTAATTAAAGTTGGGTGGTATAACGTATTGGCAGATAGTTGTATCCCTATAAAAAAAATACCTAAAGAAAATTGGAAGGAATTCTTACAGTTCCGAAACTTTATTCGCAACATGAAAATAAACGAAGCTTCGATTAACTATTTGCTATTTCGCGAGACAAATAGTGTGTTTGCTTCTCGTTTGTGGACTTTTCTTCATTTCTGGCAGCTTAAATAAAAAGATAAACCACTGATAGCCACCGATACCGGTATATTTTATTGTATACCGTAATAACGGTATACCGGTATAGCGTCAAAACCCATACCGGTTTCAACTAAATACCGTGAATACCGGTATACCACCCAACTTTACTATCAATCTACAGCTTTCTTATTACCTGAGCAGCGCTTTTATCCTAACATATTCTAACTCGTTCGACCGTTAGTGCAACCTTTGAGCAATAGTGACAGACTGTACTCAGCCTTGCATACTAACGAGATTCCTCTCATTAGTCGGATATTTAATGACTCTCGCTCGCCCTGAAAACTAGAATATATAGTCTGTTCACACGTGTTAGTTAAATTTTTGTATCCAAATAAAGAATTTTATAAACGATGAAGTGACAACTAGACAACTTTTTGCTCCCAAAGTCAAAGCCGTGCTAGCTATAGGCGATTCCAGCTTTTAGTTTATGCGTGCAGGGGGTGATGGGAAGTAAGATATCATATTGCTGATTATGCTGAAAAAATAAAAATGGTGGTCGTGTAAACACGGAGTGATAGCTTATACTTGTAAATATTGAAATATTTCGGTTGTTTCGGCAGTTTTTATTGAAATTTTTCAGCATAATCAGCAATATGATACCTTACTTCCCATCATCCCCTGCGCGCATAAATTAAAAACTGGAATTGCCTATTGAAAATTGCCAAATAGCAAACCAATAAATGCTTTGAGAGAGCTGCGGATGCATGGGGAGAGGTACAACATCCTGAAAACTATACAGGGTGTCTAAAAAAACGCTATGGAAATTCAACAGGCTGTCGTGCAACAAACCTTGCTAAATTTCTCATCGTTACGATTTAAAAAGAGTATCATTGAAAAGCTAAATAACTGTTCTTTCGTCTTATGTAAAAATTGAATTGTTTAGCTACGTTTATGATGCACGACAGCCTGTTGAATTTTCTTAGCGTTTTTTTAGACACCCTGTAAAAGCAGAATTTCGACGTTTCGAGCGAATTAAGGCCCTTCGTCGGGTAGTTAGTAACATGGACTTGCCAGAGGCCCGTCCACCCGTCTTTTGGACGGATACTTGTGAATGTGGACGGGATGTTAAAACTCTAGCATTTTGTCTGTAGTAATTAGTAGTAATATGCATATTCATAATCTGTAGTAATATGCATATTCATTCAACAGTCACTGCACATCCCAGCACATAAATCCAGAAGCAAACAAGCTACAATTTCCTATGTATTTGAAATATTGAGTATTTTAGGCTGATTTTAAGAAGAACTTCGGCGATTATGTTAGTGAGGTCAACCAAGCTGTTTAGTCTTGAATTTTGAGTACAGCTTTACATGTGTTCTTTTGACTGCTAAGAATTACGTTTTTAGAAGATAAAGATTAAAGATCTGATTTCAAAATTATTCCAAGAGAAAGAAACATTTTTTTGAGGGGGGGGCAGACTTGTGCTTGTTCTGGCTAAGTCAGGCGCTTTTAATTGTACACGCAGTCGCGTGAAGAACACGCGCCATGCGTCCGACCGCGAAATCCCACGAAGTCGCGTCGGTGAGGCGTGAGTCAGTTGGAGCCTGGGACGAGGCTGATAGACTACTAACTTCCAATCTCGTTCCCCGAGCCTGCGATCCTCGGGAAGGAACGCGAGGCTCTGGGATAATCCGTTTCAGGGAGGAATCTGATTGGCCGTTGAAATGAATGCGTAGTTCAATCTTAGCCAGAATTCCTGGCTTCCGGCAACGGATTATCCCAGAGCCTCGCGTTCTTTCCCGAGGATCGCAGGCTCAGGGAACGAGATTGACTAACCTCCAGACAAAGAGCCGTCGCTGGAAATTCGCAATTCTGCATGTATTTTTTAGGATGTTGTATCTCTCTCAATCCACATCTGTCTTGTTATCCTGGTACAGACCGTTCGACAATAAATGCTTTGCCAAATAACAACGAAATTATACCAGCCAATATGCGAACTAAATTTACCGTGTAATTTTATCTAACTCCTTGTTACTCTGCCTTGTTGTTAGGTGGAGTCTGAAGGTGAATCGGATACATCATAACAAGTACAACATGCATGAAAGCTGGAAAATGGGTATACACAATAATTCAATTAACGTTGTCCTCTGAAGGTCAAAACTCGCAACCGGCAAAACCTACCTCATATAGCGCGATGGACGTAATGCTTCTAATTTTCGTAAACAACATTTATGCCCTTATTCATGCTCGATTACATATGTACATCTAGTGCATTATTGAGACTGTACTTTTGGCGCTCAGGGGAAAAGGGCAACCTTAATTGAATTAGCTGTATGTATTCTTAATCGGTTAACAGTTAACAATGCTTATTGAACGCAAACCACAAAACATATCATGGACGTGCAGAGTTTTGTGGCTAAGTGGTTATATTGTATTTCTTGCAATGTCTTAAATAGATAAATTCAAAAGTGTTGAAGAATAGTCGAATTGAGAGATAGTGATGGTATATGCACTCTTTGCTATAGCTACCTATTGTCCTATAGGAGAAACATAGACATAGACATAGTTAATATTACTACTTAATATCGTTATATGCCTATACGTTCAAAGGGTATTCAATTCTCTAGGTAAATTATTGCACAATTAATCTAACGGCGTTATTTACCCTGGACTGCTCTAGCAATTCCAAACTGTTCCCAGTAGAGGTCCATGCAGTAAGAACCATTCCTCACATGCACAGTTTCAAAATGAAACTGAGTACACAGGGTTTAATTCGGTTAACCTGTAGTTTGATCGAGACTGTATCTAATCAGAGATGAAACTGCGCAGTGCGCATTACAGGGAGGAAAGACGTATGTTGTAACTTGTAACGATTGCGCCATGCATGCATCACCCTACATGACAAGTATATACATTAGATAAACACCTGGAAGTACTTAAATTGCCGCAAAGTAGTACGGAAACTTGATAAGATAATTCCGTTTAGTAGTAAAATATTGTAAACATGAGATTTGTACAAATTATTGATTTTTTTGATAAGATAAGAATTGGAAAAACAATTAGTTGCCACAACACTTATGATAAGTGCATGACTGCATCCACTGTAGAGTATGAATAGGAATTGCTATTCAGTATATATCAATGTAGATTATAAAAACAGCTGAAGTAATTATATATAAGCTAGACAACTTCAATGACCTCGTAAATGAATGTGCCTTGTTTCCTTTCAAGATAAGCTTAAATAAACAACTTATAGAATGAGGATGATTTCTGTGCCAAAACTAGATCGAAAATGTTTGACATGACATAACATGCATGACAGATGTCTATCGATTTCCAGATGTATATACAAGAGCGACGTGACTTCCCAAAATAAGTTCGAGCGACGTTTTGGAAACCCTCGAGGAAAATTTATATTTTCGTCCAGTTTGGTAAATTGAAATTGACCATATCTTTCAAGATATCCTAAAAATGATACCCACTCATGCATGATACTCAATATGCAGTGATGAGTGGCAATTACTATTGTTTAATTAATGGCAAATTTTTTTTTACATCTTTATTAATCACTAGTACAATTAGATTTCGCCAATTTTAATTATAGTAATAATATACATAAAAATGTTACTCGACTGTGATTGGTTGATTTCAGTGCAGTTAATCTCAAACAGCAGTGCAAAAATCTGTAACAAACTGATCTGATTGGTGGAAAAACAATGGGATCTTAAAACAGTCCTCATGCATGTAACGATCACAGATTGCTTCCAAACAAAGTAAAAGTTGAGTTCGGGTGGAAAATATGGCTTTTATCTTTTTTTAATGGAAAATACTTTACCTTATTTAAACAAGACTATAACGAAACGTACATATAGTTGAGTGAAATTTTCAAGCGTTATAGCGTTGTATGATGTGATATAACAAAGCAGTGAACGGTTCGCTATAAACTTGTCGAAGTTAAAACTACAACTGCATGTCTTGAAGATTTTCATGTAGATTATTAATACGTATAATAGGATGGTTTCTCGTGAAATTCGGATAAAACAAGCACTTTGAAAAACTCGCTCGTACATGCATGTTTTATCCAAATTGCACTCGAAACCATCCTATTCCTATATATACTAATAGGCTAGTATAGTAGTAATCAGTAAATGGTGAAACATTTAACCAGTACAAGTGGAAAAATTACTGTTTGTCAGTTAATTTAGACATAGGGGCTTGGGGCTTAGACTTAAACAGTCCGCTAAAAATATGGAACTGCAACATCAAGTGATGCCAATTTTTCGTTCTAAATTTCGCGTAGGGTCTTGCATGCACATGCATGGGATATACCTACAAGACACTGCAAGACGACTTTCATATAGAGTTCACCGCGTGAAACAAGCTACTAATCACTTGCTACACCCCCATACGCTTTCCTTTGGATATTCAGTTTGGGTTATATTTACTTCAACCGTGCTAAAATTATAATATGAAGCTCCATCATCTTGATTATAATTAGAATAGCCAGCTGCCGGTGATGCTGCGAGTCGACGGGGTTCACTGTTTTCTACAGTATAGAACTTTGCGTGATGTCTAAATTATTGTTTAAATTAAAATTGTTAAATTGGTTGAAAAGAAATAACCTATACAAAGTAACAAATATCAATTGGTCATGTCTACCTCACCGTCAAAATAGGCAAAATGACCATTGAAATTAGTGTTTTAACCAATCAGTTTCCACATTGTAAATTTCGCACGGATATCTGCTGAACAAGGCAATTAGCTATGTGTTCAGACAGCTGCATATAGTAATATAACAAGGGCGTGATACGAAATAAAGTTCCATTTTGAAAACTCAAGATTTCAGACAAACAAAAGGAAACCAAAGTTTCAAAATAATATTCCAGGTCTATGGCTAACTATAGTGATATTAGACACCATCACTCACTGCATGCATATATCTGCGAGGCAGGCTCTGGTTAGCCTGCCTGGCAGGCTACATGCTCGATACTTTCACGGCTCCACTATTGGGCGCACGTGAAGTCTAGATTGTTTATATAGCTTGCACATATGGGGTATCTAACTATCTCCCATCCGTTGGTATGTTTGCAGCAAAATTGTCGGGGGGGGGGGAGACACAGTATAATTAACACTTGTCAACATCATGCCAGGCCTGACATGCATAAATGTAGATATATACGGACGCAGAATAGTTTAAACAATACTACACCCTTCCGAAAGTACTCAACCTTGGCTATATATACAGCTAGTCATATTGGATTTAGAGCCCCTAATCTTTGTTACAGGTGACACATTTACGAAATCATGTACTGTTATATCAGATAATAAGATATAAAACCTTGATATAATTAGGTCATTAGTAACAAGATAAAGGACTCTGAAGCCGACATCTCAATCATGAAAACGAGGCTCTATTGAGATGATGCGGTATTACCTTATTCAGTTTAGCAGGTTTAAAGGTATGATAACTTTAAAACTTCAAACACATGCAAGCAATATTTTTTGCCATGATAGTAACGCAACGGTTGAAAAGAGTATTGCATTGCTGTAGCACGAAATGATTAAGCTGGAGTAATACGAGCAACAAAATTGCTGCAACTTGCAACACAATCTGATTTCAACGCATGTTAACTAGAAATGTTGACACATGTTGCCTCGTGATTTGCAATGTATGTGTAAACATTTTCAAATAACATGCGTAGAAATCAGATTTTGTTGCAAGTTGCAGCAATTTTGTTGCTCGTATTACCCCACCTTTACACCTGCATTATTTGTGGCAATACAATATGGTGTGGACGCAACTTTTTATAACGGTTTTCATTGGCTGGTCAAGAAACGTATCAATCTTCAACCTTGACCCCCAACTTTCGGAAATCTTTTCCCAACAATAAATGTTTGAAATTTCGGCAACGTTTCTGGCTGCTTTGCTGCTCGCGACGACAATACAACGATTTTAAGACCATTGCATCGCCGTTGCCACAAATTTATTGTCCATGTGTCGATACAGCTGATATCACATCGCAACTTGCGACGTTGCTATTCGCAACTCAGTTTAGACCAGGTGACCTTTTTATCACTCATCTTTATGGTTTAGGATAATGGAATTGACCGAAAAAAGATGATCACATGATCTGAAATCTGAGGAGGTCTATTATAAAGCATTGTGTCAGGCTGGCATTGTGTTAAATAGTTCGACTTCATCTCTGTATTGAGTATTGGTATGATTAATTAGTGGGTTTGTGCCAACTTCCAGTTGATTGAAGGACAATTCTTTTTCCGTTGGGAAATTTGCATGTTCATTATTAAATGCAATCTTCAAAAAATTGACACAAGCTGGCATTACTTATACCAGCGTTATTTTGCACACATAGCCAAAATAATTCAAATTAGTTAAATAGGGAGAGGAATCACAAATATTTACCTAAGATATTTTGCTAATTAAAGGTCAGCATGGCTTACCACCAACATATAATTAAAACGATTATGAATTGTTTAAAATGAAACAGCATTTCTGGCTTTAAACAAGTTTTAAGATTTTGGTAGACGTCTTAACTTTATCTGCAGTGCACATTTACAACTGAGATATACATAAGTACTGATTAATTTTGTAAATATGTTCCTATTGTGTTATCAGATATTTCTAAGAATCTCGGAATCTATTCCTACGCTGTAAGTACCTATACCTAATATACACACGTTTTGTCAAGTGATCAATATTTACGATTCGTTCTTTAGAAATATCATTTCTATAATTTTCTGTCTTTTATTGTTATGACCAACCAATCACGGAGCCTGTTCATATGGATAGGTACCGACCCTTCCTACGACCTAGCCCTACTAAATCCGAACTCTAGCATATAACGTGTAGAACGTTTAGGACGATGTACCTATTTATACCTGAGTCGATCGAGAAAAATGTAAAATTGAATGAACAACTTCATGTTAGACTAAATTTTAATCTAACTAAAGAGAAGGGAAATCAAACACCATAGCTAAAAAGAACATGATGAAATTAGTAAAATTGCAAAATGCAAGGTTGCGAAATGTTGTAAAGCTTGGAAAATATAGTCTTGTAAGTTGCAACGTTTGCAAATTTTATATATGTTTGTATTACGTGCGGAAATTGTTACCATTTTCGGCTCAAAAATGGTAACACGCACGTAATACAAACATATACAAAATATGCAAACTTCGCAAGGCTATATTTTCCATATTTTACAACATTTCGTAATTTTGCGGGAATTTACTTTTTTTGCGTAGATCAAAAATTAGTCTATTAACATGCAAGTTGTCTATTGCCATTATATAATACTCTTTCCAATTCTTTTCTATACCTTGCTTGCTTTTGGACCAGAAACAGCAGCAGTCCGCCATCTTGTTTTTATATCCGAAGAAACAATTTGTGGGCATCTGTGTATGATGCAACTTCCTGAAAAATAGAAAGTTGCAAAAGCAATCACGTAATAAAATAAACCAATCAGATGGATTAGTTAAAACAAAGTGTATACCAAAAATATGAATCGTAATTTTATATTAATATGGAAGATGGGTGATAAAAACATAAATACAAGGAATATATGAGGTAAGGTGAGATGTAGCAAATGTCAATGTCTGCTGAGTCTGGAAACTAAACAGAAGTCGTTCTGTTTTTGTCTGAGTTTATGTTCCGCATTTGTGAACGGTCACGGTGATTGAGCTTCATTGTATTTTCTTATAATAAAGTAATTGTCCAATGGGGATAGCGAGATGAAAAGTGCAACCTCGTTGAATATATTTATTGAAGTTGAGACAAAGGATTAGTGCACGGCGAGGTACAGTTCAACATCAAACCAACATTGTATCTTTGAAGTTTGCCGGCCTTCCAGACCATCGTATATATCTTGACAGACTATGGACAGCCATAGACAGATTAAAGCTAAGTATAACTAAGAAAAACGCTCGCTAATACCATGGAGGTGGACCGTGGACGGTGCCAAGTTTGGAAACGAGACGCATTTCACGTTTTGCGGATGTCGTTGCTACCAGAAATGGGACAGAGGGCTCCAATTTTCATGTCCAAAATACTGTGATCGCCACTAATATGAAAAGGTCTGGCTGGTTTGTCAGCATCGTTGTCCTGGATGTTAGCACAACGATGCTCACCTTATTCTCAAAAGTCTTCTTGACGACTTTAAAAATATTTGAACTTTTAATGTGAAACCCTCCACAATTTTTCCTTATCGTGTTTGGTTTTCGAAATATTTCGACAACAAACAGCGCACAGTCTGCCATCTTGTTGCTTAGTCAATATAGATGACGTCATAACATGATAAAGAGGATTCCTGTATTTGTGGGCTTCTGTGTATTATGCAACTATAAATATTAAAAATAATCATTTTATTGCCATTTCCCTTAAAGTTTCATAATTTTGTCGCCAAAATTTGTATCTCGATATTTTGCATATCATGCCATATAATATGCACATTACATCTACTGTGTTGGTGTGGATATACACTCAGAGTAACATCACAAACATATTCACCTGAGTACACAACACCAGCACAGAAAACTATTCATACAAGATTATATTGGTATCGAAGGAACTAGATTCTGTTCCGAAATATCACTTACTCGAACCGACCTGACCGCATAGCTCCGAGTTGGCAGAGCATGGGCTAGTATTCCAAAGGTCGTAGGTTCGATTCCCACCGTGGCCGGGCATATTTTTCAAGCTCGCCCGGTGTGGATATACACTCAGAGTAACATCACACACATATCATATTCACCTGAGTACACAACACCAGCACAGAAAAACATTACTTTCATTTATTAAGTATCTGATAGGGTAATTTGTTACTTTGCGATCCTTCAATGATCACAAATTAGAGCATGGGCGTTTTGAAAATTTCCGTTAATTATCGATATCTTATGACGTAATTCTTTGCTTACTTAGTCACTTTGTCGTCTGATTGAAAGACGTTCTAAAGGATACAGGTCAGTTGTTATTTTATAGTAACCTTATAGAAATAACAGAAGATGTATCAGGCCTCCAATACACGGCCTCCTCCGCAGGCAACTCAGAGAAATGATGGGGGTGTGAAGTGAGGAGATAATATCTCTCATTACTGCTTCACTACCCTGCTTCACTATCAAGCTGATATAAATATTGCGTAAATTTCGCCGTTTTCCACCAAGTTGCCTGTGAAGGAGGATATACAAGGCCAATGGCGAAAAGAGTTCTATATTGAGACAGTACTAATAAGAGTGGAGGGCGGGGACAGTCGGGCACACCTACATACCTACATACAAATTATGACATAATCACACCTATTAAGGCCAGAAATAAATCTCCATGTATGGGCACAATTAGTACGGTCAATTCTTGTCAGCGAGCATAGAATTTTCTTCCGCTTGAAGGTAGTATTTTAAAACAATAATGTCGTTATTTATCCATTAGTTGGAAATATGATGTTGCCTTTTATATAGCCTATAGGTCTGACATGCGAACTGATTTCCTCATGCAAAGAATGGATGGAAACCATAGCTCATTCATTCATTACATGAAGCTGATGTGACCACCATATTTAGTGACAGGTTGCTATGTTTATGATAATTGGTTAAAATGAAACTAGGTGTGCATGATATCACAGTTTCCATCTCTTCTTTTTGGCCACCCACACAATCAAATTTACGATGCAACTATTTTTGAAATTTGTTATTACGTACACTTTTTTTATCTATTGTAGGCATTTAAAAACATTTGTCTCTATCAGCGGAATCAAGGCGATATACTAAACCAGACATTGACTCTGCGTGGAATATGGACCAAAGCGAGTGACTTGCATGATAACTCGGTAAGTAAGATGATTAAATCATTTGACAGGTTCCAGAATTTTCTTTGGCTTTGTTGTCCATTTTATTCAAGAAACTACGCTTTCATCACGTATCGTAAAGTTAATTCAATTTAATCCATGCAGGATGCTTTGTTTTAAAAAGATAACATATAATCTCATGAATGAAACCCTAATACACCTTTCTTCTTCATAACGTTGTGCAGGTGCAAACCTTCAAATTACTCATCGTTTGCCAATGATATCTTGACGAGTCACAAGATTATAAATTAGTAACGTTTAAAAATAAGAAAGAAACAGTGTTGTCTAACATTTGTAAATTATAAATTGCGCATACAAAGCGCGTTGATAACAAATACACTGTCCAAATTAATTACAGGGACATATATAATCCAACTTTGACATTGTTATCTTGCTTTAAGTATTAACTAAAGTATTAACTGTCAATGACACTTTGAGTTGTACCATTGGGATCAAAATTGGTCAAATACAATCCGATTTAAAATTGTCGGTCGAAATCGTATTTTCTATCTTAGGGATTAAATGTTTTTTTCCAACATTCAAACAAATGCTGATTGCCTTTTTGGGAAACATATGGTATTGTGAATTCAGTTTTGTAAAAAGATAAATCCACTCGTTGTTACTATAATCGCGAGTTGAAATTTACCAGGAGTCGGCAGGACGGCAAGACTTATTGGTGATCAACCAACACCTTAGGCTTAAGCCATATTTGCGGATCAAGTTCTTAAATCTGAATGATTTCAATAATACTCATACAGTCATACAATAACTTTGCATTCAATTCCAAGAAATACAATTTCGACTAGTAAAAAATATGTTATTTGAGTCCAGCTATATTACGTTGACATACCAAAACTGGATTACCTTTTTTATACACAGTATAGATACAGCATACAGTATTTTCTATATTGTAGTAGATATATAAGTAGAATGAGCAAGGCCCCCCAAGTTTTCAGAAGATACAAAAAGTGCCCTCTCTCCGGTGGCAAAGTGCCCTTTGCCTTCGTGAAAAATGATGTTCAGATTGCATTTTTTATGATTGGCCTTCCTTTTCCCCCGTCACCAACATTTCCGGGAAACAAGTTTTAGGTGCCCTTTTCATTTCAAAAGTGGTCTGAGGTCCATAGTTTTCTTACAGAACGTGCATGCGTCGTTGAATTTAATTCGCGCAATGATCCATGGGAATTCTCTAACAGAACAATAGCAAAGGTCTATAAGGTGTCTAATCGTATACATCTATAAGATGTCTAATCCTAGACACCTATATTAAGACGTGTGTAATTTTACACTTTTTTCTAAAAGATGTACATAGTTGTACAGACCGTCCTTTGGTGTTTTAAAATTTCACATGTTAGCGTGAAGTTGTCCTTGTATGCATGCAACAACACGCATGCGGTCTTAACTTATCCACATTGGCATGTGAACTTTTTCTATATCTTTACTTGATATTGTTAATTCGGATTTGATAAAGCTTTTGTGAACGTGTCAGGTGACAGAAAATTCCGCACATGCATGCATCATGTCGACCAGTACCGAAAAATACTTTTCAACATTTATATGCCCTATAGGGTATATGTCATTTGCAGTTGTAATTAAAAGTATAACGCGTTCAGAACACACCCAGATAGGATAAGACCTTTTTATCCAGTTTAATAACAACCTAGTTCCATTTTGCACAAAACTTCCATATTATACATATTGCACAAAACGTAAACCTAATTACCCCTTGTAGGTACTATGTATAGGAAGATTTTGTATAACCGTTTTTGCCCCACACATGACCCCAACGTCATGCGTTTGACTTCATTGCTCATAGTTTCCTCAAGTTGAACATGAGTTGCGTTGTCGTAAAAGATGATGAACACTCGCTCATAAAAATCGTTCATGCGCAGTGAAACTTGTTTACCACGTCGTTTCGCATGTTTCAAGCTGATTTAACATGCGCTGATTGGCTGAATTATAATTGAAACCTTCAAATCTCCAGCGAGAATAGACAATGTTTTTAGCCGCAATATCAGTGCATGTGCATGTAAATGATGATATTCGTTTAGTGCACTGTGGGGGTATTTCTATCTTTTCTTCATATTGTTAATGCGGATCTGATAAAACTTCTTAAAGACAAGTGATCGAAAATTCCGCACATACATCAGTATGTTCTACTGTGAATGAATTTCACTTTCATTTTCAACGGACGTAGATGCGTTTTTATTACCCAAATAATATACATGCCGTGATGGGTTCTCTTCAGCCCATAACTGACTGGTACCCTAAGTACGTAATATTCTATTTTTGTTTACAGCTGACGCGCTGGTGTTAATTTTGTCAGATCGTTATCACTTTATCTCTATGTTCAGTCTGTATCAGTCGGCACACCCACCCCTGCAGTTAACCATGATATTCTAGCTTTGAAAAACAACACCTGCTGCCAAAAGCAATATAGACGACTTTTGATCAAATCCTGTTTATAGTTCCTATTTCAAGACCTTTCAAAAGCTCTTTATCTTAGCTTCGCATCGTATATAAACCACTTTCCCGCACGTGCAAGACAGAAATCACTTTGAAAAAAAGCGAGAAAGGCGCATGAGACTGAGAGAAAAGTCGAGACAAGATTTACAGTATAATACTTTGAAGCGAAAGCCGATATACATACAGTATATCTATAGTATATATGTAAAGGTGAGTTGGTCAAAAGTCAAAGCATGTATTTTAATAATAATTAAGTTCAGTCCTGTATCATAGATACCCTGCATGCATGGGTATAAATATATGGGGTTAAAGATCGATCGAACCAAGATTATAGATAAATTACGATCATGCAGTAGTTTTACAAATATATACTGTATTACACCATTTGTTAAACTGAAATACGCATATATTAAACGCATAAACTGAATATTTAATAAGTTACAAAAAATGCATAAACTGCATTACAGTGAAAATATAATAAATAGAATTTTTCTTTTCAGTCTTAATAGACTTAGTCTTAGATGCGTATACTGTATAGATTCTATATTTTACCTAATTAGAAATTCGATGATATTCAAATTCCATATTGCTATATATTGGTGTACATGTAATATTCCCAGTACAGTACACTTTTGTTTTACTTAGTTAATATTAATATTTTTCCTCGCTTTAGGCTATATATATAACTTCATTTCTTTGAAAAAACAGATTAAATAAACTTAGTCTTATTATCAGTCTTATGCTTTTCAAGCTTCAGCTTTTGATGTATATAAATGATAAAAGATAATATTGGTCCGTGTATATAAGTACAATGCTTGTTATTTCAAACTTACCTTGAGTTTAAATCTTCCTGCTACAATTTAATCTTAAAAATCAAAAATTTCCAGAATTTAGCAGACTTGCTTTGCCTATGTAAAAAGGAAACATTCAAAAGGCATGTTTTGTCGTTTTAGACTTTTATGTTATTTATGATATATTCCATAATATATCAGTTTCTGTAATAATAGTTACCAAACTTTCAATAATCTAAATAATAAGTTAATAATTCTAAATTGGATTGGCCAATTTTGGCTCTCCCGCCAAGTTGAATAAAAGCGTAAAATGATTTTCTCATTCATGAAATGCCAAAAAGGCAAGAAGCGTCAAAACCGCTGCAAAAACGTGCTGACTGATAACAAAACAACAAGATAGCGACATCAAGGTCTGTATACCATTCAAGAACATTTAGTTTATGTAGGTAATGATTTATCAATAGTGTTAGTAATAGTTCGAGATCTGTCGCCAAAATGTAACTGAAACTTTAATGATAGGGTTGTTAGTATTAAACTTTATATATAAATATCCTAATTCTTTGCACCGCATGATATTAGTATCTTACACAATGCAGATAATATGTCTGACTACAAGAATAGTTCTGTTTGGTATGCAATTTTCTTATCATAATTCTTTATTAAGTATATAGATATATAGGCAAAACGCTCATGTAGGTAGGGATTATCTTCCTTCTAGTTCATGCTATACCGCAAGTGAAACAAGGAGTTCTGATATATCACCGTAGTCGTAGACGCAATTATTTTAACTAATTTTGTCTAAGTGAAAGGGGAGGGATTAACGGAATTACAACAGGGTAAACAGCTATAAAGAGATGGTTAATTTCATTGGGAAAACAGCTCTCTAGTTTCTCGCGATTTCCAACACTGCGACAGACGTTATATAATCAATTCGTATCGAAGTAATCATTAATTAAGAACTTCTACGAACTTCTGTCAAAATTGTCTTGTAGGTACTTTCCTAAAGTGTTTTGAATTTTCTAAATAATTGTTTTACTTAAGTTATTTTTATATCCGAGCAGAATAAATCGCTGCTTGACTTCGGTTTCATTATGAAGTGACTTATAAAAAATTTGTTGTTCTAAAAACGTCTGTAAAAAATTATGAAACAACTGTTCATTCACGTCATATATCACAATCTTATATTCTTGGATGAAATTTCATCCGCTATCACTTGTCACAGTACTGCTGTTGAGTGACGAGCTGTCATCACTGGGACCTCCTTTCTGCCTTACTAGCCTGACCCTGAATAGCCTGCAAATAGTCAACAGAAGGAATCTATTGCGAGCTTCATTGACATTGTTTCATCGCTTTCTAGAACGTGTCTAACGAAATTGGTTCTAAACAAGAGTAAAGGGCAAAGGTATATATTTCTTATGCTGTTACGTTATAAGTTAGAACATTTTTACATCCTATCTAGTGTGTTTTCTTAGCTGTTCATTCAAGTGTTATATCAAAAGTATTATGGTTTATGTAGACATAGGCACATATAGCTTATAGTCTAAAACAGTAAAGTATGTCATATATAATGAGTAGTCGTTATTCGCCGCGAGCGAAGTTTGAAGACCGTCCTAGGATGCGGAGTGTGAAATTCTGATTGTTCATTTTCTGTGTGACAAATGATATTGCTTAAATTTTCTGCGTTTTTAGTCGTGAAAAACTGTTAAGTTTTCAGAAAATTGTATCATTTATATTTCAAACATGTAACACTCCGAATTCTGGTATTTGCGCACCCGTATATCTGATGTATTTAAGTATGTTATTTGCTTACCACGCGACTATTAATATACCGGCCCAGACAGCCTGAGTGAATCATAAATCTTTGAGGTTGCTTCATGAAACTTGCTTCAATGGCCGCACATAACTTACTGTATCTGCATTAGATTAGTTTGCGCAAGGTTCGATATTTGACTTAGTGAAAGATATCAAACTCTGACCATTTTCACTGATCTGGACAATACTGTCTAGACTGAGAAGATGAGTAAGTTCATGTCAGTGATAGCATTCAAGTATTACAAAAGCAATGTGTGAATTACTCTGTTTTTGGTATAACTATGGTTTCCACAAGAACTGAAAACTGTATGTATATTTAAATTTCATGGAGAAGTCTCAGTAGCTATAGGCCTACTTCTTCCTACTGTTGCTCGTGCAGTCATGACGCAAATATGCTGGCATGTGGTTGCGAGGATTTACCTTTGGCCGTGGACTCTAGGCTATATAGTGCCTGTCTTATCAAGTCTAGTTTGCAAATTTTTGGTCTGTGTTCGACAGCCCCAAACTCGGACCGTGTTCGCCAGCCCAATTCAAGACAGTGTGTTAACTCAGACCTATACGAAGCGGATATGCGTTTATAGCACGATACTCGAGTGTGGGATATCCCATAATGTTTCAGTGACAGACAGAGAGTGACAGAAAACTGAGTTGTGTATGGTCAACGGCGGCAATTATTTTTCATTTCTCAATCATGTGTTAGAACTGAGAGTACTGTGAGATGTGAATTATTATTTATATAATTGCCTACATTATCTGCGACTAGTGTAGTTATACTTGCGGTGGTGTATTGTTTCAATGGCATTTTATGCAGCGAAAGTATGCAGGATTGGTGTGTTTTTATACAGTGCGAAGCTGTTTCATCTGTTTAGAAGACCCCAAGAAGTCGTACCCCTGGAGGGTATATTTCATTAAAATAATAAATAAATTCGGCCGTTGACCCTTCACCAATCGTACTGTCGTAAACAAATTATGATCCGTGACTACAGTCAGACTTTCCATGTGAACTTTTTATCCAATTCACATATACCTCATTCTTTGTATCCGATTTGTTAATGCTAAATATCCTATTTCATTCATAGAGCTCTATGACTATATAAATATAATACACTGTTTTAAAACTTCATTCGCTTTTCGAAACTATAAAGACTGTGTATTCTGTAATTCTGAAAATTTCGTTCTCGCACATAATCGGCTTACACTTCCCAGGCAAAGCAGATTGAATGGCCGTTTAACCCTGCCACGCTTTTTATAGCAATTGAAAGTATTCGTGCAACCTGAAAGTTGGCTTTCTTCCAACACCAGAAACTGAAGGGACAGGGTCAAGAAAGAAACTACAGAAAGAGTTTTATATTAAGAAGCGAGGAAGTTTTTAAAACTTTTAATTAAATAAATAAGGAAAGTGTTAAGTGTACCTAATCAGTAAATTAAGCCTAAAGGAAACGTTCACGTTTATATTCTTTTCAAAATGTAGCTAATGTTTCAGAATTGAAAATTTATCCGTTAAATAAGAAACATGCATGACAGCATACTTGACCATTCAGAGCTATTTGCACGTGCATGCGCACGTCATTTTCACATTTCGGTTGACGACATAAAGGAAAAATCACCCGAATTTGACATCAAATTTAAGATGTAATTTAAGGTTTAAAGTTAAACAGAACTTGTCAACGGTGAGATAATAATATTCAGATTATGATTGGAAAAAATCTACAATTGCATTTACAGTCATCTCTGCAGTATCTATGATTACGTAACATCAGTAACTATCATAACTTATGTCACCTCTTCTCAACATATACATGCAAGTTTAACATTCCTCTCAAAATACAATATCAACAGGTTGTATATTTATAGGTTAGATGCGTCTGCAATGTTGCAACACTTTTCATGGAAACCCGAACCTCCGGGCCCACCTCAAGTTCGCAAATGTTTGGACTGAAAATTTCATTGATATACTGTATAATAGTTTAAGGACTATCAGAACAATTCAGTAAATCAAGAAAATTTAGATACTTTTAAGTAGTCCTTAAACTATTATAAGTATCTAAATTTTCTTGATTTACTGAATTGTTCTGATCTAAATTTTCTTGATTTACTGAATTGTTCTGATAGTCCTTAAACTATTATACAGTATATCAATGAAATTTTCAGTCCAAACATTTGCGAACTTGAGGTGGGCCCGGAGGCTTGGGTTTCCATGAAAAGTGTTGCAACATTGCAGACGCATCTAACCATAGTTAATATATGTTGAGAAGAGGTGACATAAGTTATGATAGTTACTGATGTTACGTAATCATAGATACTGCAGAGATGATAAATGCAATTGTAGATTTTTTCCAATCATAATCTGAATATTATTATCTCACCGTTGACAAGTTCTGTTTAATGTGTTCACTTATTAAAAATTAACTTTAAACCTTAAATTACATCTTAAATTTGATGTCAAATTCGGGTGATTTTTCCTTTATGGATTTCGTCAACCGAAATGTGAAAATGACGTGCGCATGCACGTGCAAGTAGCTCTGAATGGTCAAGTATGCTGTCATGCATGTTTCTTATTTAACGGATTAAAATTATCCATAATTACACTATTGATTAGCAGCCAAATCGTGTGGCAGTTTGAGGTAAACAGGCAAAGATTTCTGTTAAATTGATTATGCGGCGCCCTTCCGTATACGTTTAGAAATTGAATAGTTGTCCGCCTTTGGGTTGTTTATAGAGACTCGCTGATACGTCATATAGACCAGACCAAATTAGTACATTATGTAAAACAAAGCCTTGAAATTAAGTTGTTTTTCACTTCATCTTAATTAACCTTCTGTTCCGCAAGAGCTAACTAATATGTAAGCAGTAAGGTATGTATACTGACTTGTTTGATGTATATACATGGAATTAATATGAGTGAATTCATTTCACTACTGACACTATACTCACTAGGGTCTAACTTGCGTTTATAAAATAGAGCAGTTTCTTTACCATAGTCAAAGAGAATGAAATTAGCCGGAAACATATAGGCTATAGCAATGTCAAACGTTGACATCACATGTGTCGTCCTCTGGCTCTGGACATGTGCATGTAATATTGTTTGGAAATTTCAGTGTGAGCTACAATGCTCAATATACATGTATTTTCGCGTTTTTCCAACCAAGAGTGGGAAAACTTATGAGTTAGTAGTTGTAAGTAACTTAGTTCATCTTAGTTACTGACCTTAATCATGTTGTATCAGATTAAATGACAACTGACACTGTTTTATAAGATTGAAAAACCAAAAGTGGATCTTTTGACAACAAATGATTCAAACTTGGAAGTGATTTCCTGTAGTGAAATACTGAAATTTTGTTGTATTTTTCACTTCGACATGCAGATAGATAGATGGGTTTCAAAAATTCGTCCGGGCTTCCGATCTGAAAAGTTTCAAGGCGTTTAAGTTGAGACAGTATATCAAGTGGAGTATAAGAATTGAAACGTATAGAAACAGTCATTTCAATTATATCCTGTCAATTATGTATACAGTAGAATGTCGCCCGATTACGGTTAATACTAAGATAGAGGTTTAAATACGATGTATAAAGTAAAAGAGAAATAGAAAGTTCCGAAATGAAAACATGTGGCACGAATGCATGCTTGCCAAATTATATGTCTTTCATTAATGTTACAAAAACAAAGTTCATATTGCCAGATTTTTCTAATATATGCACATATAAACTAACCTAATTATATTAATCTATTTTGTTGGTGTGATCGATTAAAAGTTGTTTTATACAAGATTATAAGTTTAGAATCATTGCTTACTTGAAACTTATTAGCGTATAGCATTGTTTTTTGTAGATCACAATAATATAAAATTAATGCATGTTCACTGTCTAATTGTGAAATGAACATTTAATTGTTAAAAATTATACTCCCTATGTTAATTATGACTATACAATGCCTGTGTCTCTCACACGCTGTTAGGTGAAGTTAAGCATATTATATTTATAGCAAGTAATTGTTTTTGTATTCTTTACGAGAGATATTGGCATTGCCATTTATAGACCGTTTTCCAAAAACGGTTGCAGTCATTCTTTTTTCTCCGGAAATTAATTTCAACCATCAATTTCGCTGCCGCCTTATATAGGATACTTCAAGACTGCAAGTTTTACAAAACCTGAAATGTAAAACCATGTATTCTCTTTGAGAAATTAAATCTGGCGAAAAATTAAATACCGCAGTTCGTGCTAGATTTAGCAAAGAAAACTGACTGGCCTCGTTTTGGTGCTCCGTTTTTTATATTCCAAAGCCCAGGGATATAAATTTATTTCGCGCTTGCATGGATTGTTTTCAATTCATCTTGCACCTTTGCACTTTACTTAAAATAGTAGACATTTGTAGCCTGGTAATGCATAAAATATAAATGCAAAATTGTGGCGGCTAATTTTCGCCGAATCAGTCGGTATATATAGGCTATACCCAAAATTAGTTAGCATGCGGCAGCTTATATGCGGTAATGTATACTGTGAACTATGCTAGATTTAAAAAAACGATGATAGGAAGGCGGCCTGGATTCGTGTTTCTCCATGTTCAGTCTCAATTTTTAGGTTTTTATTTCTTATTATAACTATTTACTTATTTTTTATTTGTTTTACCGCTGACCAGCCGCCTTGTAATCTTCTTTTAGAGGGGTTAGGTGAACAGGAAGATAGATAGATTGCGCTAAGTTCCGGCTAAGCTCTGATTTCTTTTCGTCTGCTACTGGTCATCTGGCATAAATTGCGTCAAGTTTATGAATTGTGAAGTAATGTGTTCAATTCCCACGAAATTGACGAAAGGCAGACGTCTGTATCATCCTGCCTCCCCCTGATAGACTTGTGATAATATTTATTTTTTGTTTGATCATGTTTTGAACGCGTTGTTTATTAGTTATATAAACATATTATGGAACATTCGAGTTAGTCGATTCATTAGCAACAGTTTTTGTGACCACTCACCAAGTCACAATGTAATTATCGTTTTACCTTAACGTGAAACACCTTGCGACGGTGTCTGATCACACAAAATTTACAGAATTATTTCTAGATAACACAGCGATAACACGGGAGGAAATGTTTACATTGGAGTAAGTAAACTTAAGGAGATTAACAGCAAACACAGGATGTCTCTTACTTTATATGTTTACCATCTGATTATAATTTCAACTTAAACTGCTTAATTGTATGGTATAGCAACCCATATTGTGAATCATAAATAATATATTATTGATACAGCTTGTTTTTATATTGAGTGATGAACACCGCTATCACAAAAGTAACTGTTATATATTAAATTGATTTCATGCAATCTTGAGGATCACCACACATTGGGTATTATTTTTGTCGCTTATTTAACCACACGAGAATTTCTATGTCTACCAGCATGTCCGATTTGAAGTGTTTAACTTGAAATATGCGAATTATGAAGTAGGTTTAACTTTGTATGACAGTCTTAGATAAAGATCGGTTGTTGTTTGAAGAGGATGAGTCGCGGAATTAAAATAGTTTAATAATAATGTTTCCTGTTGAACTGATGTAGTGCTTAAGGTTACAGGACACCCTTTTTGGCGTTTTGTGGAAAATCGCTACTGCGCGCTCAAAATCAGTCCGATTGTCATCAAATTTTCACCAAATGTTAGCCAGTGCATGCAAAATATGATAAAGTTGTAAAATTGACAAACAATAAAATAATGTAAGAATTATTCAGGAAAATATTCAGTAGCGGTACCTTTACACTTTTGAGTTATGTTCCTGCTGGTTTTAAGATATATTTATGAAAATATCATTTTTAAACAGTAAAATAGTTGTTCTAAAAAATTGTTTTCGGAAATTTTTGTTTATTTCGTCATTCCGCTGATATGGCGATTTCTTTGACGACTGCAATATATTTCTGAATCGTTTGTGTGAATTGCTCCTTATTATTAAAATATCCAAAATTAGAAAAAAAGCCGAACACAATTTTGAAACTGACGTCTTTAGCTATGTCCTGTGAAAATTTGAGAAAAATTCGTTAAAACCCGCAGGAGCACAACTCGTTTAAAAATCAGTAATTGCCGTAAAATTCTTCGCGAGAAAATTGAATTTGAATATTACATTTTCAATGTTTTTCTTATTGCAAGCGAAATGTATTTTATTAAATAACTCTGCGAGTTTTCAACATTTTTCGTCCAAACTTGGTCAGATAGTAGAAGTAGTCCAATGCTTTCATGGAAACCAATAAAAAAATTTTAGGCAAAATTAACACTCAAAGGTGTAACCTTAAGGGAGGAAGCGCATATTATACATAATTAAGTGGAAAAATTGCAAAGTATGAAATTTTAAATATTTGTGCAATGATGTGCGCTAAGTGCGACGTCTATAATGCCAGACGTGCTTCCTCCTCAAGGCAAGATTGTTGATATATCTGATACAGTTGTAGTGTTGAGATCTACTGTCATGCAAATTTCACTGCATAAGAAAATAGTCTACTGCATAATGTAACTTTTGTCTTTATAAATAATTATTTAAAAAAGGAAATGGTTTACAAACACCCATTTCCTAATTTTTCTAAGCTGCATGCTTTAAATAACGCCGTTTTTCTGCGATATACGGAAAAGTTACTTTACAAGTGGTGTGTATAAAAGGTACATCATATTTTTTTATATGTTGCAGATACATGACCATATATTTTACCTTATTAAAGTTGGAAATAGTCACTGTTGGCGTTGCTATAATTGAGGAATTCATATTTTTACATTTAGTTTCCGTTTTTGGATTGTAAAAACGGAAAATTATCCAACGTACAACTCTGGCTTGATAGGATATAACAGAAATTTACCCCTGTCAATAAAATGGCAGAAATTATGAAATTATCATATCCAATGTAAGGTTACAGTCTGTGCTTTAATTTTTTTTTCTCCCCCAAACCCAGAGAGCCTGCCACGCAGGCTAGCTTTATATCGTCTATACGAGATACATTATGCAATCAACATATTCTTCTAATTAGAACAAAATCTCGACTTGATATGGCAATTACACGCCATCTCGTTGTGTCTATATATGATCGAAATAACAGTATCTTGATGTGTCATGATGCACATTTGACCATGCCTACCCTCATCAGATCAGAGTCCTGTAGTCCTGCATGCATAGATAATGAGCATGTTTATCCTCGGTATTCCAACTGATTGAACACCAATATTCATGCTGAGATCATAACTTGTAACACTTGTGATTCACAAGCTGACTCGCCATAAACACCGTGGATGATTGCACTCGTGTTCATCTTATTTTGATGCCATTTAGTTACATACCAGTTTCACTCAGTGCATGCATTACTAGAGATGCTGCAAATGACTTTCCTGAGGTTTGAAACTGATTTAAGTAACGCTGTAGCCTACGTCATAATCCGTAACCACGAAATAGGGTATATTCATGACGTAAGCTAATGACGCTGCTGCTCCAGAATTAATTAATACCACCTTTTTCGTATGCTTTCGTCTTCCACTATCAACCGATATTTCGTAAAATCATATTTCAAGTGAAAGGAAATATTATGTCACGGGATGTAGAAACGTAGATGAATAAACCTATTTAATACGAAATATCTTAATATCCATTGCAACGCAAGAAAACCTTGCAATTTTTCACACATGAATGATTCCCGTCAACGTCTTGTTTGCTTATTTTCACCGGTTCTTACGTATGGTTTTTCTTGGCCTTGCCTTTTTCTGTGCTCCAGTCTCCAGATCCTCCACTATGTACATTATTTTCTTCCTCATTCCTTCAAAACTTTCTCCAGGTGTCATATTGAGGGAAAACGTCAATAGGCCCTTTGCAGCCGGCCTAAAAACACTTTGCATACCAAAATCTGGAGGGCAAGAAAAATGCCGTGCTTTGTTTTACTCCTTTGTTTACAAATCCCACACCTTTCCATGTTCTCCAGTCACTTATTGTTCTCAACTATTTTAGTTAACTGCAAAGAGCTTATTAAGTTATTTACTTTTCCTTATTAGCATTAATTTTCTCCATAAATTCACCTGCCAGAACCAATTCCCCTTTCAAAACGTTTTGATATTAGAGCACAAACCGTCCTCCATTTCGTTTTACGTTGACGTTTGTTAAGTGTAACTTAATCTATTTCAACTTGATGTTACGATCAGTGGCGTAGCCAGCCCAACAATTTAGTCAGGCTATGCAAATTCAAAATTATCATTATTCATTTCTTTAGAAATTGATTGTTTTCACTGTCAATGAAAAGTATAATATTCCTTAAATTAAGTTCAAATTTCTAGCATTCCGCTATAACATTTTTTGTAATTCGTCATTTTTTTATCAAAAAGTTCACAATAATATTAATGCAAACCGAAATCACTTTAGTTTACAGCGGTACCTTTGGATATTTTGTGAATTTGCTTTAATTAAAATGCTTTTGCAACGAAATTTCACATCATTTTTTATGATTTCCATTGTAAAGAAAATGAAAATGACCAAAATAAGATTCTTTGCCAAACTATCTCATCTTGCTTCGTGACCTGCAACGCAGACTCTATAATGGTATATATTATAGAGTCGCAGGCTTTAATATTTTTTTTTATATCAAATTATCCTCATTATGTCGTCACATTGCATAATGACTTTCTGAAAAAACTTCAAAGTCTTGGGTATCGTGCATCGAAATCATAAAACCGTCCATACGCATGTGTTATGTCAACATACTGTACAGAATATGTTATATGTCGACAAATATGAATCAATTATAAGAGTTATGAAAGTTGTTTTTTTCAGAAAGCTATTTATGCAATTTGACGTCATAGCTATATAGTGGGGGATAATTTGCATATCAAACATTGTTAAATATCTGAAGAAAGAAACAAGCTAAGATAGTTTAACAAAGTATCTAATCTTACTAGTCATTTTGAATTTTCTTTCCAATGCAATAATAAAAATATTGTGTGAAATTTCGTTGCATAAGCACTTGTGCCTCAATGGTACGAGATCGAGGCTGACGACGAGCTGCAAGCGACGCTAACTGGGCCTTTATAGATAAATAACCAGGGGCCCTGGTTATTATCATGCACTTAACAAAATCTTGTTAATTTAACTATAGGAACTATATACAATAGGTTAAAAAACCAGGAGAAAGTTTAAAATAAACAGGAAAATGAACCAACTAATCTGCTACAATCTATCATTCAATCGAACTCACTCAGTATAGTTATAACTTTACTCGATCACACGAACAGGAATAGTTTGACTATAGGTTGTGGCGAGTGTCTATATCAAATCTAACTGTCTTTCACTGTCTGCATATATCGCTTATTAATTTTTATATTATCAGAACTCAGAAGAGACTAGGGAGTAGAGGAAAGACTCCTTCGGTGATTTCGTTTCATGTTTGGATGCGGTTTTCCGACACATTATCTGTTTCGTGCAGATCCCACAGAGTGCGGGGGCACGAGTGCTATTTTGATGTCAATTTCACAGTCTGTGAAGTGTGGGTGTGTTGACTGACACAACGTTTCATGAATTTATTTGTTGTTGGAAAGAGTTAGTGAAACAATAGCATCCAACGACAATTTCATCAACAAGAGGAAAGAGCTAGTGTAATAATTGATGTGTAAATAGCGGGTTCACAGCGTAGGTAGTGGCCTTTTAATTGTCGGACAATGTCGCTCCATCGGCAAAAGAATAATTCTTTTGCCGATGGAGCGTTAAGAGTAGAGTCAATAGACCTGACGTTTCGAGCAAAGGTCGTTCCCGCTCGTTCGTCAGTGAAATCATAATATTAATTGCTACTGTTAAGCTCATTATATCGTTTTTGTTGGATATAGACTTTTGTATTTAGTGAAAGTCTTCAAAGTCTACCAAACGTTGCATGTGCAGTAAACCATTAAAATATAATGTAATTAGTTATGGGAATGTTTTGCCTGCACTCAAGATATAGTGTTGTAGCTAATCAAGGTATTGCTGATATGAGGGCCAGGGTGACTGTTCACAAAGGTGTGTCTGGGAACAATCGAATATTGCACTATAAATACTCGATCATTAAATACTCAACCGACATGACACTCATCCACACAATACAATCTGGATGCTCCACTATAGATGAGTTGATAAAATATTGCACGAAAACGATATGATTTCTCATGCTAAATATAACGTGATTTCTCATGATCAAATATAGTTTTTATTTTAAATTAATTTAGAAATTATTGTGTTGCACGAGATTAATTTCTCACATGAGAAACCATTCTCAGCAAGGTCAAAATCATGTAAACTTGAGAATTAAGAATCATTATTAATAAACTAACATATGTATGCATTAAATTGTATAGTTGACATGCAATTCATTAAATTGTTATCTACCAAAGATCTTCTCGTTGTCCTTGACGAGTGAAATCGTCTGGCTTTAGAATAAGAGTAAAATGATCTGGTAATTTTTCTTGTATTTTTCAATAGTTTCTAATTCAGTCGCACGAGTACAGTATGTAATAAAGGCAAAAAATTGAAAATGAATCTTTATCTGGTTTCAAAAAAGCCCGTCCCTGACCGTTTACTTAGGGATAGTATTCTTCCATTTCTAATTCATACACTTGATGTAAATTCTCTTCTTTTCTTTTCTTCATACTTAGTCGAAATTAACTCGATGCCTTTAGAAAGCTAACTGCATGTTTTCAATATATTAATCAGTACTCACAGTAGCTTTATTGTAGTATTTGCATGCGTGCGTGACTATATAGATTTGACACAGGCAGTGCACAGGCCATAGAGTTCAAGAGACACTCAAAAACTTGAAACGAGTGATATATGTCAATATGGTAGATGACTATTGATGCATATGTGAAATACTATGGTATAAGAGTATAGTCAAGATTATAATTAAATATTACACCGCAATGTCACAGTGTCACTTGCTGCATGTGTAAAAAGATTGTATGGCAATTGATTATCTCTTTCAGTTCTTTGTGAATTAAGCTTAGTATTATAAAGTATGCATGCATATAATCAAAGCTGCAATGAATTACTTTATACTGTCTTACTGAGTCAGTGAGTCTGTCTAATTTAGTCTAAGTGCTTGTAATTGATTTTAATTAATTAAACTTGAAAATTGTCATATATTCTGTTCACTATAATAGTATAATAATTAATATACCACTTGGTCTTGGACGATCGAAGCATTGCGGATAAGGCTTTTTTTTTCCGAGACGACATGACGGACAGATACTGCTATAATTGATAAATGTTTTTAATTACTTCTTTATGTTCAACAGCATGTTGTGGTACTGTATTGTCTATTGATTATGGCGATCATTCGTTCTTTGACTTTGCCTTTGTGGCTTTGGCTTTGGCTTTGCTTTTTATCGCGCTGTAAGCTTGATGTTCTCAGGTCGTGTCGGATGTTCAATTTCTGTTTGGTTTCACTTGCATGCATGGCAGCGAAGCCGACCACCGAGTGAGAGGGACAGAAAGGGCAACTTTAATTCGTGCCTGCATGTGATAAGGCCGGCCAAAACGGGGATTGACCCTTTTTGAATTCAGCATCCTGGCATAGAGGCTCTTATATGTATCATTTGTGCTGTTTGAAAAATATATGGCATCTTAAGTAACGGCCCCAGGGAAATTTCTTAAGTAAAATGTACAAGTGAGCGAGTAAAACGAATGGGTGAGCTTGAGCTCCCGAGCACAGCGAGGCAACACTCCCCCCCCCCCCTATCGCTCGGATCAAAGAACCAGTGGCTGACACTTCGCGAAATATCCGGGGGGGGGCAATTGGATTGTCAACACATGACCATCTTTTGTTGCTGGAGCCTGGAAATCTCAGTTCTGTAACCTTTTTTGCCTAAATTCCATTCAGTATATAGTCAAATAAATTATAGCCTATACCAATGCTTTTATGGTTGAAAAATTATTCTTACAGCTTATAGTTATTCTGCTATCGTCAAAGGCTTTCAGAAATTATGTTAGCCCGCGTGGTGGGTCTGCACGCGGGCTAAAATTATTTAAACCAGCCGTTATGTCAGTTGTGGCTAATTGTCCTAAGTGTACGCGTTTTGAGAGCTTAAGTTGTGTTAAAGTGCAGCTATAACTTTGGCCACTTGTGCAGACATCGTATATATAAGCCCGTCCTTCATTTTATCAGTCTTTGTGGCAAACTTTGTGCAGTTGTTGATTTTTTCTTTCAATGAACTGCAAAATTGTCTGGACTATAATTGAATGATAAACCTTAAAAATAACCATGAGACTTTTTTGAATTTTTCTATCAAATGCACGCTGAAGGTGATGATGCCTGGTAATTTTTTCCACACTTGCTAATAAAAAAACTATAAAAAATTCATGACATTTTAACTTATCTTAGTATATTCACTGTGGTATATTGTAACTTAGCCTAAATGATGGAATTATACTTTTGAACTATTCAGTAATAAGACAAAGACTTTTTAAGTTATAAAATTATACGTAGGCGCTCGACATCCGATCGACGTGCCATCCTTATATGGCAAAGGGTTCCAGCATACCAAACCATGTATTGAGAATTTTGTATAGAAAACAGGCTGACCCTCTTGACATTAATAGTCCCTATTCAGACTTGTAAATTGGTGTTTTATTCAAAAGTATGAAGTATATTTTTAGGAACCGTAGGGTATAAATATTAAGATTCCAAAGTATATATTCACTTAATCACTTATAAAGTGGAAGAGAGGCAAAAGCAGTTCAATTTTACACCCATGTAAAGTATGAGCATTTGTTGTATGAAGGCACGCGGAAAATGAGAACTATTCATATATGTATATATTTGGTGTTTAGAGAAAGACACTATGCACTTAAAAATCAAAAGGAATCAAAGATTGGTCGATTATAAAGTGTCTATTAAAATAATTGGTGGGAGATAGCTTCTTATCGAACAATCTAGATTACAGAGCTCAGCGTCCTTATATATAATTTGGAACCAACTGCTCGATTACAATTTCTCAATCAGAACAACTGCAAGCGTTTTCACACTAAAACGTTGACATTGACATTCTATCCGGGTGTGGAAAAGCGGTACCTTCATCGAGATTCAATCATCAGCGATATATAGTGCGTCATTTTATGATAACTTATATATGGTGAAAACTTTGGAGTTGATCATATATGCTCTTCATTCTCTAATTATCATTTCATTTCATATAGTTAAATTTCTGAACGAAAATGAAAGAACTTCCCTTGGTCGCTGTTTTGGCCACGGTTTTCCTGCTTCTCAGCGCTAGATCGACACAAGGTATGTACATGCATGATATCAATCTGTATATGATAGAAGGGAGAACCTAGCTGTTATAAAATTTCGGGATTGTGTATTATTTAGGAGTTTTACACCAGAGTTGGAGTTTGAATTTAGGATTATCAATCCATTTTATTTTTTGGGATACCTTATCTTTGTTTAGAGGAAATTAAATAATATTATTTCAATATAGTCATATAAGTATTCGGAGCGCATTGTCTTAACATAACAGAAAAGTTTGTTCTTCTCTAATGAAGAGACTGAAACTGCAGATCGAGATGTGTAATTACAACCTCTAGTATGTATATAAGGTATAATTACAACCTCTAGTATGTATATAAGGTCCCAGTTACACGATAGTGGGCTTGTCACGACATGAAAGCTAACGGTTACAGGAATATCTTAACACTTGAATTTGAGATGATAATAATCGATAATAATAATACCGATCACGATTAATCACGATTACATTTGACGAAGTCGAAGAGAGTTAATATGACAAAATAAAACAAAAACTGTTAAAGGGGATAATTTTGTGGTCAGACATTACTCCCGAACGGCATAATTATGTTGATGTCATAAAGGTCCGTAAAATGCGAATCCAATATCGTGTAACTGCATGGGGCCTATAATATGGTCTTACTGCAACTATAAACTATTGCATTTGCTTTATTATATTACCCATATGAAGACATGTTTTACTTTTATATTTTACAATTAATAACTCATTATAGTCTACTTTCAAACACTCCGCCTTCAACTTGACAAATTAAATCTAGCTCATATATATATATATGTATATATATGAGCTAGACGTTCGCCAGGAGTTGGAAAACACAAACTACTATAACATATTCAGTATTGGACTCTATACGTTACAAATAAATATAGGATACAGTATAGGTTGATCGGAAATGAGAACTAGAATCTTGACCATTATAATTCAAGACATTCAAGTAAGTGATGCATTCCTTATTAAGTACATAATTATACTGCAAATGCAATTCGTCGGAAATGTTTAATGTTTAAGGAACTTTATAAATTAACGCCATGTTAATTATATAAACAGCCACTTAGTCAAGAATGCCTCCTACAAAGTGTTTGGACAACCCACTTCATAGGCGTACCGGGCGGTGGGGGCGGTAGCCCCCCCCCCCAGTTTTTTGGGCAGTCGGGCAATATTCGATGAACAGTCGGGCAATTTTGGTTTGTTATAAAAAAAATGGACAAATTCTGTCAATTTTTTCGAAAATTCAGTAAATTTTATGGTAAATTTAGTGTTATTTGGAAAATTTGTCTGATGTTCGGTAAAATTTTGGTATGTCGGGAAAAATTTTTTTGACCCCTAAAATGGTATACTGACCGGAATTTTTTTGGCGACGGGGGGGGTGGGGGGAGGTCGCCAAAATGGGGAGGTCGCCAAAATAATTTTTCCGGAAAAAATTTTCGGTACTAGTCGGGCAAATTTCTGAAAAGTCGGGCAATTTTCTTTCCGCCCACCTAATTTTTTCCTTCCGGTACGCCCATGACCCACTTGATATTCTAACGAAAAAGGTCTTAACTATAAGACCTTGTTATAAGTTACCAAGAACAATATCAAAGTTTGAATAGTATCAGGCATCATAAATAACTATAGTGAGTCTACATGAAACACATCAGACAATCCTGCACGGAAAATTATTTTAAATGTTAAATGTCAGACAATGAAAACATTTTAACGTGTAAGTTAACAGTAGGCCTATATTAATATACGAGGGACAAGTTAACAAAAACGTTCATAAAGTTATAATAAAGTTAATACAGTTAACCGTTTAAATATCGTTTTAATAAAGTTGACGTTTTAATAAAGTTAACCGTTGTTTCAACCTCGTTCCCAGGCTCTTTGAAGAGCCTGGGAACGAGATTGCCGTTGTTTCACTGTAGCTATTTTATAAAAACTATTAACAAATGGTTTTTCGTGCAAGATAGCGTCATCATTCACTTGGCCATTATGGCCTCCCACCAAATATTGCTAGGAGATTACCGAGTTACTCATGATCCGAGTTATTTGTCACATACGTAAGGCAGTCATTTGAACGCCGGAAAGTCAATGCAAGCTGCCCACAACCAGTGAGCTATATGGTGACACTGTTTATGTACATCTCGCGATCTCCATCACCTTTCGAAGAATCCTGGTTGTTCCCAAAAGCGTAGTTTTCTGTAATTGCCCAGTCTTTATAGTAATATACAAATACCCTCTATTCTTTTTTCCAACTCAGTACTAATTCTTCCCAGAGTGACAACGACTATAGGAATAATTTCGACTTTTTTCATTCACCACAGTTTTTGGATCTCTCTTTTCAGAGTGCATCATACCATTGCAGTTTCCATAGGCGTACCGGGCGGGGGGGCGGGGGGGGGCGGCCGCCCCCCCAGTTTTTTGGGCAGTCGGGCAATATTCGATTAATAGTCGGGCAATTTTGGGTTGTTATAAAAAAAAATCGGACAAATTCTGTAATTTTTTTCAAAAATTTAGTCAATTTTGGGGCAAATGTATTTTTTGGGAAAATTAATGTGATTCTGCGAAAAATTTGGTACGTCCGGAAAATTTTTTTGACCCCTAAAATGGTACACTGACCGAAATTTTTTTGGCGACGGGGGGGGGGCGGTTGGGGGGGAGGTCGCCAAAAAAAAATTTTCTGGGAAAAATTTTTTGGTACTAGTCGGGCAAAATCACGAAAAGTCGGGCAATTTTACGAAAAGTCGGGCAATTTTCTTTCCGCCCCCCTAATTTTTTCCTTCCGGTACGCCCATGGCAGTTTCTCCTCCTTATCTGCGATTTTATTTTCATCAGGACATGCAATTTCTATAATGAGACATTTCCGTTGCTCTTTATAGACGAGAACGGTATCATCAGAGGCCGGCTGTATAAAAAAGTGATTAAAGTTAACTATGATTAAGTAGTAGATCCAATAAGATCCAATAAGAAACGCCTATTTGAGAGTTAATCACTATTTAACTACAAAATAGTGATTAAAAAGTGATTAAGAGTTTTATACAACCGGCCCCTGGTCTTTAATCATATTATCACATTGAATAATGAAATCCCATGATGTCATGGTCTTATCATTTTCTCTGTTCGCGACCGGTCTCAATCCCGTGCTTGCTGCAAAGTTCCCAATGTATCATTATTATTATTATTATCATTATATATAATTAAAAGGGTGATATTCGGTCTCCCGCTACTTAGGAGCGGGCCATGAGAAAAGTCTGCTTGTGTTGACATTTTTTACGGAATTTTAAAGGTATTTTCCTTTGCTTTCCCGGCCTCTTTGCGCGATTTTTTTTTTCTTCCGCCTTAACCGCCGATATGGCTCCGTAAACTCATCCGACAATTTATAATATTTGACTGCATATGACTCTTAACGTGACTTTGCAAAATGAAACAAAATTAAAGGACAAAGAGCCATCTGTTATGAGTTTCGCCCATATTCATTCTTCAAATGTTCTACATTTGTGACAACTTATATAATTGCTATTTGTTATGAGTTTCCCCCCATATTCATTCTTCAAATGTTCTACATTTGTGAGAGCTTATATAATTGGTCTTTTTGACGCATGTATGTATGTATATACTTTGTACTGATATCCCACAGACACGTTTTGGTTATTTTCTAACTGCATGATTTAGACAAATATTTAGTAAGCAGTAATAATTATGAGGACTGCATGGATTGGATTTGAAGTCCAGTACCGAATTGGAGGATTTGAAATGACATCTCATACGAATAAATCACTACTTAAAGTAAGGTGAATTAATTTTGATCCAGTCCTAGGACTGGATCAATATACTTCACCACAGTATCCAATCACTAATTTACTCATGAATTATTAATAATGTGAGATGAAAATATGGAGTTCCACGCAATGAAAGCTATAATACACACTTCTAGTCAATAAATTGTAGTCGTGATCAAAAGTTAAATTTTTGTGAACAAAAAATTTTCAGTAAAAAATGGTTAGTACATCTGAACGATATGCATCAACACTTTTTGCATGAGAGTGCCTATATATGTGTGCCAATAAGTGTTATCACTGGTGTTATAAAACCGGAATCTTTAAGTAAATCGATTATTTGGTAAGATGTGATTTTCCACGATCGTTCAGACTTTCACCACAATTGATCTGCAGGAAGAAAAAAATATGAAAAAATATGAAAGTGATTGCTGCTTGTGCGGACCACTAGTAGTTGTAACTAATCCAAGTTAGGCAAGTCTGTTGATGAATTTTCAAAAAGATTTTATTATGACAGTCGTTAGGAGTAGCGACGATCTCTAACTGAAATGTCTTAGCTTTGTTTATCTAATATAAGCTGCCAGAAAAACGACCTTGTATATAACTCTTATACTGTTATACTTTGAGTTTTATTAATTTAATAACCAATATTTAAAAAGGACTATAGGTAATCTCAGATAATCCAGTTTCCTTCCGTTGGGGAACTTGACAGGCACTTAAATTAAGATTTACAGGTTCGGAAACTGATAAGATTCGATTTCCATCCGAGTAACAAACTCGTTATCGACCACTGATGCATGGGGAATAGTATTCAATTACCCTACACTGCATGACGATATTTAAGTTAAACCATCATATGGCTCCAAGATTTCATGATCAAGATCAGTTTAATTTAGATTTTTAGATGTCACAATCATATATGCTGACTAGTCTAAGACTTAAAGACTGAAATGACTAAAAGTAAGATGCAAAGAATAATTAAAAGTTGATGAAAATACATAGCTTGGCTTACTTCACACTTCACACCTCTAATTTTCATTAGGTACACTGATGAAATTTTGTATAAAAAATAGATCCTTAAGAATTTTCGTTATTTTCGCAGTCCCGCATATTGCAATTTATGAAACGTTCCTTTATATACAATATTGATTCAAGTAATGACGACGTTGAATTTAATGTCAAGGTTAATGCGTTTGTATAGGAATTTGAAATATTTTCTTAAATAGTTCCATCTCAAAATGCTCCTCCTTGAGGCTTAAGCACGGTAATCCAAAGCTTTTTCCACACACTTATACATGTCTGACGTAAAAAAAGCCTGCCTCACATGCTAATGCACTGAATGCACCAATAGCTGAAACCTTTGGCATATAGGGAGAATATGACAGGATGAAAGCTCAAGCATGCCTGCATGGGACGACAGATGTCCCCTTTGGAACAACTATAAAACATTCATGCATGAGACCTTGTTGCGTTATAGCGTACTATAAATTCTCTATTGCTTTTCTGATTTCCTTTGGCTGTTTTCTGTCCGCATGACATCAAAATACCTTATTTCGATTCATTAACCCTTTAATTAAGCGGCAATACGCCCTTATGCGCCCCACTTTATTATTTTACTCTGTCTGACGCCAGCTCAATGGGTTAAATTGCCAATTTTGTGTATCAAACTGGCAAGAACTTACTAAGTTTAAAGTGCATATGACATGAATTTTTTTATTTTCTTAAATGAAAGAACTCTTTAAATTAAGCTGTAGTGTAACTTATTTTTCAGTTCTTGTTTTCATGGTTTGTTCCCGAGATATTTCAATTTGTTTGGTATGTAAATGAGTGTGAATATGTCCGCTAATTTATGACGTCACGTTGGTTGCAAGCTCAACTTACATTGGTTATAAATCTATTAGCTCTAAGAACTGTAGATATCAGTTTACGTTTTTCTCCAGTATTTTATCACATTTACCAGTGAGTGAAGTTAGGAATTATTATCTTGGATGATAGCCGTGATATTCAACCATTTTGAAGAGCTTGCAACCAACGTGACGTCATAAATTAACGGACATATTCACACTCATTTACATATCAAACAAATTGAAATATCTCGGGAACAAACCATGAAAACAAGAAACTGAATAATAAGTTACACTACAGCTTAAAGAGTTCTTTCAATTAATAAAATAAAAAAATTCATGTCATGCATTTTAAGAAATGCTGGGGAATTCTATGATAATGGCATGCTGGCCAATTTGGCGTTCCAGTAGGCTAAGGTATTGTAAATTTTCTGTTAGGGATTGAGTTATATGCCAATTATTATACAAAGTAAATTGACTTCAAAAATAAATGTATTTAATAAAGATTGTTTCACGATATTTTGAAAACAAAACAGGGAAGACAAACAGGAGGACATTTAAAGAAAACCTAATTTCTAGTTTCCCCACTTATTGTAGACCCAATATGCGCGGGCTTTGTTTTTCCATGTTTAATTTTGTTTCTTTAGGTAAAGAATGCCTTAGCAATCAATTTTCTTGTCGTGACAACAGTTATTGTATTCCAAATTCCTGGAAATGTGATAAAGCCGGTGACTGTCCTGATTCGTCAGATGAAGATGAATGTGGTATGTTCCTTGTTATTTTTGTGTACTCCATCAATTTAGATTAGTTAAAAATTTTCTTTCCATGGCTTAATTTATATGCTATATGCGCATATTAAGGTGCATACTGTACATTTAGAAACGGCAGTAATAGAATGGGTCAGTGACGCCGCAATGAGTAAAAATATATAGGTAACCTAGCATCTTTCCTAATGATGAATGACTAAAACGTAGTCGAGAGGTAGAATATTCATATTAAAAAATGTTCCTTTTCGGAGTTGCCGTTGTTTTGTATTTTGTAAAAATACTCCGTAGTTCCCTAATGACTTTTTGTAGTTGAGCAATATTGACCATTGAGCATTATTGAACAATCTTGCTATATTGACATTACTCAGTCCAACGCCAGACGATGTTACTCGTCAATGAGGAAATTTTAACAAATCTCTGTGTTCATGTTTGTTTGGTTAATAGCAATGTTTGAGTTTTAATAGATTTTACTGTTTATTCCACTTTGCCCAAAGGCCTTGTATCTATGTGTGTCTGTTTCAGCATGGACACGAAACATGAGGAAGCATGGAAACGAGGCATTAGGGCAAGAAACAGTACAGTCTATTCAGTGGCGGAAATTCACTTTTTCCAGTGGGGAGGGGGGCAAAGCCTCCTAAATTTCCGACAAAACTTTCAAATTTCCGACGTACCCCCCCTTTGCACTCGAAAAGACTGTTTTTAGCCCTCTTTTAGGTCAAAATTTCCGAAAATTCGTCAATTTTCCGTGAAGGTGGGGGGACGGAAGCCCCCCACCCCCACCCGACCAAGATTTCCGCCACTGAGTCTATTCATATATTTGATTATCAATTGAAAAGTGCGGATCAAACAAGATTCAAGTCGTCGCTAGTTTAACTTCTTATACTTCTGGAACACAAAAGGATGGCGAATGAATGGTGTAGACTACTCAAAGTGTGAAAATAGTCAATTTGTTTAAATTTAAAAAACTTTCAAGGGAAGATGTTTCTTTGTACTCAGTTACAAACAAATCACCCCTTTTTTTGATTTTCAAAGACACTTTGTGTGTTTGACATTTAATATGTTTATCAAATTATTCATTCCATCTTTTCCATCTTTTTTCTATTGAAAGTTGCGATGATTTCCACTCTCGTTTTACCCGGGTTAAAATTATTACATCTTTAATATATTATATAGCCACTCAAGGTTGTGGTTCGTCCTCGTTATTCAGCTGTACAAATAGAAAATGTATTTTATCTTCCTGGACTTGTGATGGACAGAATGATTGTGGAGATAATTCGGATGAACGAAGTGAAATATGTAAGTTTCTTTTTCAAAAAAATTGTCTATACTGAGTTGTATTTTATAATGAGTTGTAAGTTCTCGTGTCCTATCACGTGTGCATTGTTTCCCTTGACAAAGGTAGTGTATATTCAGTCGAATTATGCAGACAAATCGTTTTTATTATTATTATTATCGACTCTTGTCTTTGTTCTGACAATTACTGAAGTTCCACTGAGATCCTCTGATTAGTGTTGAACTGCCCTTACTCAATAAAGTTAATTTAGTTTAAAAATTCCTAACCGTGTAATTTTAGGTCCTGACAAGCAAACCTGTGCGGAATTCACGTGTGATAATGGCAAATGTCTATCTTCATCTTGGGTGTGTGACAAAATTGATGACTGTGGAGATAGTTCTGACGAACACAATTGCGGTACGTAGATGTGGAGCCAGTGCAAGCAGGGCCGTTGCTAGGACTTTGCCTTTGGGGGGATGTGAGGTTATATAGATTTACCTGACGTCTTTACCTGAATTTTTTGAAAATTTGAAGTCTCTAGACCGTCGGAAATGGCATTTTTAGAGTCAATATTTCAATATTTTAGTATTGCCTAACAATGAAGATAAGTATTATTACTTAGTACAGTTTAATGTGACTATGAAAATTGAGAAAAGTTTCGAAATTTGGAGTCTCTAGATCGTCAGAAAGGGTATCTGGCAATTGTCCCCCCTGCCATGATGCCTCCGGTCAACGTCTTTAGTTGGTCGATTGTTAATTCTGATTCAGAGCATGGAGTTCACTTTTTTATGCCCTGAGAATTACCTGAATTTACCTGAAAATCTACTGGAAATCTACCTGAAATAGCTCGTGAGCAATTATCAGGGGGGTGTTGCACACACACCCACACTCCCCCCGGTCGCTACGACCCTGAGTGCAAGCTTGAATATTCGTTGTAGTTCTAGACTTCGGAATATTGAGTAATAATGAATAAGTACTATTTTCAACATGAGCGGTTTTGTTGCGTCCGATACAAATGCACGGGCTTGGGAAACGTCTTGATGAGAACCGCTGCATTCGTATTTTTCAACAATTTAAAGTAAACGAATGATATTTGGTGAGAAAATTAAAGTTTATGTAAATCATGATGGTGGTGTATCAGATAAACAAACTCCTCCACCGTCATGATTTCTTTTGTGGTTTCTTCATGAATTATTAATGAGTTTAACAAATTTTCTTACTTGCTATTAATATTATAATTAGTATTTTTGCACAAGTGAACATAACAAATCCTACACGTTGATTGGTCAAATTTGACGTATTAAGCTGTTATATTCACCTATAGGTGAATATAACAAAACCGAAATTTTCAAAATGGCGGCTAGCCGTTTTGGGGAAGTATTTACTGATGAAGAAATAAGCGAAATTAAAATAAATTCAGTCCCAAAAACACAAAAGACTTGTGTAAATTAAATATTCAGGCTCGGTGATTATCGGGGAATATTCACCTCAACTTCGTCTCGGCGAATATTTATCACTTATTTTTCACCCTGCTCGGTTTCCTTTGTTCTTATCGGGGAATATATTCAATATTCCCCTCTAATCAATTTCCGTTTAATAATCCCTCTAATATTCACCTGCAATTAATAATCTCCTCTATTAGAGGGAGAATATTAAATATTCACCTGCAATGTCTCTGCAGCACAAAAAATGAGAAAAAAACAACATAACGAAGGCAATATGGCATTAAGAATTATTTCTATTCTGACTCATTAACGCGACCTCGCAGTGTGAAAAATAAGTACGTTATTTTGAGGCACCTCGGGGATATGTGTTTATTCACCTCGGCGCTACGCGCCTCGGTGAATAAATCACATATCCCCTTGTTGCCTCAAAATAACCTATACTTATTTACTGAGACCGAGGGAAACTGTGTGTTTTGTGGGTCGAGGGTCCACAAAACACACTGCTTTCCCGAGGTCTCGGTAAATAAGTGTTTTATTATATATCAATAGTCAAAGAAACAACAAATTAAAGAACAAATGAACGTCAATAACAGTGCTTCCATTTTCAAAATCAAAATTTCTCATTTTTGTCATCAAAATTTCTCTAAATTCCTTAGATTGTATACGTTATTTCCTTGAAAATTCCTTGAAATTTCATTAGGCGGTTTGCAGACCTTTGCAGTGCTTTTGTAGCAATACAAAGGATTTAATCAATTTTAAAGGCACAAAATAGCACAATTAACAAAGATAATTGCTAGCTAAAAAACCACAGGCTATTATACTGTTTAAAATTAAATATTTGTTCAGTGAGTTTACAACATATACCTTTCCATTGATATAAATAATTAATTCACAGCGTTTGGCGCCAAAAGATACCAAATCCTGTCGCTCAAAAACTTTCGGAAGTTTTCGGAAACACGAGGAAAAAGTTAAAACCAGATTTTTAATTGAACATAATTGATAATTCACTCACAAATTCAAGAAATAGCGAAACATTCTTCTGCACTAATGCACTTGGATGAATATTTAAGTTGTTGGGAAAAAATCCTTAGATTTCCTTAGATTTTTTCTCTTCCTTAGATTTTCCTTTTCGACACTAGAATTTCCTTAGAAAAGGAAATTTCCTTGAAAATGGAAGCACTGGTCAATAAATGAAATACTTTATTGTTAAGTAACTTAAAGCGAAAGTTTAAATTTCTAGGCATGTCCAAAGGTCGCATCTTCACGTGATGACGCACGTGATTTTTTTTCGTTATTCGCCGGTCGATAACGTATTGTTTCCCTCTCGCGCTGTTGCGAGGGAGACAGTCTAATTTCGTCACTCTCACGTGATATGCTCTCGACCAATAAAACACTAGAAAAATGCGACTTTGACTATTGGTATATAATAATCCCCTATATAATCACCTCGCCTTCGGCGAATAATTGTTAAATATTCTTAGAACTAAATGGTCCTTTGCATAACACTTAGCATAACAATATAAGCATCAAATCGCGTTCCAGTGATCGGGATTTTCCATTGTCTTTTCATTGTTTTGGAAATCCCATTGTTCTTCATGCTATCCAGGACATCCAGTTACTCTTGTTTTGACTTATATTAGCTTTTATACAAAGGCTACGGTGTCAGGATATATAACTACCTGAAAATATATAAGCAAGTTAGTATAGGCTACTAACTTCCCGACGAAGGGCTCGAAATGTCAAAGGTTTGCTCATATTTATCTACCCACTTATCAATCTATCGAACTTACGGTAAAATTCGAAAAACCAAAGTGCAACAAAATAAGTTATACATCCATGAATACCGTGGCATGGTACATTTCTTTAAAGCAATTCATGACCTTATTAGCTCGTCCTTTGCCTTGCGTACGAAAATAATACAAAAAAGTACAGCACAAAGATTGTTTTGGATGAGAGCTATCAGGACGTGGAATACTTTGACAGACACAATAGACTTAAGTACGGAGAACTTGCCGTCTCTATCTACACTAGCACCGACCGTTCGAGATTTATGCAAAGGGCATATCATTCATAACCGCCAGATATCTGTACATAACCAAGTGCTTTGTTTCTTAGATGAAACTGCTACAGTTGCTACTACTGTTCCTTCCACTGCTGCTCCTACCAGTGCAAGGCGAACAACACAAGAAAAAACTACAGCGAATGCTTCTAGATGTGGGGCTAGTGAATTTGAATGTCGTGGTAAAAGTAGCTGTATACCAACAGGATGGAAATGTGACGGAGTTGCTGATTGTGAGGATGGAACGGATGAAGAAGATTGCGGTAAGAGTTGTGTATATATAAATTTAGGGGGAAGGAGAGACCGGTCCTCTTTAATAACAATTTGGGGGAGTGTGGGCTCTCTTCATATCAGGAACTGATGAAAAATACTTTGGAAGGAATTGTTAGAAATGTATGTGGGAGAGGATATTGGGAAGTTCTCTTCCAAAGAATGTGGGGGGGGGGGGCAGATCTGATACTCTTTAAAGCAGGAAAGGATGAAGACGACTGTGGTAAGGATTGTGTATACACCACATGCAAGGAGGGATGTGGAGGAGTAGAGGGGGAAAGCGTTGCCTTGTAAAGTGCCATGGTAATTTGGAAAGAGGGTGGGCTCTCTTGATATCAGGAACTGATGAAGAAGTTTGTGGCAAGAATTCTTGATACAGAGATGTTGGGAGGGTGAAAAGACGGGGGTCTTCTTGTGAACGTTTCATGACAATTTTTGGGGAAGGTGAGCCCTACTCATGTTAGGAACTGAAAAAGAAGACTTTAATAAGAATGGTTACCTGTACTCTAGGGATCAGGGATGTGGGGGAAGACATCCCCTTGCTGACGTGTCATGGAGCCTTTTCCCACTTTTCACCGTCCATTGTTACTTAGGGTAACAAGACAACATCCATTCCCTTCATGTATAGTTCCTTGTAAACAGTCACCGATACATGGGCGGATTTACTGGGGGGTTGGGTGCTAAACTCCAGTAGAATCTCTCAACCCCACCAAAATTCCGCTTCACCCCTCCTATTTTGTGTGAAAGTCTTTAATCCTAACCCCTGCCGAAGCTCGCTCAGTGGTGCCGTTTGCACCCCGCTAAAAATTGTTCCACCCCTCTTTTAAAAAAATTAAAATCCGCCCATGCACCGATAGAATTAAGTTCCTGTCCTAGACAGAAATGTGCCAACTTTTAAATCTTTTATATTAGTTTTTGTGGAGATGTTTGTATGAAATGGATCCTAAAGAACAATGCTTTTCATATTGCAGGTTTTACTAGCACTAAACGACCAGTCCCTGTTACATCTGGATGCTCAACGACGGAATTTTATTGCGATAATAAATGTATTCCAGGAGTATGGAAATGTGATAACTTTGACGACTGTAATGACAAAACAGATGAACAATTCTGTGGTAAGATTATTCTCAGTCATAGAAATGCGCATAAATATAGATAAAGCGTTTTAGAAAATACTTGTAAAAAACTGCCTTTATATCACCGACATTTCTATTAAAGAAATTCGCTTTCAATAATAATTAATCAAGAACGTTTTCATCGAGGTAGCGATCCAAATGTTTTCGTAATCGTATTAAAGATTAGTTGATCTACTTTATATATATTGTTGGGAATATCGCAGCATGGTTGACTGGCTATTGTATTTGTTATTGTATTTGTAATTTGTATTGTGTAATTGTATTGTGTTTGTAAATGTATTGTTCTGTACTGTGTAGGCGTAATGCAAATCAGGCTCTATATAAGCCCGAGTCTAATAAACAAGTGTAGATATTTTGTGATGTGATATTTTGGAAGAATTATATGTGTTTTTGAGACGACTGTTTTTCGATTGATCGATAGAATATCGCGGCGGAACGCGACATTTGGCGACCCCGCCAGGACTCAGTTGAGTTATATTTTACTTGGCTGAAAGATGCCCTTGACTCGAGCACAAGCTGCTCAGGAAGAAACAAACGGCAATGCAGAAGAACAACAGCATAAAGAACCGGAGCTCGAACAAGTTCGCTCGCCGTTCGAAACAGAGTTGTTGACTACAGTACAAGAACAGCGAGACCTTTTAAAAGAATATAAAGACCAACAGGATGGCAGAGTTTTCGAAGTGGTCAACATTCTAAACGATGCAATACAAAACCTATCAAACGAATTTGCTCGTGTTTGCGATAAGAACAGACAACTGGAGACTGTTGTTTTTCAATTACGCGATCGTGTGGAATCACTCGAATCTGAAGTCAAATCAAGCCAAGAGATTTTGGAGAAAACTAATGCTGGAGTTTTCGCTTCCTTGCATCGAATGATTAAAAGCGAGCTTCGAGAAGAGTTTGAATCGGTTTTGTCGGCGCGTGTAAAGACGGAAGAGACAACAAATAAAGGCTTAACAAACGTGTTAAGCGGGGCGGGACGAAGTCAGCTCGGTAAAGAAAAACAACCAGCAGAGTGCAACGTTACAACGGCTCGTGGGACAGATTATTCTGCTGGTCGCCCGGTTCAAAAACCTGCAGTATTTGACGGACGTAGTTCGTGGGAGGCATACGCGACACAGTTTGAAATTGTGGCGGAGATTAACCAGTGGGACGGTCCAGATAAAGCCGCCTTTCTGGCAACAAGTCTTAGAGGTCCAGCGCTCACGGTCTTATCAAATTTGCCGTCGGAAAGTCGTGTTCATTACCCATCATTACTGGCTGCGTTAGAAAGCCGTTTTGGAAATAAGAGGCAGTCTGAGCTGCATAGAATGAAGCTACGAAATCGTGTCAGACGTCGAGATGAAACTTTACCGGAGTTGGCAGAAGACATCGAAAGACTTGCCCGTCTTGCGTACCCTGAAGCCCCTACTGAAGTTTTAGAAACTTTAACGAAAGATCAGTTCATCGATGCTTTGAACGATGATGAAATGCGTTTAAGAGTCGCTCAAGCTAGACCTACAACTCTTAGAGCCGCGCTCGGAATCGCTTTGGAAATTGAATCGTTCAGCTTGGCCGCACGAAGAAGATTTAGGCCAGTGAGAACAGTGCATGAAACTCCAACTAAAACGAACGCGGAATGTTTTGTGGACCCCCAAGAGGAAACGTTGAAAAGGAATAGCGAGTTTTTAACGGAGTTGAAGAAAATGACGTCGGAGCTTCGTGAAGTAGTTAGAAGCGTGAATCGAAGAGGAAGAAATCAAGATGGATCACCGCCGAGAGGAAAAAGAAAGTGTTGGACATGTGGTTCGGAAGATCATCTCCAACGGGATTGTCGGTTGTACAACGCCGAGAAGAAGCGTACTGAGTCGGAAAACGAGCAAGAGTCGGGTCAAAGGGGTGGGGCCCGACGGTAAGAGAAGACACCCCACGGAATCAGTCGAAGGGACAGAGGCTTGTACAAAGAAAAGATGGTCTTTGTGTGGAAGGGAAGCTCGAAGGCAAAGTGATGCAGATGATTGTAGACACTGGAAGTAACATCTCAATTGTTACCCCGCAACTGTTACGGAACCTTGCGAAAGATTTGTCGTGTGTACAACCTGTTCCAAACTGTTTAAAATCTGTAACTGGGGAAAAATTGAATCTGTTGGGGACCATTACCCTTAAATTTGCAATTGGCAACCGAGAACTTTTACAGTCGTTTTACGTGGCAGACATCAGTGAATCGTGTATTTTGGGTTTGGACTTTCTGCAGCAACAACGGTGTCAACTCAACATTAAGGATGGAATATTATCGATGGGAAATGTTCAAGTTCCTCTTTTGCATCCTTTGACGGACGATTTGAACCTGCTTTGTTATCGTGTGATAGCTCTTGAAGATATCAATATTCAACCACATACCGAGGTTGTCATTCCTGCGAAAGTGGTTGATTACACTGGCAAGAATGGGTGGGGAATTATTGAACCCACTGACGAGGAATCCATTCCTGGAGTCTTCATTGGTAAAGTTTTGACGAAATTAACAAACGAAACCACAGTAGTTCCAATACGAATGGTTAACGTGACGGAGGAAAAGCGTAAAGTTTTAGCTGGAACTGACCTGGCAAAATGTGAGACAGTGAGCTTCGTTGTTTGTCCTGACTTTGAGAATTGTTTCGAAGAATCCACAACCCGAAACGAAATACCGAAACATCTAGCGGAACTTTACGAGAGTAGTACAAAAGATTTGGTTGATGAGGACCAGAGAAATAAAGTGTTTGACCTGTTGTGCGAAAATGCTACTGTGTTCTCCAGCAACTCTTCAGATATAGGAAGAACTGATATCGTGAAACATCAGATAATAACTGGTTCAGCAAAGCCAATTAAGCAGCCTCCAAGACGGTTACCCCTTGCGAAAAGAGACGTGGCTTGCCAGGCGGTAGACAAGATGCTGAAAGACGGGGTTATTGAACCTTCAACGAGCCCTTGGTCCTCACCTGTTGTACTGGTCGCGAAAAAGAATGGTAACCTCAGGTTCTGTGTAGACTATCGGAAGTTGAACGATGCGACAATTAAAGATTCCTACCCCCTGCCCAGGATTGATGACACCCTCGATGCGTTAGGTGGCTCACAGTGGTTTTCCACGTTGGATCTAAAGTCTGGTTATTGGCAAGTTGCTATGGATCCCGCAGACAAAGAAAAGACGGCATTCAGCATTGGCGGGGGTTTATGGCATTTTCGGGTAATGCCATTTGGTTTGTGCAACGCTCCCGCCACTTTCGAGCGATTGATGGATCATGTACTTGCCGGATTACCCTGGAACATTTGTCTTGTATATCTTGATGATATAATCGTTCATGGCAGAACCTTCTCTGAGCAGCTGGAAAATCTACGGAAAGTGTTCGCGTGTTTGAGGAAAGCTAATCTGAAACTTTCTCCGGAGAAATGTAATCTGTTTCGCCGTGAAGTTAAATACTTGGGACATATCATCAGTTGTAAGGGCGTGGCAACAGATCCCGCGAAGATCAATAGTGTTAAGGACTGGCCTCGTCCAACGTGCCTGGCTGAAATGAGAAGTTTCTTGGGATTGTGTTCCTACTACCGAAAGTTTATTCGAAATTTCGCTGAGATTGCGAATCCGCTCACTCGCCTAACACAAAAGGATGTACAGTTCGTATGGGACTCTGAAGCCGAGAACGCGTTCCAACAGTTGAAATGTTTGTTGACAAATACCCCTGTCTTATCCTTTTTAAGTGACGAAGGAACATTGATATTGGATACAGATGCAAGCGGTGTCGCAATTGGGGCTGTTCTGTCACAAAAACAGGGCAACGAAGAAAAAGTCATCGCATATTTCAGTCGTGCACTTGATCGAACGCAACGCCAGTATTGTACAACAAGACGAGAATTGTTAGCTGTGGTAAAATCTTTGGCTCATTTCCATCCTTATCTTTATGGAAGAAAGTTTGCTGTACGGACAGATCATTCTTCTCTTCGGTGGTTGGTGAATTTTAAGTACGCCGAGGGTCAGCTCGCACGCTGGTTGCAAAAGATTCAACAGTATGATCTAAAGATTGAACATCGAGCCGGAAAATGTCATCTCAATGCCGACGCATTGTCGCGACGACCATGTCTTGGGGAACATTGCAAAAGTTGTGATAGAGCTGAAACAAAAGAGCGTACAGCAAGCGAAGGTCAATGTGAAAATGAGAACCATAGATTGACTTTGATAGCCAATCGTGTTAGAAGGCAATCGCCTGCTCAGGATACAGATGTTGATGATTTGGGACACGAAAATTTTATTGAAAATGTGGGCCCGCAAGACATAGTAAAAGCTCAAGAAATGGATTCAGACATAGGACATGTAATTAAGTGGATGAAAAGTGGTAATGAAAGACCACAGTGGTCCCAAGTGTCAGCTCTTAGCGAAGTGACGAAGAATTGCTGGGCACAATGGGACAGTTTGTGTTTACGAAATGATATTTTGTGTCGAAAGTGGGAATCATCGGACGGTACGACAACACGATTTCAGCTCGTGTTACCGAAAGCTTTACGAGAGGAAGTTTTAATGCATCTTCACAATCACCCGACCGGAGGACATTTTGGAGTAAAAAAAACGCTGGAAAGAGTAAAGGAGAGATTCTACTGGCCTCGTTGTCGCGAAGATGTAACACTATGGTGTTCTACTTGTTCGGAATGTTCTTCACGTAAAGGTCCAGTGACACGACAGAAAGCTCGTCTAGGAAAGTATGTCGTTGGCGCGCCATTGGAGAGGGTTGCAATCGATGTAATGGGTCCTCTGGTTCGATCTACGAAAGGTAATCGCTACTTACTAGTGGTCATGGATTATTTTTCGAAGTGGCCGGAAGCATATGCTTTGCCAAATCAAGAGGCAAAAACAGTTGCTACGGTTATAGTAAATGAGTTTGTATGCCGATTTGGAGTTCCACTCGAACTGCACTCTGATCAGGGAACGAATTTTGAGTCAGCCGTGTTTCAGGAAATGTGTTCGTTACTTGGTATTAAGAAAACTCGAACTACACCTCTCCATCCGGAATCAGACGGAATGGTTGAGCGTTACAATAGAACATTAAAGACTCAGCTTTCCTTGTTTGTTGCCGAACATCAAAAAGACTGGGATAAGTATGTACCACTACTTCTCATGGCGTATCGAACGGCAACTCATGCTTCTACGCATTTTACCCCCGCGCGACTAATGATGGGACGAGAAATTAGAACCCCAATTGATTTAGTTTATGAACGACCCGATCCGGAAGTTGTTGAGAGTTACTCTACCTACGTTCGAGAACTGCAAGAAAATTTGCAAGTGACACATGACTTCGCTCGAAAGTATATTGAACAAAGCTTTGAGTCGATGAGAAAACGTTATGACGTGGACAGTTCGGCATGTATATTTAACGAAGGTGATCAAGTTTGGTTGTATAATCCCCGCAAGAAGAAAGGAAGAAGCGTAAAGTTAATGCGACCTTGGGAAGGACCGTACGTGGTCATTAAACGGTTGAACGATCTTGTTTATAGAATTCAGCGAGGCAGGAATGGAAAACTAAAGGTGATTCATCGGAATCGTTTGTGGGCGTATCGCGGTGATCAGTCAGAACTTTGGAATTCGGAGGCGGACAGTTAGACTTAGAAAGTGCATGCACCATCATTGGGACAATTCGATGGTTTAGTTGGGGGCGATGTTGGGAATATGGCAGCATGGTTGACTGGCTATTGTATTTGTAATTTGTATTGTGTAATTGTATTGTGTTTGTAAATGTATTGTTCTGTACTGTGTAGGCGTAATGCAAATCAGGCTCTATATAAGCCCGAGTCTAATAAACAAGTGGAGATATATTTTGTGATGTGATATTTTGGAAGAATTATATGTGTTTTTGAGACGACTGTTTTTCGATTGATCGATAGAATATCGCGGCGGAACGCGACAGAGTCAACATGAAGTCCTGCCCAGGGGAAACATGAACTATTTGTATTTGTATTTAAAATTTATTTAGACGCGGTAATCATTCAGCAATTACAGCTGATTTTCAATGGGCCGTGCAATTACAATAAAATATAAAATTTACAAAGAATGTGAAGCCTACTTACCAGTCAGCTTCAGGCTACAATTTTTACAAACTATATAACTAAATATTAATAAGCACTAATGTAAATACTTTGTAGCCTATTCACAATTATTACATGCATACAGTTTTGTATGAACTAACAGCCCTCGTCGAACGCTTTACCAAAAGCTAATATATTTTATTTGTATTAAGTTACTCTTTGTTTTTGCCAAATGTGTAGGACTTTTGCTTAAAATAGCAATATATATGCATGCCGAGTAACTATTTTTTGAATGAAAATTATTTAGCCAATGGGGGTATCAAGTTCACTTGGCCTGGTTCTCGGCATTTGAGGTTAAGGAGTTTCGGACAGGCCGCCATGTTATGAATTTATTTTAACCAACCCTTGTGTCTTACCTAACCCACCCCCCTCCCTCAGGTTTAGCATTACCACTTCATCACCAGTAAATAGGGTTGGGCAATATTTTGATATTATCAATGTTACGCGATGATTGTACTCAAGATTATCATATTGAAAGTAAAAGCTGAGTCGTGATGGAGTTATCATCATGGCCAATAACTATTGCGATATTGCCGCATAGATGCATATAGCTGTAAGCTGTACAAAGCTTAATGATATAAACTCCTAAAAAAACTTCGTTAATCCATCCCTGAATTGGAAACCAAAATTCCATATGGGATGTAGGTAACAATTGCAAGTGACATTAAGGTACGTTTACACGCTGCGATTTGTCGGGCCGATTTTGCTCGCTGTATGTAAATAACCTGTCGTGAGTAATCGCGTCAGCGCCTTGCGATTCACAAAATCGGGAGAAAAATCTGTAGCAAAGCACAGATTTTTCTCACGATTCAACGATTTTTCTTCCGTTGGAAAGTTGTTGAAAACTTTTCGCACGCAGAAAACTATAATATGAACAGACGAGAGAGCGGACAGCTTCAATTGAACGTTTAAATCGTTAAATGTCGAAGAAGGGGCAACGATTATTTGGCAAAATCGGCCCGACAAATCGCAGCGTGTAAACGTAGCTTTAATAGTTGAAACAACCTATTTTTCCTCATGCATATAACTTGATGTGGTACGAGTGGCTGGTCATAAAACAGGGCCTGACCAACAACTGAGGTAGGATGTATCATCACTATAGACCCCAGACAGGCTCAAGGAGCCAAGCATGTCAGTTTTTTTTGAAAACAAAGTTGCCTATGAGGTCACAATCTGTAATTTAATAAATATTCATTTCATCTTGTTTCATTTCATTCATTCATTTTCTTTAATAGCCTGCAAGAAAAGAACTTCTTAGGGACCGGTCATTAATAATGGGAGGTGGGCGGCAGGCCTTAAAATATCTTTTACAGGGACGTCTGACAAAATGTCCGATGACGTTGAGTTTGGGTTGGACATATGTCCGATGACCTTCAGTTCAGTTTTGACTCGGAAATAAGTTTGAATGACACAAATGAATATCAGCACAATGTATTAATTCTGAACGGTAAATGCTGTGAAGATATTACATAATTTGTTTCTTTCATACTTATTCCCAAGCCAAAATTAACTTGCTTGCCAAAACAGCAGTATTAATAAAAACTTCGACAACTTTGATTTACGTTGGACAAAGCTTACAGTTCGGTCGGACACAAATACACTCAGGTCGGACAAACAATAAACCTCATTAAAATTTCCCTTTCCTTTCCTTTCTTTCCCTTTCCTTTCTACGTCGGATAATTTCACGAATGGGTCGGACAATGTCCGTGACCGACCGATATTTTAAGGCGGTGAGTGACAAATAACAAATATTGAACATTTTATAGGGCCGCCCAAATCGCAAGACCTTTATTTTCAAGATGCCGCCACCTTCATCTAGAACATTTAAGACTTCCCCCCTCCAGCATTTAATTTGTTACATTTTGTGGTGTAAAATAGGTAATGGGACCAGCACTGGTGTAAGAAAATAGTTATAATTTACACCGACTCCTATGTTGAATTGGATATACGTCATAAATTATGGAAACTACGATTATATGAACTAAAAAAGGTGAAATATTTTGTGGGATACGACAAAGGCTAGACTTGGTTTAAGTCCGTCTCAGGAGAAAAGTAGGGAGAGACGGACTTGGGACATTCGCAGCATTTCGAATGTTACTTGCAAAAATTGGCGCGAAAATCTGTTGTTGTTCTCAACTGGCAAGCCACGCCTCCGTAGGAAAAATCCGACGGTAAAATTTGGCGCGCTTGCAGGGTATCCAAGTCCGTCTCTTCCCTACTTTTCTCTCATATTTTCGCGCCTTTTTTGACCGTTTGCGTGCATCGCTATTTTCAACCCCTTGAGAGACGGACTTGAACCAAGTCTAGATAAAGACGAGAGATTGAAAATGAGTAGGAAAGTATTAAAAAATTGGGGGTGCCCTTTTGTCACATATTTTTCAGTTTGAGCCTTGAGGCCGCACCCAGTTCAAGCAAAAATAGTTGAAGCCGCCCCACCCCCCCACCCCCCCTTCTCACCCACCGCCTCCCTCCCATTATTAATGACTGGTCCCTTAGAAAATCTGGTATATCCCTAAAATGTCTTACAATGTATATACACAAAACCGTCAGAAGTAATTTTTTTTTCCCACACGTTGGTCAAATTTAGCGAAATTTCTCCCACTCGTGCGGGCTCGTATTGTCAGCGGACATCTTACAGAATGTGGCCAATTCTTTGAAAAATGCAAAAGTTTCAATTTTTCACCGCAAGTCTGCTGAAAATGCTAGCCTGCGGTACTGGGAGAAAATTTGCTGAATATGACCAGCGTGACACTTTTCTAGTTCTTTTGTGTGTGTTTGCTTATACAAATGGAATATTGGGGAAGCCCCTCCGCCCCCCGCTTCCAATAGCCTTGATACATGATCTAATTTGTACATGGCCAGGACCCTCCCACCTATGTTTTTCCACAATGAAATTAATAACAGTATGCTGAAAGAGGTTCAAACATGGGAGATTTTTCTGCAAAAGCTGGGTTTGCCTGATAATGGAGATATCACTATGTATAGCAGGCCTTTTTAAGGTACTGTCACTGTTTGAACCTGATACTGAGTAAGTGCACAAGGGTTTGTTTTGAAAAATGCATCGATGAAATCAGCTCAGTATTCAGTATGGTGTTAAGCCTCAAACACTGAAAGCAATAGACTCGGCAATAGGCCCTTCCTGCAAGGGGTGCAAACACAATGGAATTCCCTATAGGTAAATTTGCAAGGGATGCAATTATGCAAACACAATGGTGAAAACAATATATTAACTTGGTGCAAATGGTGCAAAGGCTATAAAATGATTAATAGAAATTATTTTAACAATACATTACCTCAGATCCGACAGGGATTATTTTGATTGGCGTATGTCTTTAGTTTGCCAGAGTGCAAAAGAAACATTCTGTATATTTTGGCAACTTGGCCACATATGGAAATAACGTTTCCTTCTTCAGAAAACGTCGAACCAAAAACCACTTATCAGTATTTACAACAGTCAATATTCGAAGTTATTAATTTAAATAATTTTAAAATGATATTTTAAATATGCACATATATTAAATTGCGACAATTGATACATTTTTGAGCGTAAAATATGTAAAATGCATGTAAATGAACATACCTTCGTACTCTTCTTCAATAAACAGGAAATATACTTTAACGTTTCCTCGCCATACATACGCTTCATGGTCGAACAAGAATCTGATATATCTTGGTCTGTCATCTGTCTTTCTTAGGAGCCATACGAAAATGCTGTGCTAATACGTGGCTAATCCAGTACTTTCAAAAAAAAACTTATGTTGGAGCACTTGGGTATGGCGTACAATTTCCGCCAAAATTCAAGATCGCATTTTCAACACACAAGTTCGCATTTTCAACACGCAAGTTCGCATTTTCAAGACGCAAGTTCGCATTTTCAACACACAAGTTGGTATTTTGAACACACTAGTTTGTATTTTGAACACACAAGTTTGTATTTTGAACACGCAAGTTTGTATTTTGAACACACAAGTTTGTATTTGCATCATTAACCATTGATATTTTTGACATTAAAGTGTTAATTTCAACATCAAAGTAATTTTGGTCAATTAACGTGCAATTAATCAATCAGGAGGGTTGAGGAGAAATATTTTAACGAGAGGTGCGGTTACGAAGTTGGAAAAATTCAAATTCTAACGGTTTGGTTCCAGGGCAGATCGACTCACGAGTTCGGAGAAAGTACTTTAGTTTACATAAAGTTCTTTTAATTCTTCAAGGAAAAGCGAGGGAAAGGATTTACCAGTTGGGAAGATTGAATAAACATAAATATGTATAGCCGCGGCTTTAGAAGCGTTTGGCAATATTTTATCGGCGAGTTTTGTTGAAAATAATGTCTTGCCCAAGTTCGCCCGGCGTTACAGCTACCTAGCTTCGCGTTATATTATTGATAGTGGGTAATATTAGATGACATACAATATAGGCTGGATTCAACGAAATAGCCTGAAAATCGGCGAGAGGGAAGTAAATGACACAGTAAACAAGTAAGTCCACCAATATTTTGAATCAGTGCGTATTCAGGCATTATTTTTTTACAATATTTTGCAATATATAAAAATAAATAAATAAATACCAACACAGAGCCTGGGCCCCTTGTGTACAAACCTGTGTGTTCAAAATACTAACTTGTGTAGTTACATACAATTACTTCATGGTTTCCGTGTTTGGATGGCCTGATCCAAACACGCGGGAATGTTGCGAGAGTTAAGAAAAGCGCGATCCAAACACGGGTTTCGACCAATCAGAGCACGCGTTATATACATGTTATTTTATAATGTGTGTTGAAAATGCAAACATGCGTGTTGAAAATGCAAACTTGTGTGTTGACAATGCAAACTTGAATTTTGGCGGATATTGTACGCCCCGTTTCTGCCAAAATTACTTTAATGTTGAAATTAACACTTTAATGTCAAAAATATAAATCGTTGATGCAAATACAAACTTGTGTGTTCAAAGTACAAACTTGTGTGTTCAAAATATACAAACTTATAAAGTTTGTTCGTTCACTGCAACCAGGTATATCAATCATGCTTCGCTCGCTACTCTGGTTTAAATAAATGATTACAAAGCCCAGTCGAATTGTAATCAAGACCCAACGTTTCGACACTCCAGTCTAGTGTCTTCATCAGGGGTGATCTAAAACTGCGATCGTGGCTTCTTAAATACCCAAGGGATGACGTCACCTGCCAAGAAGATGCATATATTCCTCTGGCAAATAGGCGCCGTCATCCCTATTCAAAGCATGATGACTCATATTTATATGCCACGCTTCTAGGCAAAGTCTTTGACCATAGCGATTGTTTGTGGTAATTACTTTAGAGTTTTCCCACGCAATCTCGTGTTTAGTGTAACATACATGTTCGGCTAAAGCTGATTTTCCCTTGTCTAAAGTTGAAACAGCCTTTTGATGTTCTTTTAGCCGTGTACCAAACTGGCGTTTAGACTGACCCAAATACTCTTTATCGCAGTCACCGCATGGTATAGAATATATAGCATGAGTCTTCCGATTTTTTTCAACAGGATCTTTTGGCTTTGCGAAAATATGGCCTAAGGTCAAATAGGGTTTTAAGGCAACCTTAATATTACAATTACTTAAGATTCTCTTGATTGGTTCTGTGACACCTTGAATGTATGGAACTATTGCAAAACCCTTAACAGAGGTATCACCCTCGGAGTTATTTTGCCAGAAGAATATATGCATCTTCTTGGCAGGTGACGTCATCCCTTGGGTATTTAAGAAGCCACGATCGCAGTTTTAGATCACCCCTGATGAAGACACTAGACTGGAGTGTCGAAACGTTGGGTCTTGATTACAATTCGACTGGGCTTTGTAATCATTTATTTAAACCAGAGTAGCGAGCGAAGCATGATATACAAACTTGTGTGTTCAAAATACAAACTTGTGTGTTCAAAATGCGAACTTGGGTGTTGAAAATGAGATCTTGAATTTTGGCGGAAATTGTACGCCATACTTGGGCACCGGGCAAACGACTTTATTTGCCAAAACTGCCTGTGTAACGGCCTTGAAAATCCTCCCAATCTGCATTATATCTCCGCCATTACAACGGACGCCATCTTGAATTCGCGATTTCGAGTAGCTTCACGTTTTATCGCATTCCCATAAAGCCCTGCGTGCCCATTGTTCTCCCACCGATCTCTATTCGAAACTGAAGCGATGATGGACGAGGCAGCAGGAACTCCACATAAATTGTCTGGAGCTTCTGCCAGGATCCCTTGCGGTGAAGAGCTTCACCAAGGGTCAATTATGTGTCCATGTGAGATTTCGCATGGACAACACTTTGGATTCGAGCAACTGGCAGTTGTGCCCACAGGTGTTCCGCGCTCTGATGCAGATTCGTGGGCCATGTACCAAAGACCTTTTTGCGGACAGACTGAATGCCCAGTTGCCTCAGTTTTTCAGCTAGAGGCCAAATCCAAAAGCGATTGCCTCGGATGCCCTTCAACAGGATTGGTCGCACGAGAAAAGCTAGTATGCATTCCCTCCGTTTTGCCTGTAAATGAGATCACTAGCGAAGTTGAGGGCACAAGGGGCAGAGTTTATACTAGTCACACATTTGTGACCAACGCAAGCTTGGTACACCAACGGCAACTTATTGGATCTCTCAGTATCCCTACCAGTTCTCCTCCCTATGAGCACATCTCTGTTACTAGGCCCTCAGGGGGAGATACACCCTTTGATTGCGAACCAGACTCTTCAATTGGCCGCTTGGCATGTATCAAGCGATCTTCACAATCGGAAGGCATTCGTACAGATGCTTCCAAGCTCATCTTGGCAGCTAGGCACAAACGCAGTTTACGTCTCCGCCTGGAAAAAATGACATGGCTGGTGTCTCGGCCGGGAAATTGATCCACTTCGCCACTCTTTGGCCGATACAACTAGTTTTCTTGCTGATTCGTTCAATGAAGGATCAGAATATAAGACATCGAATACATATCGCTCCGCATTATCAGGCATCCTTCCCCCTATTGACGGTTTTCCCGTCGACCCATTGGTCATTCGATTGCTCGTTATATGGCGAGGTCGCTAAACTGACATTTTATTTTAGTATTTAGGCTTCATCAGCTATGTATGTGACTTATGAGGAATAAAGCATTGTTATATCTTACTTCTGTGTTCTTATATAATCTCGACTTTACTGCGGGTGCTTCGCGCCCTTGCAAAATCTTCAATTTTAACAAATAAAGAATGTCAAACGGTAAAAATAACCTTGAAAAGTAAACACTGCAGCTACTGGCTTCCTGAAGCGAACTCCATGCTTTCTTTTCATTGGACAGCAGTAGTTTGATTAGATGTCTATTTTTGTTCTGCAATCTGATTGGTTAGTGTTCTCTAAGTAAGCGGCTCCACTTACTGTAGACGCACTGTAATACTACTCTCCTCTTTTTTGAAGAGTCAATCTCTTTGTACTCAGGTGCGTAAATGCGTTCTTTGTTAAGCATATCACAACTTTGTTGTGTGTACTTTCCAATAGCAATGTTCAGCTCCTCAAACTGTTTTAAGGCTGTTGTAGCTCCAATGTTGAAATAGGAAATGGCATCATACATCCCAAATTCAAGGCGTCCCGGCCCCACAAAAATTTATTTCGGCACTCGCTGCCAAATCATAGCAGTTAGGGACTCATTTTGGTTTTGAGTTTTGCCATGCAGGCACTTCTCAAGAAGATCATTTGGCTAAGCCGCTGGTAAATAGGTTTGATCTTTTCTATAACTGGCATTGGCAATCCAGCACCATGCTTGTGCTCGCTCGCATCTCCTTTCACTTTGGCACGTTGATATCGACACCAACTGGTTTCTCCTAGAGGGCAATGGTTATGGAGTGAGAATGCTCTTGTTTCCACCCACAGCTTTCACACGGAAGCTTTAGGTTTGACGCACAGCCCTTATACGTGCCAAATTGTTACCCATAAAAGCCAAAGTGAAGTTACCATAGATACAGAGTGAGACATCTGGTATTATCTAGCTAATAATTCCATAACATCGACTAAACATCGGACGATAGTACAAACTCGAACGGGACGAATTTTGACAAACATTTTCAAATTAATACCAACAAGTCATAAACAGGAATTACCTAAATATCTTTGCCAATTTTACATGTAATAATCAACGCTTAGTTGACCTTTAACCGACAGAGTAAAACAGTGTATCAAACATAATTTATATTTTGTAATTAAAAAAAATCATGCCTTGTTGTTTACGAAATGTACACGTCAGATGTGATAATCGTTCGCGTCAAATTTCGTAAAAAATGCCAAAATTAAACCAAAATTTCTCCCTTTTCCTTCGGTAAAATTTTTTAAACTTTTCTTAATATCGGCTCAACTAATGCAATAGCTTTTTTTCTTAAAATTCAATCGAAGCGGTATTTTTTAATATTGATTTTTGACGTTTTTTAAATTTTCTAAGAAACGTATCGATTTAGTTTTTTAAAATTCAAGAAAAAAAATCATTATATCAGTATTATCTTTTATGCAAAGTTTTAAAAATATTCACAGAAGGGAATTTTTAAATAGCTTTACTCTACGCACGCTGTTGCCATGGTAACAAGCTTTCAAGTTTCAACACAAAAGTGGCAAATTTTAATGTTTAGGAGAGCAATGAGGTGTTCATCGGATCGGATTGGACGTTTATAATCCGACAATTGCCTAATTTGTCTAATAATCCGAATCCGATCCGAGTTTTGATAATTCCAATCCGATCCGAAGAATTCTTTAATAAAATAAATTTCTCATTCAAGTTGAAATATTTAACCAAATAAATAAAAAAGCAAGAAATGCATGTCAAGAAGCTGACAAGGTGACGTCCAATTGAAGTAACAAACGAATAATGCAGCGACAACCGCGATAATGCTTTGATAAATGCATGGATAATTAATTCTTGCGATAATGCGTGGATAATTAATTCATTTTATTTCGGATATCGAAGTCCGATCCGATCCGACTACGAAACAACTTTATCAATCCGATCCGATATGAATATTTTGGTTCCGAAATCCGAACGAATCCGATCGGATCGGATTTGCACACCTCTAATTGTCAATGTGTCGAATAAATTTTAATGTTTATTACTCGCTGGGGCACCTGTGCCCTGGCGACTGTAGGTTTCGGCTCACATTTTTCTCCGATTGATAGCCACAAAATAGAATACTAATGAGCTATCTAATTTTTACCCAAATTATCCATAAGGCTCCTGCCAATTTGAATGTTTACGTTCTTTTAAACTGATATTTTACTGCATTGAGGATTCAACGACAAGAACAATGAATTTGGAGATGTATTAATGCAAAATAAATCCTGTTAATCTTATAGCCCGACAAAGACAGAAATACAAAGTTAAAGACAGCGATCACCGATGCACAGCCACAGGAACAATTGTATGAAATATAAACTCGATATAAGACTGCTAAGTGCTAACTATGCTTTTGTAAGAACACAGTAAAGAGTACTAGCTAAATGCGGTGCATTACAAATAAAACTTTCATGCGACTCCGCAGGGTGTTAGCTAGCCCATATACTGTCCGTTAGGTTTTCGCATGTATTCAATGTCACTTTAGATTTCAATAGTTTCACAGTTATATCAGCGTTTATAGCAGTTTTGATAAGCTTTGATACATATAGATTCTCGTTAGACCTGGTAGAGTTCTCTTTGCACTGAACACGATTTTGCACCGTTGTGCTAGACCCGTGAACAAGGTCCGTGACGGTAACGCGTTGGCTATCTCCTTGCCTTTTTCTTCTATTGCATAAAGCTCGCTGGCAAGTCAAGCGATTGACGATAACACGTGGGCTATCTCCTTACCTTTCTCTTCTATTGCATAAAGCTCGCTGGCAAGTCAAGCGATTGGCGATAACACGTGGGCTATCTCCTCGTCTTTCTCGTTTAAATAAAAAGCTCTGACGAGTCAAGAGATTTTCTTTAGTCTAGCAAGTTATTTTCTTCGTAGACGCCATACAAACATTCGTTTCGATTAGTTGTTTACGCTCCACTGATCTGATGCAATTTTTCGCTGTGTGGCATTCATGCACCAGCCAATCATATTATTGAATATCAGCACGTGATGTTCACATGCGGGTGTTATGCAACCCTGATTTCTGAACCCTAAATTAATCATGTCCATATTTAGACTGCCAAACATGCAACAACAATCATGCTTGACACGTGCTGTGTGTGTGGTTTCAGCAATTCCGCACAGAATGCCACCACAGAGTTTATAATTCTGTGGTTCATATAGGGTTTCACTGTACTGAGTGTAGCCATCTTAATCTTTAGACTCTTTACAAGAACAATTAATATTCTGTGTAGCTCAGTTGGTTAGAGCGCTGCTCCGGAATCGCAGGGCCGTAGGTTCGATTCCTACCAGAGGACCTTGTGCTGCATTTTTCGCAGTCGTTCCTGGTTAGGTCTTAAAATGTATATATTCTCACTTGGATTACAAACCCTAACATCCTAATATTAATTATATACAGTCGCTGTATAATGAATATACGGTCTTAAATGATATCGGCGCTTAAATGCCCGTAATGCACAACATCAAATTATATATTGCGTAGAATCTCGAAGATTTTCTCAATATTTACGTCTGAAATGCTTCCTAGCTCTGTATAACTGAATATACCGTCAAAATAATATCGGCACTTAATTAAATGCCCGTATTGCATAATATCCTCTATATATTGCGTAGAATGTCAAAGATTTACTCAATATTCACGTCTGAAATGTTTATACATTTGAAAATCAGCATCTCGCTCCTTCCTACTTCTGTATATGAATATACCGTTTAAATAATATCGGTACTTGATTAAATGCCCGTAATGCATAACATCAATTTATATATTGCGTAGATTCTCAAAGATTTACTCAATATTGACAATAAGTCAATATTCACGTCTGAAATGTTTATACATTTGAAAATAACACTGTGTGACTCCTTCCTAGCATCGTCACGCCATCGTGATCTCTGTACAAATTCAACACAAGGTTGTAAATGCTATGAAGCTTTGCCCATCAGTCATCAAAAGTACAACAGTCAATATGCACCTGTAGTTGTTGTGTTAGTTTATATTACATTAAAGATCTTTATCAACTCGTGTTGTTATCAATACCATCTGCATTTTTAATCTGCATTTCTACTATTTAAAAATAATGGAGAAATATTGTAGATTCAGAGTGTTGTGGGTTTAGCTGGTCAAAATGAAGAAAATAAATCCATTTTGATACACTTGTCTCAAATCCCTGATTGGCCCAGGAGCCTTGTTCTCAAATTTACTTCTTGAAGCATTCAAGCAATCCTTGCTGTTATTTTCGTGGGAACGCCATGTAATATTTTCGTTTTGCCAATTGATTCGCCATATTTGAACAATAATAAACTACAAGTTGTTTATGTTCGTTCGAAGCAATGTTTGAAGCTATTCACTGTAAATGCATGCAAGCTCTTATGATTTATACAAGTCAGTGGCGTAGCCAGCCCGACAATTTGGTCATGCTAGGATGTACGTCATGATGTTACGTCATGATGTTTTATTCATATTACGTTTAATTAATATGATGTTTTATTCATATTCACAACACAGTTCTTAGTTGGACCCCCTGTGATAAAACCAATAATCGGTCTCAGTCAGCGATTAATTAATTTGCCCGGAAAGGAAATTCAGAGAACGTGCAAGGAATTTTTATAGGAACTCAGTGGAAACATTTGTTTCGAAACAAACTCCTCCCCAAAAACCGTCTGCTGTCAGGTAGCGGTGCCAAACTTGGCACGGAGTGGGACACCGCAATTTTGCAACAGGGGACAGGTCCCAATTAACTCTTCAATTGGCCATATGATTGTAGTACCATCTAACAAGCGTATCACTATAGCCCATTAGCTTTTGACCGCTTGCGCTGAGAGACGGACTTCAACCGAGTCTACCCATTAGCCATAGCGAGTTACCGCTCTTTCGAGCGTCTTGTTATTTATTTCTTCGCTATTAGTATATTACCTCTGAAATTTGCTCATCAGCCAAATCAAACACGCACTTCAGTTTCGAGTCCATTATTTGATCTGAACTTGCCTCTTTCCACTTAAATAACAAAGAAACAATTTAAGATATTATTTGTTTTAAATAACACGTAATTTTTCACATTGTACAGAAATGGCGTGTAACAAATCTATAAACATACGATTTAGCGACTAAGAGGCCGACCATTCAACTTTTGAGGGGGGGAATTTACCGCTGGAAGGGAGTTTTTTCAATAATTGTTAACGTTGAGGTTTCTAGCTTCATGCATTGCTTTTAATAATACATATTGCAATGAGGTATAACATTTGGTTCAGGGCCTGTGTAACCTGATGTATCAGGCTCTATTTTACAAATAGAGCCTGACACAAAACTTAACCTGATCGCTTTCCACCCACAGCAAAGTTCATATTTAGTATCCAATCAAAATGTCGCAGGAGAAATTTAAACAATCTAATTATAGCATAGCAGCCTACTAAACGGCTGAATTTAAATTAAAACTGCAATGAACTTATAAAATTAACAAAAATAATCACAAATTAGCGAAATATATTGCAAATGTAGCTTATGTTAAATTGTCACCCGATTGCTCTCTCCTCCGCAGAGGTTTCAGTGACTACAATGAGCTTTACATGGCGCTTAATACCGTATTTATCGACAAACTGACATATAATTATAAAGTATATACATATATTAAGTATACTTTATAACTATACGTCAGTTAGTTGATAGTGCAATCTGATGGCGATTTAATATAAGCTACATTTGCAATATATTTCGCTAATTTGCGATTATTTTCTAATTTTACTGCAGTTTTAATTTATATTCAGCCGTTTAGTGGGCCGGCTATAATTGTAGTTGTGATCGTTATAAAATATATCAACAACAATTGTATAATCTAATTAGCACCAGCCAATCAAATGACAGATTTAAAAAATCGTTTGTCCAATCGGCCAATCAGACGAAAAAGCCAGAATCTGGCTTTTTACATGCGCCGCGGTAAAGAATTGTATCAGGCCCTCCTTCATTCGCCGCCGCCAATTAATCCTGGCGAATGAAAACATAAGGGCCTGATACTCAGGTTAAAGGATGTGTAACTGGAGGGGACATATTTAGCGGGGGACCTGGAGAAGTTCCAGTCGGAAAGTCTGTATCACTGCAGCTACCAGCACATATATGCATGGTTTAACAAATAAGTATACGTCATAGGGCAGCAGATGTTTGTTTTTTGTTTGTTTGTTTGTTTGACTTTATCGAGTACAAATTAATTCAACAAATATTCATCTAAACATACAATTAAAAGAGCTGTACTCAAACGGAAAAGGCACAAACTGGACGTAAAGTCCATTGCATGGTGCCCCTCCTCTTCCTAACATAGACACTTTAATTAAAGTCACAGTTTACTGTACAGGGTGTCCCAAAAAAACCAAAACCACTGAAACAACGCACTGCTAGAATCCGAACGCTTCAGCACCAAACTGAACGCAAATATGCGTAAAATATGATAGACAGGATGAATATATTGAGAGTATTGAAGAATTTAAAATATCTTTGTAAGCTCACGATTTTATGCTCTTGGGAATTTAAAGCAACTTCTTAAACAGTTTCTTTATTCATAAAATTTACTTTTGTCAAGCTTTTATGCACTTATGGGTTCTTTTGTGCACTTATGAGTGCTAAGGCAATTCAATCCCCAACAACATGCCATCTCAACAGCTTTGGTCCCCTTTGGGGCACCCTGTATAACATATTTACTTAATCTCTGAGCCAACGGCGCAGAGCGCCGTTCCGGGCGTAAGCACGGGGCGAGCGTACTAATTCCGCCCAGTTATTTACACCCGGGGAAACGAAAGCATTAGCGAAGTCTAAAGTTCATCAATGATCGCGGGCGTGGGTGACCAACGATGTCGAGTGGGTGGTCATCCTCACTGATCTCAAAATATGTGGCGGACATTCGTGAATAGCGAACACTGATTGGTTAAATTTAAAATTTGTTGTTGTATGATAAATGACGACAGCGAAATAATAAACATTTCTTGTAAATCAGCAAATATATTGTGTTTTGCCTCGGGTTTTGCAAGATTTTGCAAATTTCAAAACCTTTTTGAGAGCCAAAAACCGCCTGAAAACGTCTAAAAGAATGGAGCAAAGTCGCCGGCGTTACTGAAGGTAAGTTTGTTTTTAATTTGATGTATTGTTTGCTTTTAGTTTTAAGAACATTTTAAAACGTTTTGCGAAGATTTTGTGGTTGAATTTCACATTAAATTGAAGCTTATATTACGTATAATAACATACCTAGCAAATATATGTTTGGGAAAATGATCATTTTGTAATTAAAAGTGATATTTTGGGGGGATTTTTCAATTTTAAAACTATTCTTAAAATGATCGTGTTACCATGACAATACTTCATGTTTGGAATTCAGCAAGGCGAGGGTTTCTGCATGCATGTATTTTCTAGTAAATATTAATATTATGCATGCACATTAATTTGATTAGTTATGTTAGTTTATTATTTGTGACAACCACAATCACGTTTAAGTGACCAGGTGCAAGTCATGTCCGGATCAAATATTGTTTCCAGAATATGTTTATACCTCATCTTGAGGTATAGTTTGAAAGACGATGGCGATGTGAATCCGGAAGGATCAATCGAGACACAAACACTGTTCCATAATTTGACAACACGATTAAAATACGACGAACTGTACGTACAAGTTTTACACAACGGAGTTTCTAAGTATTTGGAACTCAATGCTCTACGTGTCCATCCATGATTGACAAAAAGTTAACACAATTTGAGACCTGATTGTCGATATATCCGTTCACTGCCTTATAAAGGAAATCCTTGACCTCGCGATCGTACGCAAGAGAGAGCATATCCAGTTGCTGAAGTCTCTCTTTGTAGGATAGTTCACCGGCTTTGACGCGTAAGATCCATCTCATAGCACGTCTCTGAATTTTCTCAGCCTTTATGTTTCAGTAAGGAACTTGCTGGAGACCAAACCTCAGTCGCATAACTTAACTTGGACTTAACCAACGTCAACAATTGAAATACATGTTCGCTTTAATAGATCGAGTAATTTGTTAGCCTTCGCACAAATGCAGGTAAGATGATTCCCATGACAAATTCTCAGTAATGATCACCCCGAGATCTTTTTCTTCGTTTACTCGAAGTAACTTGGTAGAATCCATATGGTATTGAAAATGCAATGAATTGACCTTGCGTGTTATGGACAGAACTTTGCAGATCAGGCCATAACAGAGGAGGTTGAACAGCAGGCCGCAAAGCATCATGGACATTGAGCGCCTAATTCCATGTGTGACTTCATTGACTGTTGACTGTAGAGGAGTGAACATCTCTCTGACTAAACCTATATGGAAGCATTCGAACGACAAGAGTGTCAGATACTCTGTGAAAACAGCATATTGCTGTACTGTTGCGATCCTCATTATGACTTGCGTTTTACTATAGCAAGTTTACCTTTTTTTAAATTGCATGGGACGTGTTGTCATTTTAGTTTAATTTATAAATAATCCGTCTGAGCGAAGGAATTGTGTTTATATAAATATTCCCAATAGCAAGGCTCTTCTTTCTAAGTTGGATGGCGTTAAATCTCCGTGTATCATCAACGTGAAAACATGGATTGTAAAATAAGTTCTTTTACAATCCATGGTGAAAACAAGCGCAGTATTTAAGGTTGGTATACTACAATACATTACAGTTATCTTGTTATTTAGTCAAATTTCCGCTTTGTTGTTTTTATTCTTGTACTGTACTGTACTGTACTGTACTGTACTGTAATTTCATAAATACACTGTACAAAATTATAGCGTAATATTTGTGTTTATTGCCTCTAGTTTGACCCTACTGTGTGTGTGTCTATGTACTGTGTCACTGTGATACATTATGTACATGTTTTGAGTTAAACAAATTGTTTTAATAATAAAATTTTGCTAGACGTATGATGCCTGTTTGTATCTAGTTGTGGATAGATTTTTACATACTAATATTACTGTAAATAGTGACACACTTTTGCATTAGATTTCTAATTTTAGAGATTACAGTGTATGTATAAAATAATAAAATAAAAATTTTCTTGTTATGATTTTGTAGAAAGAGATCTATTTGAGTGGTTGGCTGGTCTTGAACCTGGTCAGGTAATGAAGGTGATAGGGCAGAAAGTGATAATGAAAGTGATAGGGCAGAAAGTGGTGACCATTTAAGTGATGAGGATGAAAGTGACGAGGACGAAATCACCCATGCTGTACCATTCAAGTGCATCGGTGCTGCTCATGAGAAAAACTACCAACATCATTTTGGAACAGGCATACCTTGCTCTTCATTGGCCAGAGCAATTGAATTCAATGGACCCAAGTGCAATTGATCTAGACTATGGAACAGGATGGACACATGTTGGTTATATTGCTTCTGAACTATGCGAGTATTTGCACCCACTACTTGCCACAGGAGATATCTTAGAAGTCTATGTTCAGCATATCAAGTATAGGGTTGAGTTTTTCAAAATAGGATTTTATCCAAAAATGTCATAAAGTGACGTTGTGAGTGGGAGACTTAAGTGGTAAAGAAGAGCATGAGTGTATGTTGACAGATGTTTGTGATATAATAGCTACTGACTAGGTTTAGCAAGTTATAGAAATTTTATGCTGTTATTTCAATTGGCTAACTTTTTAAATTTTTTTCAGCATTTTTAAATTAAACAAAAACTTAAGGTTAATCACAAGTGGGTGCAATTAAAACAATGTCCGTTATGGACACTCGTGCAATTAAGTACATAATTGTAACATGTGCTGTACTAAATGAATAAATAAACAGTTTATACATTCACTTGACCAACTTTGTGAGTAAATTTTCATTAAAATTAATGCAACAATAAAACAAAAATATGTCTATTTATATACAATAATATTGATCAAAGGTCCCACAATAACATGCTGCTGATACTTTAATTAAGGTACATTATAAGATAATACAAAAAAAAACCCTGCATATAATGCACCTATCAATGTTAACTCCCCCAGAGAGGGGGGGAGTGGGGTATTTGATCATTAATTACATCTCCACCCTATAGGGATTTTGATTAGCCATAGTTAACTATGGATTAGCATTTGGGCCCAAGAAAGGGCAATTTGTACCAAAATGGCTTTTATTAATATAGTATTTATTGCAATTTATTGCAAAATGGTAGGGTATTTGACCAATATTTATTGCCCAACAGTGGGGCATTTGATTGAAAATTTGATAAAAAAAATCAAATGCCCCACATATGTCCGACCCCCCTCTCTGGGGTTTAACATTGATAGCAACCTCGTACCCAGGATCTTTCTTTGGGAAAGACCCTGGCTGCGGCTGGTCACGTGCCTCATCAAAAATTTAGCGCCTGAGGGGGTGTGGGCAAAGTATCAAATTACATCAACATGCTTCCAGTGGAATATTCGTTAAAAACATAAATTTTGCGAATTATTACGTTCAAAATACTTGCTAATTTTTGTTTATTTTCTTTGCTTTGAATTTACAAGAACATTCTTACATTCTTACTTACAGTCAAGTCAAGAAACAACGCAAATCGTTACTCGCAGTACAGTACGTGCTCTCTCGTGTTGCTATTCAATGCATGCTCTCTTCACAATCGAGCGCGGTTGTAACGAACCTTTTAATATGTAATGTTTTTAAAATACGCCATAAATGATTACATTCGTCCTTTCTTGTAAACGTTGATACGCTTTGTACCGATTCACTTGTTACTACGCGTCTTGTTTATAAGATTTTTAAAAGAAACAGTATTCTCTAGGACTGACCCAATATTAGCAAATGTAAACATTTGATAATAGCCGAATAGAGAAATGTCTATAAGTACAGAGGAGATTTCAGTCATTGGTTTATCTGGATTTAGTACATAATTCGTATTCGGTAATTATAGTAAGACTTTTTTGGTCTCTATTAATCATTATATTGTGTTAACATACTATAATCTATATTACAAATTTACAGTGTCAGATGCGCACAGACCGTCATTGGCATCATACGATTGGTACGAATAGACATAAATTTTCGAGTTTTCTAGCCTACTTCTACTAACATTTTTAAAGTTTTCATTGTGAATCACCTGTTTATCTCTAATTCATTAATCATTTACTACTTATATTTATTTGATAGTGTCATATACTGAATAATGCGTCTACACACAAGCAATCCTGGATATGATATAGACGATGCAAGCTGTCCATTAAAAAATAACGGTATTCTATTTCACAAAGCAAAAAAAATTAAAGCTTATTCATGTCAAAACGAAAGCTGTTTACAAAATTTATATAGGTGGTGAACACTACTAAACAGTGCTCATTGAAAGACATGTATAATATAGTGACATATAAATTGTCGTTTGACTTATCTTTGGTGTATGATTTTAATACAGTAGATTTTCAACAGACAGCTATACTTTGACATATACCATGATCGTTGGTTTCAGCCATTAATTAAAAGGGCCAATTTTATAGTGTTTTGACGGGCTTTAAGTTTCTTGATAAGGCCTTTATATAGATCAACAATCTGGATACAGTTGGCGATATTTCGGAAATCAAAAGATCTCGCTATTTCGTTGCAATTCCACATCTCATCAATAAATAAATTCTTTTCGTCCGAGTATCAGGATAAACTTTAATACTAATAAATAACAACCACACTGTTCGGTCTGGAGATATATATTTTCTTGTAGGTTTAATATTGCCACGCTGCACAAGCGGCAAGCGTGCTTTCTTTGGCAAGTCTATAAGTTGAATATTGAAATCTGATCCAACTTGCTTGAATTGTAACTCGACACCAGATTATAGAGTAGAACGTCACGATATAAATATTAATTTAAGAGTTTTCTTTACGATTTCTTGTTGCAAATTTACAGTGAATTTCATGACCCAAAGTTGCAATTTTAAAACGCTACAAACACGCTCCTTTCCCACCCCTCTCACAGTTACAATTAAATTTACCTCCCAGAATCTGGGAGGCACGTGACCAGCCGCAGCCAGGGTCTCTCCCAGATGACAGAAGGAGAGACCCTGGGAACGAGGTTGCATTGATAGGTGCATGAGAACCACCATTTCTCAAACTTTATCTGAATTAGTTGTGTAACAGCATTTATACAAAATACTGTTAAAAAAGGCCAAGTGGGCCTTCACTGCTATAAAGTACATTCTATCCAATGGCATTATAGGACCAACATCTCCATGACGTTGTTATCCAAAGCATCGAGCAGCGTTATAAATCAGATTGTCTTTTTTACCAGCATGAACTACAGACATAGCCTTGGCAACAAGTGGGATGAGGGACAAATTTAGCATCTAAACCAAGATTAAGTTTTACCAGTCATTTTTGAAACAGGTGGATGAGTAGTTGTTCTTGTTGTCGCTGGGTTAGTTTTGAAAATCCAGAAGTCATGTCAAGTCATCATATCAGTAACATTACCAGAGAGGTGAACAAGTTTAGAACTCCAAATTTAATGATGATGCTTAATTCTTGCAGACGAAATCATTGACAAAAATAGAATCCACTAGCCAAAATCACGAATCTCAAATCTAAAACATCAGCCAAACAATGAATTTCACCAATAAAATATTGTTACAGAAGTGCTTTAATTATTTACATACTTTAACCAATATATATAAATCCATAATATATCGAAATTTCTATAGTATATCAAATTTCTTTAGAAAAAAGCTAGTAATAGCAGTTATATATTAGCTACAGTGAAACACGCAATTTGACTGGTCAGAAATTCTGAACAGAAATTCTTGCACATAATTTTACAAATATACTCGCATTTGAAAGTTTCATTGTACGATACCTTTCGACTTTGAAGTAAAGTTTGCAATTATTGAGACGTTGGTTTAGTTGTATGAATAAATTTCTGATCGATACATTACTGTTCAGCAAGTAGCAACGCGTAGCGTTGAAATTCATCAGACCATGGCAAGTACATGAGCATGAGGAAAATGGCGCAATCTGATTGGTCGAGATGTTCGCCTAATTGGCTGTCCAACCTCCTCTGGGCCATAACTAGGATTCTGAGAGAACCGAGTCGACAACCGAAGGTGCGATAAGCTATTTCCAGCATTTTGAGGAGTTTTCCAACATGAAATTAACCTTACACTAGTCCCTGAAAATCAAACCAGCTGATCTTCTGGGACTGGTCAAATCAATCCCTGCAACCATGCTGTTTTGCAACATTTTTTTCCCACCAAATACTGGGGCAGGATATTTTTTCCCACAGTTTGTTAATGCAGGTATTTTTTTTTGTTCAGAATAGCCTTGCTGGAAATTTTTTTTCAAAATCACCCGCCTCTCAAAAGTTAAATGGTCGGCCCCTAATATAATTTTAGTCAATTTTATTCGATTTTCGAATTTCCTGGATTGTAAAGCTCTGCAATTACATTTTAATTGCACGGCTCAGCGCCCATATGCCAAAATATGTGCAAATTTCAAGCACAAAATTTAAATTAAAAAAACTGCTTTTCTTATCATTGAGCATTCGTAGACATCTTGACATATAAAGGAATCAAATGACATATAAAGGAATCAAATTGTTTCGTATTATTAATGAAAATCGCACTTGTGTATGGTCGTGGTATTATTAATATTTCGCCAAAGACGCGTGCGATTTTTCTTATCGAACCCTGTAATTTCCTATACAAATCAGACTTTAACATATTTCGCTGCATGAGTATTTAAATTTTGAGAAGAAATAAAGGAATATTCCGTGTGTAAACTTTTACCAATTTGCCATTTCATTTGATTTGATTTGATCGTTAATTAAAGACCTGTTACAGGGTCTTGTAGATGGAAATTACCGAGTGGAACTTACATATATTTATTAGACCTAACCAGGAACAGCGGCGAAAAATGCAACTTTAGGTCCCTGGCAGGAATCGAACCTCCGATTCCAGTACAGCGCTCTAACCAACCGATCTACAAAGTCCAGTTGTCGAGCTCAAACCACAAGTTCATATAAAAATACTGGCGTGTTGCCATGTTAGGTGATGGGTATATATCAAGAATTTGTTGGTATCTCACTCGATTGAATATCCGACAACTGGACTCTGTATAACTCAGTTGGTTAGAGCGTTGCACCGGAATCGCAGGGCCACAGGTTCGATTCCTGCCAGGGACCTAAAGTTGCATTTTTCGCTGTTGCAACTGTTCTTGGTTGCAAAGTTGAAACTGTTCTTGGGTTAGGTCTAATAAATGCATATAAATTTCCACTCCATAAATTCCAACAACAAGAGCCTTCAACTATTATTCAATCGAGTGAGATGCCAACAAAATCTTGACATGTTGCACAAGACAATTTTTGACACATATCGCAACGTTATGTAGAACGTATTATATAATAACTACAGTGAAATACGCAATTTGATTGGTCAATAGCCGTGCAGGATCAGGCTATCCTGCACGAGGAATTAAAATGCCTTCGCGGGATTTTCGCGGGATTCACAAAATGTCATTGTTTCACTGTAGTTATTTTATAAAACAATTACCAAATGGTTTTCCAAGCAGGATAGCGTGATCCATGCACTTGGGATGTTGCTCGACTTTCGGAAAGCGTAAAAATACACTCGCCTGCGGCTCGAGTATTTTTACGCTTTCCGAAAGTCTCGCGACATCCCTCGTGCATGGATCACGCAATCCTGCACGGAAAACCATTCGGTATCCCTTTATTCACCCATTGCTCTCTTAGTTCGCGAAAACATCGACCCAGCATGAGCACATTCTAAATAAATCGTAAATCAAAGCGTGTCAGCAACATATCGAGCGTGTTTTCGTAGTAATCTTCACTTCGACTTCTTAAAAAATTGAAAACACTATTACACATTGAATTATAATCCAGCGTAATTTGCTGTTGTTATTAAAATCAGTGTGAAAATTTTTCAAAAGATACTAACAAGTTGGACTTTTCGTCAAACAACTCGCACCTGCTACTATAATACTTTACATTATACCCACGATTTCATTTGTTCATACTCCTAGGAAGTACTGAAAATAGTCATGTTTAATGTTATTCTTGTTGTGTCTATAGTGTTTAGGAGGACCAGATTGGAAAAAAGTTGTAACTTCATCTGTTTATCCTCAATAAATAAAGTGTTATTATTATTATTACCCGTCCGCAGTATAATTTTATGATAAAACACAACATGTGAATTCAGTTGAATGACAGGGAAAACATAATTCTCGTTGATACTTCTAGACTGTCTTGAAGACAGCTTATTAGTTGCTGGGCCAGCTCTTTCTTTTCAATCACAAATCGACAAATTACGTATTAATCTGTCTGTGCTCGAAATTACGTAGGTAACCCTAAAAATAGGTACGTATTGCGTACATGTGGTTAGCCTATAGAATTGGCAATTGTCATAGCGTATAGCTAATTTCGTTCAAAGTAAGTAAATTAATTGCTCGTTTGCAATCGAGGCCATCTTCGTTGATTTTTCAACCATTTAACCATAAAATGTGTATTCTTCATTCTTTGTCGTGCGAAGCCAGATACCGTATAAACTATCCATAATACAGTTAACTTATTTTGCTTTATTAAGTAAAAACACTTTATCGGAAAAACAGTTTGCTTGAATGAATTTCGAAGCGTTTCAGGTTAAATTTTATATTAATTCAAAGCTCACAAAATGCAAAATAACATACCTACAATTCGTTGTTGTATAGTTCACGATACTAATGTTTCAACTATTTTCGCCGTTTTGTGCAAAAAATATATATTAAAAACGCGAGCCTGCGTTCAGTGTTGGCCAATTACTAATACTTCATATTAAATCAATTTTTGGAAAATATAGACGAACAAAGCAAATCTGCCCTATATATTTCACGATCTTCCATAGTAAATCAATTCTTCTCATTTCTTCAAACAAAAATTGCTTCAAAGCTCATTGTATGAAACGATTGTGAAAATCTTGCTTATCCAACACCTGCCAAACACATCAGTGAAGAGGTCCACCTATGCCATAAACCATAGTCACGCGCCCGCGATCTTTGATGATCCACTACGCGCAGTTGACGCGGGGACTAACTGTACAAAGCTCCTTAGGCCGAGATTTCTATATATATTTAATGTAAACTATTGGGATTATTCACGACCAATATATTCCATTGTTTACTGTAATATAAACAAAAAGTTCTTACTATAGTTTCAAGGTTTTCTGTATTCCCAACGGCAATCATCGACTGTACCATGAACTTGTGTTTGGATTTCTCTTTAACATCAAAATCATGTGGCTGCAGCATAACTGCAAATGCAATTAACAACAACAGTTAATAATATTTGTTTTAGTATATGGAAAACACTATGTACTATTATTATTGCAAAATATTACATTTATCACCTATTTACTGAGACCGAGGGAAACAGTGTGTTTTGTGGACCTGAAACCGCCGTTGTCGCCCGAGGCGAATCAGAGGGCAACAACGGCGGTCGTGGGGTCACTGCAGAGGCCACACTGCTTTTATATATATGTATTGCGGCGCGCGACAAATGACAAAGGAGTGGGGCGAGCTTATTATAAGTTGACATTTGACGCATTCTACACGCATTTTGGGCTGCTTATGGTTAAACATGAACTGCTTTTCTTTCCGACAAAGCTGTAAGTTTCCTTAAGCGAACCGAATTGTTGTGGGTCAATTTTGTGTCGGATGTCCTTGATCAGCCATTTTAGTGCAAAATCTTCTAGGATCTTTGCAATACATGCAGTAGTAAGTGAAATGGGTCTAAGGTCTCCACCAACCGTCACTGGGAAAACTTTGGGTTTGGGGGTTATAAAGGAGTCTTTCCATAACCACCAGGTCTTATCTCCGGCAAGTGGTACTGAGTGGGAAAGGAGCAAAGGAGGCTCGTAACGACGAATTAATGACTAATTAATCTGACGAATTAATCCCAGAAATCACGTTCCCAGTCTCATTCTCAATCCTCATAACTGATCAGAGTGGCATTCGCAGATCTGCCTTAGATTTTATTAATGATGTTGCACCACTTACGGGGGTCTTGAAGGTTGTCAGCTTTTTGAGCTTTTTCACGGCAAATGTTTCTTTCATTTGCAGTATATAAACATCATTTGCATGTTCCCCCCGGATTTTTTACTCTATCTATTCATTGATCGGTTGAATTTCACCCATAACAATGGTGCAAAGCAACTGGGCACTAAAAGCTACAGCTGAACAACGTGTAACAACCGAAGAAGCGCAATCACTAACCACAACACAAGAATACGATATACTGTAGAAACCACCTACGGTAGTTATAACTGGTGATTCAATGATAAAACATCACGATAAACGACGCCTACAACGATCAATAGACCTTACGCATAACGACGTCACAAGGCGTGACGCGCACGGGGAATTCCGATCTTAGTAGTCACTTGTGAGTAAACGAAGCATGAGTAAAAGAAGTGGCGGCTGGCTTTGCGTGTTGTGTCCCTGGTTATTTTACCAAACAATAAAAGAAATCCCGAGCATTCTTTTTATAATTTTCCAAATGGTCAAATTCTGGCATTAAAAAAACTTCGTAAGAAGTGGACAAATTAAATTGCCTGCAAATATTTCTCTTCAACAACAGGTCAATACAATATAATACTTTATTAGAACCTCCCCGTGGGGCTTTTCAGGCCTAATTACAATTCTCAGATGACGTAGTTAAATTACCTATTTACAAATATATCAATAATTAAATACTATACACTATCGGCTAGAATTATAACTGTTAAGTTTTGGTATGTAACCATTTCTTGACTTTCCTTTTAAAAATAGTTATTGTTTGACTGTTTCTTATCTTATCTGGAATATTGTTCCAAATTTTTGTAGCTCTATACCTGAATGATCTTTGGGCCAAACTTGTTCTGCATTTTGGGATATTAAGACAATTACGAGTTTGTATGAATGTATGTATGTATGTATGTATGTATGTATGTATGTATGTATGTATGTATGTATGTATGTATGTATGTAAACTTTATTTAAAGACGTTAGCCTCGTCAACGATTTGTTGATTTTCACGAGGGACGTCTGTTACTATTAAAAATTACAAATATGATCTAGAAAAGAATAAAGAATTATATACAACTATTTACAATACAAGAATTAAGTTCCAAACGGTGTGACCCATATTTCTAAAGCATGCATATACAGTATATTAGAAGATGTTAGCGTGAATCTTTCAGGCAGTTTTTAAAAGAATAAATTGATTGCGCTAGCTTCGCATCAGAAGGAAGATTATTCCACAATTTAGCTCCGCTATACTTAAAGCTTTTTTTTAGAAATTCTCGTTTTGGCTTAGCAAGGTAAGGTCAGTATAAGTATTGCGAAGATTATAACTGGTTTGAACAAGGTCCCTTCTCGTTAGAGCATCCTTCAAGTTCGGCCCAGCGCAATCATTCAGGACTTTATACATTAATGTGGATTTAGTTGTACGTTGTCTTATCTCTAAATTTTCCCAAGCAAGGGATCGAAGAACATCAATAGACCTTATTTCATAGCTGGCGCCGGTTATAATTCTCGCTGCACGGTTTTGGAACTTTTGAAGCTTATCTTCAGCTGTTGGTTACAGACGTCCCATAATGGACTACAATAATCAAAATACGGTTCTATCAAAGCTCTGTAAATGGTATGCAGGGTATTTATAGGAACATATGGCTTAATTCGTTGCATTGCTCCTATGCCGGCCCCAACTTTCTTACAAATCATTTCAACATGCTCATGCCAATTAAGGTTTTCATCAACTTTAACCCCAAGGCATGTGTATGAATGAGCAAGAGTTATGAATTGGTTATTCATCATTACTGGAATATCATAAGTCATAGTATCAGTATTATACTTATAACCGATATACATTATGCACGTCAGACCGTTTTTAAAGAGATTGCACAAATATAGTGGTGCACTACCGTTAATTACTCGCTGGGGCACCTTTGCCCAGGCGAGTATAGGTTTCGGCATGCATTTGTCACGGATCACGGATAGTGGATCTCCAATCGTCGATAGCCACAAAATAGAATATTAATGAGCTGCCTAATTTCCCCCCAATTATCCATAAGGCTCCTGCCAATTTGACCCAAATTATCCATAAATAACCCCGCATTTTGAGGAAAATTCAGGAAAATTGAACAATTTTACAAGGAATTTCGACATGGAAACAGTAACCTTCGCAAATCGCAAGTTACGTTTGGCACACCGTTCGATTCAGCGTAAGAAAATGTACTTACGGATGTCAAGTATATTACTAAACACCAGTATTCTAGCGATTTATGGCCTTTGAAAATCAAGCGAAATTGTATTGTTGACAAATCGCTCGCAGTACGTTTCATAGTGTATTTGTAATGCCTAATGGCGCAATAAGGATAAAAATACCACCGTTCGATTCAAATCGTACTAATTAGTAATTACGGATGTCAAATGTACAGTATTACTATAAAAAACAGTATTCTAGCGATTTATAGCCTTTGTCTTTGAAAGCCAAGCGAAATTGTTACTCTGAGTGTGTATCCACACCGGGAAAGCTTGAAAAATATCCAGGCATATTTTTCAAGCTTTCCCGGTGTGAATACACACTCAGAGTAACATCACAAACATCATATTTACCCTGTACACAATCGAAATTGTATTGCATTGAATTGACAAATCGCTCAAAATTATTAAACTAATTATAAAAAAATGCAGTATGTTTGATCCTTGACCTTGATATTAACTTTGCCTTTGGTATCATTGGTTTTCTCTTTTTCGGCCGTATACCAGTGGATTCGTCTGACTTCTCTCTTCATTTTGAGCCCAAAAGCCCCCAAATATTTTATTTTGAACGTTTTAAAGCGCAGTTTAATCCTAGCGTATGGACCAACTGGCGGCTGACAGTCTTGAAGAAATAGAATGTAGCGTACTAAATATAACTTTACTTGTAGGGTCTACCGCATTTTAGTACTGTGTTAAGCCTTTCGCGCCGGTATTCGACTTTTCCGCTTAGCTCGGGGAAAACCTTATAACTTCAACCAAGTCTAGTATAGTCCCAGCGAGTTAACGCTCCGTAGAGCGTCTTGTTATTTTATAAATCATTTGAGCATCCCTATACTCTAACATATTCTTAACATATAGCCATCCCAATTCTTTAAGACCAGGTGTTATGTGATCAAATTTCTTAATTCCAAGAATAATCCTTGCAGCAAAGTTTTGAACTAACTGTAATTTGTTAAGTACCCGCCCATGCACAGGAACAATAGTATAGTTTACCAAATATTAGAGACTTGATAATCAGAATTTGAGTCGATTTGTCAAAAAGATGTTTAACTCTACTAATTTAACAAAGCGACCCCATCAACGTCAAGGTCAGGTTGGTTGTTACGCCCAAGTCTTTTGCGAAGAGAACGGGTGTTAGTTCTTTTCCAAGAAATTGTATAGGTGGTACATCCACTTTCGCTAGAGCTGTCGTAAATTGCCTCCTGTTGTGTTTACGACAATTCACAGTTTTATAAACACAGGTTTAGTTAACAATCTCTTTCCTTTTTTACTAGTTTAATATCTCGCCCTATATAACAATCTCCATTCGCACGCTCGCTTTCATCACTAATGTTTTTACAACATGTGTTCGTTTCACCGGAAGTGTTGGCGCATGCCGCATTTCCGGCTTCTAAACTGTTAATACTGTCTATATATTTATATATTGTTAATCTCCAACACACTCCCCCTATATAACTCAAATATTGAGATATATATGTTAACTATCGGAGATTCCCAAACAACAACAATAAGAATAAACCACCAATAGTTACTAAGAACGTCAATCAAGTTCATCCTCTTCAGCTTCGTCTTGAATCCGTAATCTCGCTACAGCCGCTGCAGTACGTCTTGGTCGAAACTCAGGAGCTTGGGCTCTCAATGCCGGTTTTGGTTTCTCACAATTGCACGAAAGTTCTAATGGATACAACTGCTGTACGGCTCTCTCAAGAATACCCTTTCCCGCTCGTAACTTCGCTCCTCTGACAATCCCGTCTTTGCCTGTGATAAGTTGCACGATAACTCCAAGTTGCCATTTCCCTCGATTCCGCTCATCATTCTTAACTTGTCTGAGCCAGGACGCTGCTCCTACAAAGGTTCCCCCGTTATCAGAATACACGAGTTTTGGTCGTCCCCTTCTTGCAATAAATGTTTTAAAGCTTTTCAAGAACTCGTCCGTCTCTAAGCTTGGTAGTAATTCCAAATACATTCCACGAGTCAGGCTGCATGTGTACAAGATCAAATAAGATTTCTTGAAAGTCTTTCGAGCTGTACAATATTTAAGTGGACCCGCGAAGTCCACTCCAATAACTTCAAACGCATTTTTTCCTTCTGTTCTTGTTGTTGGTAGGATTCCAGGGGGCGGTACAGAATACGCCTTCGCTTGAGCTCGCTTACACCCGAAGCAACTCTTTCGAATACGCTTGACCAATCTTCTTAATCTGGGGATCCAGTAGCTGTTTCGGACGTGGGTCATGGTTAAGGTCACTCCCCCGTGGAGCGTTTGCAAGTGAGAATCTTCAACTACTTTCTCGGTAAAGGTATGGTTGTCAGGTAGGTATACAGGATAGACGCCCTGAATTCTTCCTCTACATTCTAGGATATGTTCATCGTTCTCTTGAAGATTCAGTTCCAGGCTTTCTTTAGCAAATACTGGTTGGTTTTTCGCTTCGTTCTGCACTCGTTTAATCCACCATTTCTTCACGATCTTTATCTCACTGGCGCGCAGAGGACCCAACTGTCGATCTCGAGGTTTTGCTTTGCAATTCAGTAGGAAACGATTGATCCATGCACCGATTCGCAGGACCTTCCAAAGGTTGTGCTTCTTCAACAGATCATCGAATTGATCATCGACTCGTTCCACTGCTGCGTTAATGACCTCTTTCGTCATCTTCGTTTCTGCTTTGCTTCCAGGTGAAGATTTGATCACAATATCAGGGGGCCATTCTTCTCGGTTGGCGAGCCACTCCGGGCCGTTCCACCAAAGGTTGTGGTTTGTCACACTTCCGCCTCTGCTCCCAAGATCCGCAGGGTTATCTCCAGTTGGTACATGATGCCAAACAATTTCATTATACTCTTGGATTTTTCGAACTCTATTCGCCACGAACTGCTTGTAATCACCGCCGTTCTGAATCCAATACAAGGCCACGGTACTGTCTAACCACGCATGTAGTTCGTTTATTGGAAATCCCGATAAAGCATTCTTGACGTTGTTAAGGAGATTCGTTGCCATGTGTGCTGACGTCAGTTCGAGTCGTGGGATTGTAGTATTTCTTTTCGCTAGACGTGATTTCGCTGCTACAAGACCTTGACTGCTTCCAGATTGTTGATTCACAATTGCGTAAACTGCGGCCGCAACTCCATTTCCACTTGCATCTCCGAAGCTGTGTAAATCTACGCTTTCGATTGTCTCTTGATGTCGCACAATAGATCTGGGAAATTGTACGTCATTAGGGAGACCATCAAACCATTTCTTCCACCGAATGTTTGGCTGACTTGGAACAGGCGCATCCCAGGCTGACCTCAGATCACAAACATCTCGATACACAAGCTTTCCAATTAGGGTTGTTGGAGAAACAAGGCCAAGTGGATCGTATATCTTTGCCAAACTAGTAAGGATACCTCGTTTTGTCACGTCACCATACTCTTGGGGATAAACTACCTTTAAGGTATCTTTCGCCTTGTCCCAAGGAAGACCGAGAATTTTGCTTTCGTTTGCCTTGACTCCAAGTTGTTGCTTAGCATAGGTACTTTCATCCGACTGTGCATTTACTTCCTTTGGTTGTAACTCATCTTCATTGGAATTCCACTTGTGGAGGGTGAATTTAGCATCTTCAAAAATTTCAATTGCACCGTCTCTTAATTCTTTCGCTTTCTACAAGATAAGGTCGTCAACATAAAGACTCTTCTTGATTTCAGCAACAGTATCGGGTTTTCTATCTTCCCACGATTGTAGATGGTACTCGATCACCCCTCCCAGCAAGAAGGGTGATGGCGCCAACCCGAACAAGGCTCGAGTAAATCTGAGGGTTTGTATCTCAGCTTGACTGTTGGGCTTCCAATGGAACCGCAGTGCATCACGGTCTTCTACTTTGATTCTGACTTGCAGAAAGGCTTTCTGCAAGTCACCACTGACGGCAACCGGATGAAATCTACCGCGGACCAAAACACTCCATAGCTTGTTCTGCAATGACGGGCCGGTATGAAGACAGTCATTAAGTGATGGTGCTTCTGCGCTTTCTTTGGCTGATGCATCATATACGATTCTTAATTTAGTGCTGTCAGCGTTCTCTCGAATCACCGGTTTGTGCGGGATATAAAACTCATGTCCGTTAGGTTTTTCTGGAGCACTCTGTACAATGTCCTCTTGAATCTGTTCTTGAATAATCTGATCATATTTCTCGGTAATGGAAGAGCGATTCAGTTTTCGCATTAGTGATTCTAACCGTCGAACACTACCCTGCTTGTTACTTGGTAAAGGGGGATGGTTACCCTTCCAGGGTAACCCAGTTTCGTACCATCCTGCAGGGTCACGTCTCAGTTGCTCTTTGAATTCTGCGTAAACAATGTCCTGGTCATTCTCTGGAAGATCTTCTAAACCAAGCACATCCAACCGACAGAGGTTTTCATAATCAGCAGTGGAGATCTGTGTTAGCAACATCTTGTTTGAATCACTTTCAACTCCGGGTGACATCATAGTCCAGCCGAATGATGTTTTCTCTGCAACTGGATCTCCAGGTGAACCGACTCTTTGGGCACATTTTGTTTTGATACGGGCATAGTCACAAGCTCCCGACACGACATGTATTGGAAGTTGATCCTTTTGGTCATCGTCAATCATCTTCACTCCACCAAGATGGGGATATTTCTTGATTAGACTGTCATAGTGAGGGTTAGGAAGTTCCATCAAACAAGGTTTTTCCACTTTAGTCAGCTTAGTTTCCAAGTTAAAGTTGCTTTCAGTACTGCTAATGTTCACATTAAAGATTTCCACTCGACGAGTTGCTGATCCCATTAGCATTTCAACTCTTGTAACTTTCGACTCACTAGGTTTCTTGTTTAACTGTTCGACTAACTTCGCAGATGCGTATGAGCTTCCGGAACCGGTGTCAAGCAGTGCCCTACACTTGGTACCGTCGACTTCGACAAGAACTACTGGGTAAATTACTTTGTGATCGCTGGGGTGGTATGCTGCGGTCAAAATGGTTTTGGCTGGTTCACATATTGAGGTGTGGTGACGTCGGTTACAGTTCTGGCAGGTTTGCTTACTCCTACACTCAGATGCCCTATGACTACCACCCGTGCAGTTAAAACACAGTTTCTTCTCCGATAAAATCTTTCGTCGAGCTTCACAGGTGGTCACCGAGTCACAAGCAATGGACTTGTGATTTTTAGAGTCGCAATATACACACGCTCGAGATTTCTGATCTACTTGACGGGTCTGATAAGCCCTTGATGCATCTTTCCTTTCGTTGCTTGTCTTTGCTTCAATAGGGTTTCTTTCAGTCCAAGCGAACAGTGCTTTGACTAAATCTGTGAATGTCCAGTCTTTCCATTTGGGCTCAGTTCTGACTAAGTCCCTACGTATTCCAGGTACTTTGTTCAAGGTAAGTCGTACATATCCATTTACTTCTTGAAGTTTTCCCAAAGTTTCTAGTGACTGAACACAATAAACCAATTTCTCGTAGAAGGGGTGTATTTTCTCCGGTCGGGTACTTGTTATCGTTGGCAAATTCACGATTTCTTCCACATAGGAATTCACAATTTCACTGGTGTTTCCATATTTTCTTCAAGGATTTTCTTCGCACTTTTGTATCCTTCGGTCGTGAAGGGCAGTCCATCTATACATGTCCGTATCTTGGGTTCTACTAACTCTTTCAGGTAAGAGAATTTCATCACATCAGGAATATCGGCCAACTCAATACCCGCAGAAAATTGGCCCCAGAATCGCAACCAGTCGTGATATGAGCCATTAAAAGGTGTAATTACAAGCTTTGGTAGCTTTGTAGATGAGTTTTTCCCTGCTTGAACTTCTTTAATTTCCTTTTGATGCTGTAATTTTTGATTGAAAAGTTCCTGTTCGAAGGCAAGTTGTTTATCTCTTTCGTGTTTCTCGAAGGCTTGTTGTCTCGTATAATTTTCTTCGTCTAATAGTCGTTTATTTTCGTTTTCCAGGGCGCTTTCTTTCTGGCGTTCGTCTGCTTTAAGGCGCTGAATATACTCGTTTAACTGCTTCACTTTCTCGTCGGCCAAAGCTATATTTTCCTCGATTGATTCCCCCCATGCTGCGACATTCTCTTCGGAGTCGCCTTCGATAAATTTCTTTTCTTCGATTAGTTGCTTCAGGTCACTTATAGCCAAAATAATCTTTGTTATTTGATCCTTTTGTCGAATAGCGACTTCTTCATCGTTTGTTTTAAGTATATCATCGGTTTTCTTGGTCGTAAAATTGAGTAAACGTAACTTGCCATCAATTTCGTCGAGTTGTTGTTTTAATGCCATTATATTCGGAATTCCCTTGCTCTTGCTCGAGCTAAATCTCTAGTTACAATCCCGTTGGGAGGTGCCAGGTGTCGTAAATTGCCTCCTGTTGTGTTTACGACAATTCACAGTTCTATAAACACAGGTTTAATTAACAATCTCTTTCCTTTTTTACTAGTTTAATATCTCGCCCTATATAACAATCTCCATTCGCACGCTCGCTCTCATCACTAATGTTTTTACAACATGTGTTCGTTTCACCGGAAGTGTTGGCGCATGCCGCATTTCCGGCTTCTAAACTGTTAATACTGTCTATATATTTATATATTGTTAATCTCCAACAGGCGAACTGCAACTGCATTGGTATATTACATGTACTGGCTTCATCTCGGAGAAAAAAATTCTCGATCGACTACCAGCGTCAAAAGGCTTTTAAGTTTGAACACCTTCAAAAGCTGTGGAGCATACTTTTGAAGCAGACCTCGGATTTCTCCCAAAGATTCTTGTTTCGTCTTCCACAACGACTGAAGAAAAGTTTCCTTGCAGACCTTGGCTCTGGGCATTTGTCCTAAGGAAGGCTTTGACTTGTTTTATGCATGCACTGACAATCAAAGTCATATACCTCTTCGATTCTGGTGATTGCTGCGTCGACTGTGAAGGGCGTTGCCGTTGGTATCTGCTTTTTCAGGTGCAAGCAAAATGTGACAGAAAACTCATGATGGCTGCTCAAAAATCTGACCAGAGGAGGAACTTCACCTTGATCCTCAAGCAGCCGGTAGAACAGTCTACCACAAGTACACCAGCTGGTTGGACAAATTCAGCACTCTTGCTACCCTGGATTCCAGAGCCTTCGACAGTAAATAATAAATTGAAATGTCGCGAAGGCTCTGGTTCAATGGGGCGATTCTTTGATTAAGCCGCGCCAATCACAAAACAGAATTAGTGGTTTTAGTACAGATTCTGTACTAAAACCACTAATTCTGTTTTGTGATTGGCGCGGTTTAATCAAAGAATCGCCCCGTTGAACCAGAGCCTTCGCGACATTTCAATTTATTATTTACTGTCGAAGGCTCTGGAATCCAGGGTACACTCTTGCCATCCCTCGATCGTTCCCTTGCCATTTTCAGAATAAGGAATGCATTCAGCGCGATTTGCTCGCCGGCTCAACAGTAGGAAAAGTAGGTACTTCATCTAGCAAGCGCAAGCGCAAACCCGAATTCAGGGACGTTTGGCGCAAATCCGAATTCAGGAAGGTCATTAATGTCAGAAACGGCAAAAACTTCCCAGGAAGATCAGAAAACGATATATTAGGCCACATAAAAAATAGTTGGTAGATCAGTGGTTAGCGTCCTTAGCTTTTGCCAAAAAGTGGTCGGGCGGGCGCTTTTTTTTTAATTTTACTAATTTTTAACGCCTTGGTTTTAGGTCCGAAACTGGATTTTCTTGCGCAGTACAAATATTTTTCTTATATATTTCAAAATATGATTCATACCGTCATTTTCGCACGCAATTTCGCAACTTATTAACACAATTGACTACAGTCAACAGAAATACTACATATATTAGAGCCAGTTGATCAATAAAAATAAAAAAAAATCCCGAGCGGGGCATTTTTTGTGGCGGGCGAGGCGCTAACCAACTATTTTTTTATGTGGCCTTATGCACATTTTTCATCTACAATACGTTAGGCCATTGTATAACACTTGTATATATTCTAGGAAAGGGGCTTTGTTCCCCTGTTCCCAAATATATTTCGTGTTCCCTTGTTCCGAGGCAATAAGAGTGGTATATACATATCCAGTGAAATAGTGGCTGGGCTATATGATATTACTAGTGGACGGGTATTTTGCAGTGTGTCCTTGCACGCTAGTTATCTTATACTGATTCTTTTCAATTGGAATGATATATAGTTTTAACTCGCAATAACAGTTCTTGAGTATTTTCGGAACCAGAAAAACAAGTTTGTAGATTTGCTATGCCATCGCGAAGCAAATCGTTCATCTTTCTACACCTGGTCGAAGAAGAACAACGTGGAGTGATGGATATATGGTGCACCAGTGGGTTACGCAGGGTACGAAGGGATCCATCGATAACGCGCGGAGGCCTGGACGCGGATCAATGATGCGTCCGACTATCAATGAGGAGTCCGACTGTCTACGGAAAAAAACATTTGTCTCGTCGCGCTCCGTTGACCACGCGTAAGAAGGGCTCTGGGTACGAGAATGATCTGAACCTCTATATAAATTAATGTTTGAAGTATAGGTCTAAAATGGACTTAATTGACAATTGCTGATCACAAATGATTTAGCCCAATGTGCATGTTGGTAATTACTATAAGAAACAAAGCTACGAAACATATTGAGGGAGAGTCATATATTACACATGTAAAAGTTTTAGTATGTAATTAAAGTTAAAACCGAAAGTGAATAGTGGACGTCAGTCTCAGTCTTCTTCCGTTAATTTTTCCGCCATTGGTTCATTCAGGAACTTTAAAAGTTTCTACTCCAATCACATATAGAGGTCACTGGAATAGGCCTACCCTGTTATACATCTCATAATACAGGCTCTCTAATACCGCATCTCTTTAATACGGAACCTCACGGAAACCTCACCTCCCTAATACTACAATAACCTATGTTCCAACAAAATTTTGACACAAATTTTCTTAAGAAAACCTCTATATATAATACGGCACAATCAAATACGACCACTCTGCTCTCTCCTTTTGGTGTCCGTATTCTTGATCGCGATACGATTGATACGATTGTATACGTTCTTCACCCAGCTAGCTAGGTGTGAGGCCGACAACATTCCCATTAATGATGTTGGTGATAGCCCAGGAACAATAAGTGAATTATTCGTATTCATGACGTCATGTAATCACAGTCGGTGCATTCCTGCCAGTAAATTCTTGAATGTTGGAAATTTTCAATGCTATATCGACAAGCGGTTTCAACACGTCCTGTTAAATGAATAATGATATAAGAAACAAATTACCTAAATGTCTCTATTTTATTGACTTTTTACCAAATTTATTGATCATCTAAAAAAGCATTATTCTCTTTTATATTTGTCGACTGACCACCATCAGTTCAACGATAAAGTTTACTGACGTCAGGGAGCTGGAGTAAGATCATCAGAGCATTCAGAGGCACATCTAAGACTAATGTACCCTGTTGCGCCAGTTATATATTCAGCACAATGCTCAATTATGAGTTGAGGTTTTTGCGCGAACAGACCAATCAAATGAATTAAGGATGTATGAATGAATGACGATTAATTTGTCCCAAGACACATTAGGCTTAAGGCTTTGAGTTGAACTGGGGACAGGCTTTTAGGCGTACATGAACTACTCCTTAGAATTTGGAAAAACAGGCAACGTGTTAAATCAAGCCTTACAAAATGTTTACTCTAGTAAAAAAATATTATATTCTACCTGTGCATCCATGGAATATGTCTGCTGATCAGATTCATAGCTTTCAATATAGACACGTATTGTTGCTCCTGTACTTCCTGTTCCACTAAGACGATAAACTAGTCTTGAACCATCAACAAATACAACACGAACACCCTGTGAATAAATACCATCCATGACAAATCAATGCAAAGTTAAAAGGAATGAAACCCACGAACTAAGATATCTTGATCTGAATGTTCGGGCAACTCACATTACCATCTCGAAAATATTTTATACCATGTCAAATATTGTTTTCCTAACAAATCAATAAATCAATGCAATGTCTATCAACTCTTCAACTTCGCCAAAATAAGCGATTATTGAGACCTGAGTTTCCAAATTGAGGAACATTGAAAAGGAACTTTATGATCTAGAACTTATAATGTTCCTTTGCAGAGTTTGTTAATAGTTGTCCAATTCGCAAATTAGGAATTTAATTTATAATTACTGATTAGGGCCAAAAAGAAACACCAAGATTAGCCGAAAAATCCAGTAAAAATAAAGTATTAAGAATATATACCTGTTGTTTAGCAATACTTCCATCGATAGGATCTTCATAATAAAAATCATCACCAAACTTTACTTCATAAGTTTTTTCACCACCACTAACACCACCAGTAAGTTTGGTACCAACAAAACTACCATCAATGACCATATGACGTAACTTCTCAATCACTTTATTTGCCGCTTCTGTTTCTACAGTTTCATAGTCATATCTACATACGCAAAAATAATTGTTAATATCGTCGCTGCATGGTTAATGTATAAATTACGGAAATACGTTGTATTTCTGTCGTTTCGTGACTGAATCTCTTCGATCTTAGTTTGACAAGTATACGATGAGAATGTAAGCCAGGGGTTGGCAAGTATATTTTTAGCCAATCTGGGACACCTGATTTCAAAATTTTCTGGGGTAGAATGGATCTCCTGATAGTGCCCCGTAGTAGTGCCCTTTTTTGGCATCTGTATTTACCTTATAGGATCAGACCCTTGGTACATGTTATCTAAATTAGTTTTATGTTATATTTTAAGATTTTCAGTGGACTGAAATTTTTTTTTCCGGTAAAATATAGCATGGCATCCAGTTTGACAACTTGTTAGTGTCACACAGTTACAGTGTCCGAGTGTCAATTCACTTGATTATTTACAGAAACTTTTCAATGTTCTCTTGCGGCCCCAGAAAGTAAAATATTTTTCCCACTCCTACATGCACTCTAAAACACCCTGGTTAAAAATTTCCTGGTGATCTAAAATTGACCCTGTTTTGGGGTAACTTAATGTTCCTGGTTAAATTTCCTGGTAATTCTCCACAGTCCTGGTTAATTTGATTATATATTCCACAGTCCTGGTTAATTTGATTATATAAAGTCCTGGCTATTTTAACAAGGCTATATGAATTAACCAGATTATCTTAGGTGGACCATTAACCAAGAATTCCTGGTTAATATAGATCAGTCCACCTAACATAATCAGGTTAATTCAAGCAAATGGTTAAATAAACAGCTTGCATGTTAGACTAATTTTTTATTTAGACAAAAAAGTAAATTCCCGTAAAGAACCTATCAAAATCAAAATTTGGTTACGAAATGTTGTAAAATACAGAAAATATATAGCCTTGCGAAGTTTGCATATTTTCAGTAACAATTTCCGCACGTAATACAAATATACTGAAAATATGCAAACTTCGCAATTAAGGCTATATTTTCTGTATTTTACAACATTTCGCAACCAAATCAGTTGCAATTTTACTAATTTCATTATGTTCTTTTTAACTGTTGTGTTTGATTCCCTTCTCTTTACTTAGATTAAAATTTAGTCTAACATGCAAATTGTCCATTAGCCACGATAGCGAACAAATTAACCAGGATTGTGGTTAAATTAAACACGAAAATTAAGTTACCCCAAACAGTGTTAATTTTAGATTAACCATGCATGCAAGACATTTCTAACCAGAGTGAGGGTGTTTTTAGAGTGTAGTAATATTTTGTAACTAGAAATATAGAGTGTTCGTAGCACAGTAGCATATGCCTGTTTTTCAGTTCCTGTAAAGCAGTTTCTTGAATAATAATACAGTTGCTTTATCAAACACCGCAGATTTTCGCCGAGAGCTCTTCCTGTACTAACACAGACTTCTCTATATGGTGAAAGGCTCTAATGCTCTGTATATTTAGAACTTATACAGCTACATTATTTAGTAGCTGATATAAATAAGCCTCGGTGCCAGTCCACTGTAGTGTCGTGGACTGGAACACAGGCTGGGTATAGGTAGAATAGAATTAGTTTAGCTATAATTTACAATAATTGAGAAGAATAATGGTCGATGCAATGATCCACAGAGCAGGTGCAACTATATATATGTACATGCAGGGTATAAGAATGATTATCTCTTGTGATTCATATATTTATACAAAAACAATTCTATAGTTTCATTGTATGGTATTTTCTTGTCATAATAAGACAATCACAAAACCTGTTTATGTATAGGTACGAGACGTTCCCTTTCGGTTGAAAGCCCCGGTTAAACAAGGATGAGAGTCGATAAGAGTTGACGACAGTTGCAACTCTCTCTCGCGTTTGACTGCAAACTCTTATCAACTCTCATAAACTTGAACTGGTTCAACTTTTGATGAGAGTTGACGAGAAACTCTCATGCAAAATCTCGCTTGCCAATTCTCATCATCCCATTAACCTCGGTTGACCATTTGCAAAGTAGTACAAGTGACTGCATGAGTTCAACATGTCCAGGTAGTATATGTGATATACGTGATGTTTATATATATATATATATATATATATATATATATATATATATATATATATATATATATATATATAATTTTTTTACGGCACATACCTTGTATAAAAATTCCGACCATATATTTGCCAGTGTTCACGTATTATTTCTAGATGTGGGCATGCTACGAGCAACACCAGTAGCTGGATGCTTGATGAAATGAGGAATGTATTTCATATGAGATGTTATCACTGCCAGAGAGTCAGATGGCGTGACGAAAAATCCATTTTTACCCAGAATCATATTACGATCCTGTAAAATAAAATATGAATAAATATAATTGAAATTTTTTTATAGCCTCATGGGCAATCTGACGTATTATTTTCGTCTTCAGCGCAGGCTCTTTTCAACAATAATCGACAAGTAACATATCATATTAAATATCAAGATTTTGTTGGCATCTCACTCGATTGAATAATAGTTGAAGGGCATTGTAGATTGTAATAGTTGAAGGGTCTTGTAATTTCCATCTACATATATACGAGGTAGCGTGTTTCAACAGGAAATCAATGCAAACACCGAATGTTTGTTGAAAACAGAGGAGATCGAAGCTGTGGTTTTTAAACAAATTCAATGTAAATCTACTAAATGTGAACGAGTGGATAAGTTATAAATGTTCAGATGAGGGTACATGCATGTAATTCGAACATTTGTAGCTCATCTACTCGTTCACATCCACCAGGAAGTGGTGTGGAAAATATACCATTTTGGCCAACAACTAAGGAGCCAACCTAAACAAAAAAAATATATATAAAGGACCACAATACGAAACGGTGGGGCTAAGAACTAACTCCGTGCGGACGTGAGAAATTAGGGGGCGAATACGTTGGCAGCGTGAGAATTGCGGGAATGACATATTATATATATATATATATATATATATATATATAT